GTGCCGCCATTAGACCTATACTTCAACAAGCGACTGGCTGACTTTGAGGCCCGGCTTCAAACAAAAACCCTAGCCGACGGCCAAGGCGGAAAGAAGACTGCAGGGAGCATTATCCACGCAGCCTGCGACAGGATACACCGAAGGTTCAACAGGAGAACGAATAACAGGGGCCGACCGCGAGCTTTTGGACCACAGGAGCCTACAGCGGCAGAACAAGCCGCCAGGGTAATTGCGGTTTGGACAGGGAGAACGGCCGACGCAGACAGGGTTATGCAGGAGGCCTGGAAGGAGAGGTGGCTGAAGGAACGAGACGGCCGGGCAGCCACGAGACCAGCCGACGACTTTGACCACCAGCAGGAGACCCTGTTCAAAGACAGGACTCTAAGGAGGCACGTGGGCCTGAGCAAGGCGAAAAGTTCACTGCTGGTCCAAATCCGAACTGGGGCTATAGGCCTGCGGGACTTCCTCTTCAAAAGGGGCGTCCCGGAGGTCTTGACACCTAGCTGCGAATGCGGAGAAGGGCGAGAGACCGTCGAACACCTGGTGATGTGGTGTCTGGCGCCACCATTGGCTCGAAGATGGGAGAGGGCCCAGGTTCGAACGCGTGGGGACTTTTACTCTATTCTGCAGGGAATGAGTCCTACAGCTGCACGACTGACGGAGAGGATCCTTGGATGGCTGATGGATTCGGGGAGGCTGCCGATGTACAATCTGGCTCGAAGGCTGGAGCTGGAGCTCACGGTCTGATATCGCCCCCCCCCCCCTTTTTCGAAGGCCAGGAGGCCTTTTCCTTTTGTACTTGCAGGCTCACTCACTGACCGTTTCCTTGATCGCCGATACGGGTTTTTTATCCGACCTACGAGGGTACGGTTTTCCTGTATAGTAATAGCTGAAGGTCCGGCACGCCCTAGGGCATAGCGGAGTAGGAACAATAATTTATATCCTGTTTCTCTCAATCTATTTAGTCTAATATATTATAGGGACCTTTTCTATAACAACAAATTATGAATCGTCAATATCGGCAGAAGAGTCCATTATCAAAAGAGGGCAAAGAGACTCAACTTCCATTGTGCCGACTCTAGCCATAGCCATTCTCCAAATCTTTGGAGGGTAATCGGGCAAGTTAGCATTTGCTCTGACATCACTGGCGTTGCGTTTTCTAATGGGTTGTAGTACCTTTTGAGTCAGCTCAATAGCTATCCGCTTCTGCTTTTCTATTCATTTGGCTCTCAAGGTGCAGATTCACAAGTCATACAGAGACCTGGAATCACAATGATGCCCGGCGAAGTACCGTAGGCAAACATGTGACCTGGATTGGTCTTCAGTTTCTCACAACTGCAACGCCATGGAGTAAAGAGGTATAATGTTCAACTCACAGCCGGCAGCACCCATGAGCTGGAATCAGATTTCAGTGTAAGTAGTCATGTTCCTTTGCTGACTGTAGTCACAAAGAGCAGGCGGCCGCAGTCACCCGGCCACAGACCTTTCTGCGATCATTTACTTCTGCTTTCTTTCTCTAGCGTCGATATCCCTCGAAAACCACTCTTCTCTGCTCGCCGGACAGAGGACAGACGCAAGCCGACTGTGTCTCCTACAAAGCCAAACATCTCCATCAACCACCTCTATCTACCACGCGTCCATCAACACGCCAATCCAACAACCACTCCATCCATTATCATCACCACCACCAAACCCTCCTCTCCATACCGACCCAATCACGACGAAGCCCGACAGAAACCCCACCCCCGTCAGCCCCCAACAAATCACCACCGCTAGCAGCTAGCAGCCAACCAAAACCCTCTCCAACTCCTCCAGATTCCGCTCCGTTCCAAGCCACATGCGGTACACAAACGCGCGCGGCACATCCGCCGCGCTCTTGACCCCCGCATAATCGCGGCCGAACCGCTCCCGCGCCGCCTCGCCCCCCGCCGTGCCCCGACCTATGCGGTGCTGTTTCCCGCCCCCGCCCTCGACCGCCAGCTGCATGTAGAAGGCGCCGTCGGTGAAGTGGTACGAGAGTTTCGAGATGCAATGGCCGCCGCCGCCGCTGTGGTGGGGATGTTGGGGGTATTGTTGCCGGTGTCTGTAGAGGTGGTGGCTGTGGTTGGGTTGCTGTTGGCGATGGGGTCGTTGGGGACGGTGGGTTCAAGGTGCGATTCGGGCTTGACAAAGGTGGTAGCGGTAGTGGAATAGGCCTTGCGGACGCGGGACTTCTTGATGTTGTTGCGCGGAGCGGGCCTCTTCTTCTGCGGCGGCTTCTGCGAGGGGTAGTAGTCGGTTGGTTCGGGCACGCCGGAGACGGAGGGTTGCTGGTGGGCGTTTCCGGTCGTGGGCGATGCCGGAACTGCGTAGCTCTGAATAGGCGACGGATAGGTATTCTGAGCTGCCACCGCGTGGTAGCCGTCCAGGGGCAGACCAGGGAAGGCTTGCGTGGGGAACGAGGAGGCTGAATAGTTGTTTAACTGCGGCGAGCTCGTGCGGTCTAAGGCGGGAGTTCCGGGACCAACTTGGTGGTCTTGAAGATACGGGTTGCCACGCAAGGTCGACGTGCTGGCCATGCCATTCTGGTTCGAAACAGGGCCCGGAAGATGGGACTTGCGGGTCGGCGTCTGCTGGACTTGAGTAAACCGAACGGAACCACCGTCGAATTTGCATGGAGGGGACGTGTACGACGCCGAAACCTCCTTGTAAATGGCCACCATGACCTTCTTCGCCGCCACCAGGTCAGAACCCGCAATTGGTCCGAGCAACAGCATCTTCCCGAAGACGGAACCAAATTCCTCCGCCTCTTGGATGAGGACTTGAAGCACCTTGTACGCGCCATTAATGAAGGCCTGGCGCTCGTCTTCCGGGTCCGTTGCGTTGACCTCCGCGAGAACCTTCTTCGTGGCCTGCTTGATGCAGGCGCAAGTTTCTGCGGTACTGAAGTCGGTAGCAGGGCCGTCGGTCAGCATGTGAGACAGAGCAGTGCCCTGGCGCTTGGCCTCCTTTCGGAGACGTGCAATGACGGCGCAAACACCAGCCTTGATTGCCGTGCCCATCCTGATCGCTCCACTGGGAGGCGAGATGCCAAAGTGCAGCGCGGGGTCGATGGGGATCTGTTGGGGGGTCTGGACGTTCTGAGCGGTGCTCAGAAAGCTCTGCGGAATAGCCGGGACAGGGGGCAGCTGCGCAATCGCGACGACGGCGCCCTGCTGAGTGACGCTCTGCCGGCGCTTGGTGGGAGACTCCATGCTCTGTCCGGTCCGGGCCCTCCGCTTATTGTCCGATGACGGCGTGGCCATGGGATCAGGCGATACGCTAGTCGAGGGAGGCACAGCCGGAAGGCAGGCCGGGGCGGGCGACTGAGACGGCTGCGTCATGAACATGGCGAAATCGGCGGACACCTGGGACACCTCGGCCCGCTGCTGGGTCGTGGAGTTGGCGATGCCGGAAGAAGTCTGCGATTTGGCGGGCATCTGCTGCTCCAGCGAGGAAAGAGCATCTTCAGAGCACGTCTGGGACCTCCCGGTCATGCAGTCTGTCTGCTGCTGAACCACGGCGGACATCTGCATGGGTTCATGCAGCACAGAGCTGGTAGCTCCGGAAGTTCTCTGCTCCGTGGCCGGCATAGCGGCGGTGAACATGCCCTGGCCATTGCTGGGGAGCTGCTGGGCACCTGTCGAGGAGACGAACGGATCTGCGGCCATGAATTGATCAAGTCCAAACGAGGCAGGGGCAGCTTGCAGCTGAACCTCACTAGCCGTGGTCGCCTGGACATCATGGGAATTGGTCTGTTTGTCCGGCTGGGCTTTAGCAACGGGCTTCTTCCTGCGGTACTGGCGTTTCTTCTTACCAGTGGAAGCCTCGGCAGGAACCGTGTTGTTCACCAGCTTAGGCTGGGCCACCGCAGTATGCACGGTGGTGGACAGGACTTCCGAGATGGACGGGAACTGCGCCTGGACGTCGGCGGAGAAGAACTCCCGGGCCTTCAGATCGTTGGTCTGATCCGTGGCCACTTTGATATTTGCGGTCGGCAACCCGGGAAGCACAAACTGCTGGGCCAGAACCGCGTCTAGCTGCACGGGGACGGTGAGGTTGACTTGATACTGATTGGTGCTCTGGAGCGATGCCGCCTGCTCCGCGAAGACGGCCTCGAAGTCGAGTGGCTCGTTGAGCTGCATACAGGTGTCATCCGGGAACTGGAAGGCTTGGTGAAAGTTCTGGTCAAAGGTGTCCGAGTTGTCCTAGAACTGGAGATCTTGAACATCGCCGAAGCCGGCCTGGAGCGCTTCAGCATTGCCAGAGCCAGTGTTCCCGAAAGGAGCCGTAAGGGAAACGCCCGGAGCAGCGGCGTTCTCGTACCCCATCGCCTGTTGGATGTGCCCCTGAGTCGCGGTATCGGTCGCCATGCCAGCAACAAAAAGGCTCTCGCCAATCATGGCTCGAATCTGGCGCTCGGCACTCGTCTGGGCCTCGACCCGGCTCCGCCACAGCTCCCGGTCGCGGGACTGCTTGATAAGGTAGGCAGACTGGTCGTACCGGGCCAGCTCGTGCCGCTGCTTCTTGTCGGACTTGTCGCGCAGCGACCGCTCGAACTCGGCGCGGTTGGCCTGCTGCTTCGTATCGGCGTGGTGCGTCTTTAGCTCCTCGCGGATGTTGGCGATGTTGGTGGAGACGGCCAGGTTTTCGAGCTTCCACTTGCGGAACGAGGTGTTGTGCTTGGCACAAGCCACCTGGGCGGCAATGGCCGAGCTCTGGAGCTGCTCTTGGGTGGAGGCGTAGTCGGCGCTCGCGTTGTTGGGCTCGGTGGTCATGAAGCGGGCCCAGGCGCTGTAAGCCTTGTTGTAGTCGCCATGGAGCGTTCTCGCGCGGTTGTGCCAGGCCCAGAAGTCGGTGCAAAGCTCGTCCGCGAGGGGTGTGTCGGGCTTGACGGGCATGGCGTCGTGGTTGGCTGGGCCTGCGTAGCGTTCGGGCGACGTGGGAGGATGAGCCATAGGTATGTTGACCAGATGGGGAGGAGTGGCGGGAGGGCGCTCGGGCGTGCTAGGCACGATGATTTCCTCCTCGGCGATGGCCGAAACAGCGTGACCAGCTGGCTGGGTTTCAGGAGCGGAGCCATTGATGGCGTTGTCAGAGCCGGGCTTTTTGGGATCTGCTGAAGGCTCGCCGTTGGTGAAGAGCGCCTTCTGCAACTCAGGACCATAGAGAACGCTTGAGGTGAAACCTGCCTTTGGAATCGATCCATCGGGGAGGACACTGAAGTCACCAGGCGAATCCGAAGTGGGGTTGGCAGACGTGCCGGAGGGGACGATGAAAAAAGTGGCTGGTGATGATTTGCTCGGAGTCTCGGCTTGGGCAGACGACTGAGCCTCTGTGGTCATTGAGCAATCAACAGCTGTCGAGGCAGCAGACTGAGGAGTGGTGGTGGTGGTGATGGTTTGCTCGGACACCATCGGGAAGGCCAATTGCTCCGGCGTGACCTCGGTCAGGCTGCGACTACCCGGCAGCAACTGCTCAGCATGGCCGTGCGAGGCGACGGACTTCTTGATTTGAGTCTGAGGAGCAGTGCCGGACTTGGAACCGGCAGCAGACGTGGCCCTGTCGGTGTGGTCAGCCGATTCAGAGTGGCCGCTATGGTTGTGGGCGTCCTTGTTGAGCGAAGCATTGTTGTTCTCGTCATCCTTAGCGCCATTGGCGTGGATCATTCTGGGGTCGCGGATGTCCCCGAACAGCGAGTCGATATCCGAATTATGATCTTTGTCGACCTGGTCAACGCCAGCGCCGCGGTCAACTGAATTGATAGAAGTGGAATGGGCAAGGTTCTGAATTGATGGATTAGCAAACTGTTCGACTTGGTGAGTCAGAACTGACTGGGGTTGTCATCACTAACCTTAATTTCAGCGTCATGCTGGGAGGAGAAGGGAGTAGAGTATGAGACGAGGTCTCCCTTTACAGCCAGGGAAGTGCCTGACTGCTCGGTGGTAGCAAAATTGCCACCGGCGGCCTGGCCGGCAACTGAAGACATGTTATCGAGTCGGTACGAACTGGTTACAATGTATCAGTGTCGATAATTGAATTAGTCGTGCATAGGCGACGGCAAGATGGGCGATGACTCGAAGGCGGTGGGTTGTGATTGTCGAATTCGTTTCGGTGAGAGTCGATCGAAACGGAGGGACGAGGAGATGAGAAAAGGAGAGCCGAGAAACCACGTAGGATCTGCGAAGCTAACGAGATGGAGTTGAGAAATTTGCTGAGAGCGAGTTACTTGGACTAGATCTGATGGATCTGCGAAACGAAAGAAGATGAACAGCTGTTGAGTAGTTATGCAGCCAACCTCGACTCGAGGAGCAACGATATTCCCAAGTTGAGACCAGCTGCGAGTGCCTTAGAGTTGAGAAGAAGTAGAGTGCTGCTTGTGGAAAGAGTCGATGAGTTGGTGGTGTCGGAAAGAAAGTCGGTTGAAAACCCCAAGATAAAGGTGAACAGATGGTGATAGCAACGAAAAAGTCTCGAGTTCATTTATTGCAAGTTAGCCCCGCGAAAGACTGCTCGAAGGCGCTGGGATTCTGAAAATCCAGAAACTCCAAAGCGTGGAGGCTATACAGGGCAAACCCCTTCTCGACGGTGGAAACATAACTTCACTTTGTAACTGCCACGACAGCATCGACAACATTTTCTTCGCTTGCAATGCTTCCATTTTGATCCAAGGGGCATCCAGAAAAAGGGAACATTCTCATTCATGTGTACCTAAGGTTGAAATGGTGAAGCACCTGTCTTTTCTTCATAGACTAGAAGCCCTTTGAACTCGAGACGACCACCGAGGTATACACAATACACGTACACGTAGACAATGAACAAAAGCTCGTTGACCAGCCGCATGTTTCCTAGTAACGTGATCAGCTACGAAGAACCTATGGTTTTTTGCTCGGCTACGCTCTGATGTGGGACTGAGGTGTGTGTTTGAAGACTGCAGTCACCACTTCCTGCTACTTCGATCTGGATTTGAGCTGACTGGAGACTTGGTTCAAACCTAGCTCTCGGACGCAAACCTCCACCGGTAACCGCTGCGCTAAGCGCTGGGCCATCCATACGCTTGGTGATACGATGAACCTCGCATCCTTCAATATCAATCACCGGCCTGTCAGAAGTGTCGAAAGGCTAATGATAACCGGTTAACCCTTTCTAACCATCCAGAACACACTGTCCGGGCAACACCCTACCTTACCCCTTTCCGACTCTCAAGTCCATCGTTCTCCCCACAGTATAACCCAGCATCTTATAATACCGCATACAACAACAACCACAAATCACGAAACCTCCTCAACCATCTTCACCCCGCCAAGCCCCACCCTACCGCTACCCCCAGCCTCACCGCTGCCCATAAACACCCGCCCCGCGGGGCCCGTGAGCAACTCATCGGGCACCGCCACGCGGCTACCCTCCCTGGTGTTGACCCAGCGGATGAACATGGGATCCGGGCGCTGGGCCTCGGTGTCGCCGGGCGTCGTCTCCTCACCGGCGGCCAGGAGCGCCGCGTTCTTGCGCGTCGTCTTGGGCGCCTGTTTCTTGAGCAGTTTGTTGATTGTTTCCATCTGCGTGTGCAAGCAGGGTTCGGGGGGTTAGTTATCCACTCTGTGTAAGAGAGGGGGAGAGAAGTAGGGAATGGGGTGGCGACGGGTATTGCGTGTGGCGGGGGGAAGGTGTTACCTTGACTTCCTCGTTGCGCTTCTCGCTGAGGTTGCGCCGGCGGCGAGCCATTTCGGCGCGCCGCATCGACAGTTCTTCGGCAGTGAAGTGCTTCTTGGCCTGGACTTCTGTGGTTTGGTTAGCCTTCTGTCTCGTACCTGAAGGGGGAGGGTGGTAAAGGGGGGACATACCATCGGATAGCTTCATGTACTCGTGCGAGACGTCGCCCAGTTTGGCCCGTTGCCGGGCAGTCAGTTTCGACAGGTCCGGTGTGTCGGCGCGGCTGATGCCTTCTTCGTCGCTCAGGCCTTCGTCGTCTTCCTCTCCTTCAACGTCCTCGTCGGCCACTTCGATTTCCTCTTCGCCCTCGGCATCAACGTCCTCTTCCTCCTCGCCTTCGGCGACTTCTTCGCCGTTTCCCATGCCAAGGGTAACGTCTTCTGGTTCGCTCTCGAGCTCGCTCAACTCTTCGTCGTCATCCTCTTCGTCGTTGTCGTTGTTTGCTGCGGGCTTGGTTACGGCCGTGCCTTTGGCAACGGGCTTTGCTGCGGGAAGGCTTTTGCCCTTGCTGGTGGGAGTGGGCATGCTTTTGGAAGGCTTGGTGATTTTGATGGCCGGGGCTCGTGGGGCTGGGGTGACGTCCATGTCGACGTCGCCATCAGCATCGGCATCGGCGTCCTCGTCCTCGTCGCCCTGGGCATCAATGTCCATCTCGTCTTCGTCGGCATCGGCGTCCTCTTCACCGAGATCCTCCATCTGCTCATCCTCGTCATCCTCGTCCTCCTCCTCGTCTTCAGCCTTGGTGAAACGTGCCCTGGTGTCGACCTCGATCTCGTCCTTTTCCGACTCGTCCTCTTCCTCGTCCACTTCTTCGTCGTCCTCCTCTTCCTGCTCCTCCTCCTCCTCTTCGTCTTCCTCCTCGCTGCTTTCGATGACATAGCTCTTTTTCCCTCCCCGGGTCCGCTTGCCAGCGCCGGCGCTGCTCTTACTTCCACTAGCGCCAGTTAAACTCCCAGAAGCCTTGCGCTTGTCGTTGGCGCTGCTGCTGCTGCTGCTGGTAGCCTGCCGCAGCTTGCTCGAGGGCAGTTTGACGGTCAGGTGCATGTGCTCTCTGCCATCGCCGATGCTGTTCGCCGGGGATGAGGACGGCGGGCCCCGGGTCACCGAGGCGATGCCGGGCCCCGATCTACGGGAGATGCGCGACGACATGGTGCGCTGCTCGGCGGGGTCGCGGTCTCTATCGGCCATGTCAGTGATGGCTGCAGTGGCGCGCTGGGCAGCGGACCGACGGGGCCGCGAAGACATGATGGTAGATCTGATGGAAAGGGGCTGCTGCAGTGTGGTAGGTGCTTTCCGTTGCTCCTCTCGTTTGATGGAGGTGAAGGATGACGTGAGTGGTTAGTTAAGTGGTGGTGGTGATGAGAGTGATTTCAGGATGAGGATGTTTGAGTTAATTCGAGGCGGCAGAAGTTGGAGCCGCGGCGCAAGAGTTGGCGTTGCGTGTTTGCCTGGGGTCCAGATAGTGTGGGGGGTCTGGCTGTTCGATGATGCTTCTGGGCTTCATGCATGTCATGTCGTTCGAATAAGCTTGCCGTGATGAAGGGGCTCAATCAAACGCCGGCATGCCAATGGAGAAGCCACAGGGTATCAAGCCGCGCGCACCCACCTGGGAACTCGGCCAAGCTGCGATCCGCCCGTAATCCGAGCGTCATTCGCCAACCTTCTAGATCCTGCGTCTTTACGACCGAAGACTGCAGATGTGACGGCCCCGGCGTTGAACAGCAGTGTCTTGGCTTGGGTTCTTTTGTGTGGTAACTGATGTCGAGGCACAGCCAACACAGTAAAACAGTCGGCAGTGTTCACAAGCAAGCCACCCTGTCGGCTTGATGGCAGCCGTCGTGACACTGCATTTGCAGCATTTCTGTGGTTGGTGTCTTTGTCCCCTCTCTCACACATTGAACTTGTCGATTGCAGGCAGCGATTGCATCTCACGACAGAGCAACCCATGGCCACACAGCCCGCTTTCCATCGAGAAATGCTGAACAAGGGTCTTACATTGTATGGAACTACTCACAATTCTGGATTTTTGAGGTTCGGTTATGGTTGTTCGTTCAATTCCACAGGTCCGACAGGCTGCGTCTCTAGTCTCCGGCTAGTCGATTGTGTCTGGCGTCTGGTGTCTGGCGGTGATTACCGTTAAGTCCCTATGAACAGTATACCAGTCGCTGGTCAGCAGTGAAATCAAAGCCTTTTCTATGTGCTGCAAGCAAGAAGAGTAAACATACGTGTTGCTCGAAATTTGTCGACTGGTTATGATGCTCGTCGAGAGCTTCACACAAAACGATCGGAATGGTGTAGGCAATGGTTGTGATAGAAGTAACTTGGTTGAATAGATATAAAGATGAGCGATCAAAGTCCTAGTAAGACTTAACTCGAGATCCGTTCAGTCAACAGGCAACACCAGTGGATAAATTGGAAGTGTAGCATTCACACACGGCGGTTCCTTTCTCACGAGACAGGGCCGCACGGAGCACCCCGTACTGCACCTTGAGGGCTGTTGGGGCCCTGGTGGGGCTGCATCGGAAAGGCGCTTGGGACCATGCCCCAGTAAGGCGAACCTCGGCAAGTCACCATCCCGTCATCCCTGAAGTGCCAATCGCTTTCAGAGTTTAGCAACCAATTTCAGTCCCCTCTCCCTCCGGCCCTGTCGTGAATCCTCTGAATCTCCTCTTGTATGCGTCATCGTATTCTGCGATAATGGGAGAATTCAAAACAGAAAACAAGCAGGAAGTTCTGGCGCTGGTTTCAAATCAACATCAGGCCGATCCCGCCCCCGAGCAGACACTATCAAGCGAGGAGACCCTCAAACAGGCAAAGAAATTCCTTCACGATGCTCAGGTCCGGAATACACCGCCAGAGCGCCGAGCCGAGTTTCTCAAGAGCAAAGGCTTGTCAGAGAGCGACATTGAAGGGCTATTAAAGGAGGTTACACAAGATGGGCGGCCAGAGTCGCAAGTCTCGGTATGTGTCTTCCTGGTCTGGCGCCTCATAAGCCTTTGCTAACCATACCTAAGAATGAGACGAAGGAGGAGAGGATAGAATTCCCGTCAGCGAGAAAAGAAGACCGACCGCCGATCGTCACATATCCCGAGTTCCTGGCCAAGCCCCCGCGGTCGCCACCACTAGTCACCGTCAACGGCTTCCTCAACACGCTCTACGCCTTCGCCGGCCTATCCACGCTCGTCTACGGGACAAGCAGATACGTCGTCAAGCCCATGGTCAACACGCTCACCGAAGCGCGCGTCTCGCTCCACGACACGGCCAAGCAGGACCTCGCAAAGCTCGTCTCCAAACTCGAAACTACCGTCTCCGAACTCCCACCTCCGAAACCTAAAGACCTCAGAAACCTCTCTGCGGACGTCGAAAGGGACGAGTCCGACGCAGTTAGCAGCTACGACGACCCGACCGAGCTCTTCCACCGCGACATCGGCGTGCAGACATCGCTTCCTTCCTCCCCGTCCTCCCCATCCTCCCCGCAATCCCAACAACAACAACAGCAAAAAGAAAACCCAACCACGCACCAGACCACCCGGCTTGCGTCTTTGGTCTCCTCGCTCAGGTCTCTCCACGAAGGGCTCGTCGACCAGGCCGAGTCGCTGGGCGACGTGCAGACGGTGGCGGACCTGCTGCGGCAGGACCTGGACAAGCTCAGCGCGGCGTCGGCGGCGACGGATTTTGTCGGCGGGTTCTCGCTGTACGGCGCGGCGGGCAAAAACGAGCCGGATGACGAGATCAAGCGGGCAAAGGAGAATATCAGGCGGGTCAAGGGCGTGTTGTTGAGCACGAGGAGTTTCCCTGGGGCGAGGTAAGGGTGGGTGCCTTGTTTACCTAATTTACAGGGCAGCAGGGTGATGGGGGAAAGTCTCTTTTCGGGTAGGGTAGCGCAGGTTAACGAAGCTGCGTTCGGGCTGATGGAGTGTGTCGTGTAAAGGGGTCGTCATCGCGAAGCTATATGCTCGACTACAAGTGCTCGCTGTTGGAGGTCTTGGGCTGGGTTCACGCTTGTTTTGGTCCTTTTGTAACACTAACATGGTCTATGGACCGATTATGGGGAGTGAGAGGGGAGGCGAAGGGCGACCCTATTGACAGATCGCTACGGCTGAGTGGTCATGGAGATACCGTTGGAGTTTTTGATCGTTTGATGCTAAACTCTGCGAGGGACGCGTGACCAGCCTGAACACAGATAGTAAGAGAAACATAAGGATATAGCTGGGTAAGGTAGGTGATTGAGTGGTGAGGTGAGGTCTGGAGGACGAGTTTCCTTCACTCCTGGATGACAGAAGCTGGCCCAGCGGCGGAAAGCGTTCAGTACCTGAAGCTGTATATCCCAATGTGCGTATGAACGATTCAAAGGCTCGTCCATTTCTGCTACTTCCAAGGTGGTGAAGTACCCGAGAGCTTGCTTAGTACGTATCAACCTGTCAATGTGCTAGTGTGCGACTCATAAGAGCCAGGTAGGTAGGCAACGTGGGTAATCCAGCTATGTTCTTTATGCTGTGCTTCTCTGGGTCTCAAAAGTATAAGTCGCCATTTTTGTTCTCTCGCCCGTATGTTCTTTCTCCCTTTCATCTTACTTCATGCTTACAACCTTTATTTTTGTGACCTCATCAATGACGCTTCACTTCAATAAGAGAGTCACAACAATGTGCAATATACTGGTACTGTACTCAGTGCGAGTGAGGCGAAGCCACTGGGTCCTTCCTCCAACCCTCGGAAGAAAAATCGGCTGACAGCCACTTTCCACGTGACTTGGCACGATACACACAGTGCCTGCAGCTTTGTATATCACTGAAGCTTCGCTTCAGACTCGCTTGGGTGAACACCACAGCAGGGTAGGTATTTTTGTTTATCTGTCCTCCGTTACTTTTCCTCCGAAAACCGAACCAAAGGCTAGGTAGCCCACCATGGCAACAAAAAACAAGGCACACCAAAATCAACCACACCAAACTTCTATCATAACAACACCACCAAAACAGCTCCAAAACAGTTCAAACTAATTGCCTGTCATCCCTCCTTCTAATTCTGAACATTCCTTGAAGATTTGAGGGATCTCATCCACCCAACCGTTGATAGTTTCCTGTTTGACTGCGGCCCAGCCTTCCTCGGCAAGCTCCTTGACCACGTCATCCTCCCAACAAGGCCTCTTCTTTACATACTCTTTTGACCCCTGCCATGCCTTTTCAATGGGGCTGAAGTCTGGAGATGAAGCACAGTTAAAAAAGTAGTCCAAGCCGTTGGTCTTCTTCCAGGTCCTGACGATATTGCTCTTGCTTGTGCCGTGGCCAGAGTCGTTATCCTCCTCAAGAACAAACGACTGGCCTTCGCGAAGCCAACCACCAACCACAGGCTCAAGGATATGGTCCCTATAGACCTGCATAGACATCTTGCCGTTGGAATTACCTGGCACGTCGTACCAGGTAAGCGACGACTTGAAGTCATATCCAACTGCAGCCCAACAGTGTATACGCTTCATATCCTTCTCAGCGGGCATTTCTTTCTCTAACAGACAGTCCGGGCATTGCCGTTCCCACGGCCGTCGAATGACCTAGACTTTCCCCTGAGGACCCCAGCCAAAGTGGCATTCGTCAGAAAACCGAATGTGCCGCCAGTCCGCTGGGTCTGGGTACCGTTCTAGCATAACCGGGCGTAATCTACCCGGCGTTCGCGGAGCCGTGGCGACGTATATTTCTTCTCGCATGCCACACACATTCGAAGGTTCAAATCCTTGACTGCGCGCCGAACAGTCTCTCGGCAAACGTCCACATCAAGCCCTGCAGCTGCAGGGAGCCCTGCCCATGGAACCGTATGGCCATCGAACCCATTGTTGTCGATAAAGCGCTCGATTACGGCAAACTCGCTGGCAGAAAGCTTACTTGGCCGGCCACGTTGCTCTGGGCGAAGAATAGTATGGCCGAGCCTACGGCCATCGAATTCGCGGGGTTCGGCCAGGGCGCGCCAGCCAGACCGACGGCTTGCACCATAGAATCGAAAAATGTCATTTTTGTGGTGTGGTATGCCTTTTGCTTCCAGGAAATCAATGGCCCCCTGAATCCTGACCTTCTTAGGTGTAGAGTACTGCTTTTTCCGTATTTCCTGGGCGATCGTGTGCTTCTTGTTTGCGAAAGATGGAAAAGGAGCCTGGCGTTCGGTGTGGGTATTTGGTAGGTGTGGGGCAAAACCGGTTTTGTGTGTGCCTTGGCTTTCGGGTAGCCTTACCGCCCATCTCCCGTTGTCGTAAGTGGGGAACACAGGCCGGGCTACAGCCTCCACAAGATGCTACACTTGTAACGGTAGTTACAGCGCACTTCCAGGTTCTTATGTACACAACCTCCATGAGACAGCTGGGTAGTCTCAAATGGATGTCGAGGGGAACTTGAAGGTTACAATGAAAGAAGAGGAAGATGAACGGTATTCCAAGATCGCCGGCCGCCTTCTGAGGTGACATCTGATATTGATTGATTGGCTAGCGAAGCTGAGGAGGTTGCACCATGAAGCTTCGTCCCGGTCACACGATCGCCGAAGCCGAGCCGGACGGCTCCGCTGCGGTTGTGTGGGCATCTCCACTGGGGTGCCAATCCGGCTCGGTGCGGCTGTCGGGTTTTTTCCAACAGCAAGATCCGCCGAGGCTTCAATACTCCTCTCATTCGAACTGTCTCGCTCGTCTCATCATCCGTACGCGACGGCCGAGAACGTGACCTTTGCCACAGAGCCAGAAAGCGGGGGAGAGCCCATTGCAGGCCCCTGTGAGATCAGCAGGCAAGCTTCTGCAGGTGGCGGCACCAGGTGGCGTCGGACCCCAGACTCTCGAGCAGCCCAGACCAATCCGGACGCAGCACACACCGCTGAACCGCACCGGACACAACAGGATGGAGAGCGACAAGGACCGGCTGCTGAGCTCATCAGAAGCGCATGAGCTGTCAAACCAAGAGCCAATCCACGATTTCTGCCCTCGTCAGCTGGGCGAGCCGTCGATGAGCCAAAGCCAAAGTCAACAAGCGGGGCGGAATTTCGAATTCGATGAAGACAATGGTATGTCACCGCCTGTCTTGGGTCTGTTTTGTTGTTACTGTTTGTGCGTGAGCGTCCTGCCAAGAAGATTTTTCCCCTTACAAGCCAGCTCCGCTTTCCGTATCCGTCAAAACCATCGTTACTGCAGACTTGGAAACGACAAGCTCATTAACGCTCTGCAAACCGGCGAATTTGAGCTTGTTGAGACTGCGGGTGCTTGTCAATCTGCAGATCACTAACGCTTGCCGTCTTCTTGGGGCAGGTCTAGGCAAGACCGGCCTGCTTGGCGAGGGCATCATACCACTCTCAGGGCAGGCTTCCCCGCACACCGAGCGCCATCTTCAACCGCCCGCGCTATCGGTCCCTATAAAGACTGCAACCCTGGGTCAATCACGCGCCGCCGCTAGTGGCGAACAAGAATCGCTCGTTCTCCCTGTCAACCACGCACCATCATCCACCATGATCTTCTCTGATCTATACAAGTCGCCAAAGACGACTTTCAGCAAAATCCGCAATTCATTCCCCCATGGCCTTCCTCCGCCTTCAGATCTGGATGCCGATCTCGTGAGCAGGGACAAGGCCAGGAATAAGGAGGCCGTGAGGAAGTATCTCGACGAGAAGGTTCGCAACGATTGGGAGTTTACATGGCCGCCCGTGGCAGCTTCGCCACCAGCCCCCGCTGCGCACGCAGCGGACGAGGAAGAGCCGAGGGATCTAGGGGAGGAGGCAGACTCCGAGTCAGACGCCGAGTCTGTGTATAGCACCATTTCGGAAGACCCTGTGCACTTTCGGCCACGGGCAGAGTGGACCTCAGATCTCTCCGACAGTGACGAACCGCGCCCTCCAGCCTCCCCCTTCCGGTTTGACAACCCTAAAGCTGTCGGCGCCGCCGTGCGCAACTCGGTTGAGACGAAGCGCGCCCGCCGGAGGAGAGCTGTGCGCGACGAGATGAAATGGAACCCCGGCCTGGCATGCTTCGAAGCACGGCGCAACGCCTGGACAGGCGCAAAGACGGTGCGGGTGAAGCCGAAACCACCGAGCCCTGTTTCACCCTCGTCCGCCCGCCGTTTGTTCTGGAGGCATCACCGGACGCAGTCCTCCGTCTCACACACCACCACCATCACACCCGGCTCACCGCCCACTCCCCAATCTCCCCTCCAACGCACGGCAACCCGCACTTCCACCGCAACTGGCTCCGAGTCCGACTCAGCCGGCGTACAAAGAACAAGCTCCCAAGAGTCGACGGCGCCGGCGGTTCACTATCCAGTCCAAACCGTCCTCCCCGTCCCACCCCCGTTGCTCCCGCCCCAAAACCCCATGCGCGCCTCGGTCCAGCCCTCCATGTACGGCTCGCTGTACGACAAGGTTGTCGTCCAAAACATGCAGCCATCCTGCCCCGTCAACCTCGCCGACATGTTGCGCGCCTGCGTTGTCGGGTGGAAGCGTGACGGCGAATGGCCGCCCAAGCCGAGCTACCCGGCCCCGGCGCCTGCCCAGACGTCCAACGCCGACGTGCTGGCCGCGCGCCAGCGCAAGGCGCAGCTACAGCGGAATAAAAACGCCGTGGCCGTCACCGCCACCACCACCAATGCCGGCGGGAGGAGGTTGAGTTTTGTGGGCTTTTTCAATGGAGGAGGGGGAGTTGCGGGGCACAAGACTGCTGCTGCTGTCACGACGGCTACTGCCATGATGCAGGATGGAGCGAGGGATGAGAACAAGGATCAGGATAAGGAGGGGAAGGAGAACGGACATACTCCGGGCCAATCGCACTCTCACTCGGACGAGGGTGCCGGGTCGTCGGGCAAGGCACTGTTTAGGAGGAGTTTGCAAAGGGTCTTGTCGCTGGGTCAGCATGGGCATGCACACGGTGGCGGCGGCGGTGGTGCTGTTGCTGCTGTGAATGGGGCTGCAGGTGGGAATGGTGCGGGCGCGCCACTTTCGCCTACCAGCCCTACTACCAAGGAGGTTACAGCTGCTGGTTGATTAGGGGTTGACTGGTTGGGAGGGCTGGTGCTGTACCCCAGTGTGTGTTGGTGCATCCATGTTGCTCAAGTTTTGCTTCAATCATGGATGGTTTGAAATATATACCGAGTCGGTTGATACCCCGGATGTTTGTTATTTTGGTATGTTAGGATGATGGGATGCTATGAACGGCAGGGGAAGAGTCCACGGGCAAGGGTATGTGTGGCATGATCGACTCAAATCATATATCCTGGAAGTGGATATAGAGCCAGAATACCAAACGTCATCTATCTTGCCATGGACCGCTCGCTGCTTGCTTGTGATCTACATCGACCCGGCCCAGTAACCGTTGTTCGACTCGCGAAATTCGACATTTGTACAGGTAAGTGGAGCCGAAAAGTCACCTCTAACAAGACTTGGCCACAACCACGACCATGAGCAACGTGAGGATGTGTGATGAGCTCGAGCTTGACTTCTTGGCCTGGTCATCGGTGGAATACTCAACGTGACCCTCTTTATCATAGAGAAACAGAAAGGCTGAGTGGATTACGCTTCGTTGACCAAGCTTACGGTACGGAGTACAGCTCCATGACCACTTCCACACTATACTGCAGGCTAGGTATGGATCTGACACATCGACAGACGTACCTGTAATGGAACAAAACACAGATGTAGAACTGAAAATGGGCCTTCCAACAAGATCGAGGTTGAAGCTTCAGCATGACTATTCATTGCGCCGATTGCCAAACCAAAACATACTCTTTGTTCAAATAGATGTCTAGTCCCTTTCGTCCAGGAACCCACTGCATGCCCTGTAGAATTCCGCTATGCCTATAAGCGAAGTCAAAGGTTTGAGACCGGATTAACAACTGTCTTATATACTGCCCATGCTCTCAGCCAAGCCAAACCGGCCTACTCCCAACCTGCCTGCCATGCATAGAGAAATCAGGTACGCTCGAGAGATTCGACCCGACTCGTTCCAGAGGGCCCATCAAAATCCTTCCACTTCCCACTCGCGTTTGGATGGTGAGTTATGTCCGACACACGCCGATATTACATCCCCGTCACCCTCATGGCAGCATACCCCACCGTGACGACCACGACCAGCGTGATCAAACTGCTCGGCACGCCAACCATGATGAAGTGCTTGACCTGCAGATACCGCTTGCCAGCCGGATCCTCCTTCATGATGGCAGCTACACACACACACACAACGCCAATTGCGTCAGCACACCCTGTACTTTCGAAAGCGGGAGAGAGGGAGGCGGTAAACATAACAATAGATGCCAGAAGTGCGGGAAAGACAAGACTCACTCATATTAGGAAACCCACTAGTCGGCAGCGCCATGGCAGCACTACACATCAACACGCCCGCCATAACCAGCAGATTCGGATGTGGCTCCTCAAGCCCGTTCCCCACATCATACACCAGCGGCAGGATAATGAGCGCGGCCACGGTGTGGCTGATAAACGTGGCAATCACCAAGATCAAGCTCGCAAATACCACCAGGATGCCATATAGACTGTAACTCTGCACGCGCTCCGTAATCGCCTCGGTGACCGTGTGCAGCAGGCCCGACGAATTGACCGCCTTGCCGAGCGACAGCCCGCCGGCTGCGAGGATGATGATGGTCCAGGGGAAGTTGTTGAAGTCCTCCTTGGTGAGGATCCCCACCCCAAAGAATAGGACGATGGGAATGATAGCGATGACGCCCATATCCCCGAACACGCCCTCGAGGCTGTGGCTCGCACACCACAGCGCGATGGTGGCCAGGGTCACGGCCGAGACGAACCACTGGAGGCCCGTGAAAGGGTCGCGGACGGGCCGGACGGGCACGATGGTGGTGCCGCGGCCGGGCTTGAAGGCGAGCAGCAGGAGGACCCAGATGAGGGTGATAGAGAGGATGCCGACGGGGATGACGATGAAGAACCACTGGCCCCAAGTGGGCTCGCCTGAGGGCGCCATGATGCCGATGGCGACGACGTTTTGCGGCGAGGCGATGGGCGAGAGCATGCCGCCGATGTTGGAGGCCAGGGCGATGCCGATGATGACGGCTTTGGACATGTCGGAGCCCGCGGGCAGGTTGCGGAGCATGGGCTCGATGATGCCGAAGCAGAGGACGGGTGCGGCGACGTTGCTGATGAGCATGCTGGCCACGGCGGCAACGGCCATGTTGGCGATGAGCACGGTTTTGGGGCGCGTGCCGGCCTTGCTGAGGACAAAGGTGGCGATGCGCTTGTCGATGTTGCATTTAGAGAGGGCCGCGGCGAGCGTGAACCCCCCGAGGAGAAGCATAATGACAGGCGTCCACATGGCCGCAAAGACGACGGCTGTGGCCTCCTTGGAACCGAGCCTGGTGTGTGGCTTGTCGTGGTCACGGAACACGCGCAAGACAACGCAGAGGAACGGGATAATGAGAGAGGTGACGAACAGGGGTAGCGACTCGGTCGCCCAGAGCAAGCTGACAAACACCAGCATGGCCAGGCAGTTCTGCTGCTCGGGCTTCTCCATGACGGGGATGTAGAGGATGGCAAAAAAGAGCGCAACGATGGCGACGAGCGTCATGGTTGTCGACGTGAAAAGCCATGTTGGACAGAGCAGGCGGCCCAATGGCGTTGTGATCTCCTTGGTCGGCAGCACGATCTCATCGTCGCCTTGCAGTCGCGTTTTCTTAGGATCTGTGTCCCGCCCGAGCAGGGTGTGGCCCAAACTGGCAGCCTCGGCCCGCCGTTCCATTCCGATCAAATCTCTCCAGACGGTATTCCGTTCCCACACGACGTGTTCCCTCAGATGTGATCGCAGGTCCCGGATGGCCGAGTCGGCGTCGCCGTTGGTGACAATGGCCGTGTATGCTTGCACCATCTGGGAAATGCGCTGTTCTAACCCCTTGGTGGTCTCGGGGCGAAATGGATAGGCAGTGTCGACGAACGTGTCCATGTATTTCGTCCGTAAGCTGCGGTCGATAATCTTGTCAAACTTCTTGAGGACCTTGGTGAAGCCGGTGCGGTTCAGCTGAATGTACGACTTGAGTTCACATAGCTGGACGTAGAGGTTGATCATGCGCTTCTTGAGCATGATGCCGGATGAGAACAGGGCGGCCTGCTCGGCGTAGTCGTCGAAATTTGAACTGTACCGCCGAATCGACCGTGTGAACTCTGTCGACGCTGTCATGTCGGTCGACGAGACCATGGCGTTCGGTAGCGTCCTGCGCCTGCCGAGGCTTCCCCGCCGCCTCTTGGAAGTGAGACCAGTCTCCTCGTCACCTTCGTCGTCGCTGTCTTCGTCCAGGCCGTCCTCAGTCGATCGCTGGCTCCGCGTGCTGCGGCTTCGTAACCGGCCGGAACGGGGCAGCTCGGAGCGAGCCCTTTCGCTGGACAGAGTTGGTGGACGGCCATCCTCAGGTGGGCCGGACTCTTCCTCGAACTCTTCTACATCTTTGAGAAGCAACTCGACCTCATCAGACAATTCCTTCTCTTTCAGGACGTAGAAGGACGTAATCTTTTCGAGCTCGACATCGAGGGCGCGGCTGAATACGGCTTCAGGGTCATCGTGCTGGATCAGCGGGCGGGACTCGGCGTCGCCGGCAGGCAGGTGGATGGCCTTTTCGAGCTGGTATATGCTGTGCGTCTGAGTCAACACTCGCTCGGGGTACGCTTTAGGAAGGTACCGCGTACAGCTTTTTGAGATTGCTGTAGGCAATATAGTGGTTGCTCCAGTCCGGGACGGCGTTGAACTGGATACTGTGGGAGAACTTCATCTCGTCCTGCTCCTCAAGCCAGCGGCGCTTCTCGGCCCGCTTGACGTCGTACTTGGGCTGGTGTTCCCCTGCGGCGTCGCGGTCCTTTTGCCACTTTATGGGGTATTCTACGAGTTCAATCTGCTGGGGGGGGCTGTCAAACGTGGTACGTGGCGGGCTCCCTCCTCTATCGAGAATGCCGGGGGCTGATTGTCGAGTCGGTGCGGGAAAAATCTGCGCTCCGAAACCTGCTGATCGTCTAGAGGAGGAGTTCTCGAGCGTGGCCTGGGGTGGTATTTTGAGAGCAGTGCCTCGAGGGCATCGATTGATGAGTCGCAGTTGCAGCGCGGCATCTTGCAGACGCGGATGACGAGAATCACCTCTATGGTTTGAGGTGCCTCCACTCATCCGGCCCCACCCGCTGTTGGGGTTCGGTCACTGGAACGGGAAACCAGGCTGAAACATGCCCAATTGGGATTCTTTCACTCACGTGACTCGTGTCGTCTCGAATGTCGGTACTCCTAGATCTTACTCCCTAGAAGCTGACATGATAAACCGCAATGATGTTGTTTGACCCTTGAAACCGCTTATTATTTCAACCTTGACTGTTTTAGGTATTTGCCATTCAAGCTTTAGATAAGCTAATAATGTCACAGTTCCCTTTAAAAGAAGAACACAGTACTAAAGCTACTATGTAGCGTCCTGATTATTAAGACATTAAGCTGAAATGCGGCCCAGACCCTAACCCTAATTGTACAAGGGTACCTTCGCATGTTACCTAGAGGTTCCCTGCTGACAATGCCGTCATGCGCCAACTGCTGTGCAGCAATCACAAGCTTGACATGAAGCCCATCTCAAGAGTCCACGCGGTACTACAACGGAAAGTTTCGCCCGAGATTAGCTTCAACAACGCTGTAGCCAACAGTGCTGATGCGCCGGTAATTGCGCCAAACACACGGTTCCGACGGGCCGGCGGGCGCCATGCTCTCCGCATTCACAGCTCGACCCATCATCGAGCTCAAGCAGCGGGACAAATCCAAGATCGAGTCCGTTCTCGCCTACGGTAAGACTTTGCAGCGTCATTTCGGAAACTTTGGCTGACCGCGCGCTTAGACGATCGCGTCCTCGTTGGTCTCAACACCGGCTCCCTGCGAATCTACCGAGTTAACGACCCCCTTCCGCCGTCCGAACCCACTCCCGCCAATAGCACCTCCACCACACAGCAAGACACTGTAGAGTCCGGTTCTGCTGCAGCAACCTCCCAGCATGCAGAGCAGACGCTCAAGCCGCCGGCTAGCAAGCCGACGGACCTACTCCGTGAGGTAGAGAAGTTCTCGACGCGCGCCATCGAGCAACTCGCCAGATTCAAGGAAGCGAACATTCTCGTGTCCCTCTCAAATTACGCCGTCTCCCTGCATGACCTCCAAACCTTCGAGCCTATCGAGTCACCCCTGCCTCGCACCAAGAATGCCTCCGCCTTTGCCGTGACCACCAACGTCGTCAGAGACCCTGCCACGGCCATTCCAGAGATCATCTCCCGGCTGGCCGTGTCCGTCAAGCGCCGTCTGCTGTTGTGGTCATGGCACGAGAGCGAAATGTCTCCGGATGTCTCCGAAATTGTGCTGGCCGAGTCTATCCGATCCATCACGTGGGCGAACGCAACGAAGCTTGTCTGCGGCATGAACAGTGGATACGTGATTGTCGATGTGGAGAGTGGAAGCGTCGAGGATATTGTCGGTCCGGGAGCTATCGGCGGAGCCTCAGGTGGACAAGGCCGCTTCGGCGCCGTCAGCGCGGCGGGGATGGGGTACATGGGTCTCGGGAGCTACATACCAAAGCCGCTGTCGGCAAAGCTGGCAGACGGAGAGCTGTTGCTTGCCAAGGATATCAATACCTTGTTTATCGATGACTCAGGGAAAGCGTTCGAGAAGCGCCAGATTCCTTGGCAGGCGGCGCCGGATGCGATAGGGTACAGCTACCCCTATATGCTCGCCCTGCAGCCACCAGCGAAGGGGTGTCTTGAGGTCCGAAACCCCGACACTCTGAGCTTATTGCAAACTATTAACCTCCCTGGGGCCGCATCGTTGCATATTCCCCCGCCAACCGTCAGTCTGTCCCATGGCAAGGGCTTCCTTGTGTCGAGTGATAGGACGGTGTGGAAGATGGAGGCAACCGACTACGACTCGCAGGTCCAAGAGCTGGTCAAGAGCGGCAAGCTTGACGAAGCCATCAGTCTTCTGAGCATGCTAGAAGATGCACTGCTCAAGAACAAAACAGAGACATTACGAGAAGTCAAGATGCAAAAGGCAGAGATGCTGTTTCGCCAAAAGAGGTACCTCGAGTCCATGGATCTCTTCAACGAGGACGACGTCAACGCCCCGCCAGAAAGGGTCTTGAAGCTCTTCCCCAAGATCATCGCGGGCGATCTGTCCGGGGTCGAGGAGGAGAAGCAGGACGAGTCTGAACAGGAGAGCACTAATGGAAATGCGGGCGGCGAACAGGAGGCAAGATCGGACATCGCCGAAGTGGCCGCCTCCCTTCCAAGGGCCGGGGGCTTCGCCAAGTATCTCATGGGCAGCCGGAAGGCCAACCCCGAGACGGCGTCCATCGCCTCGTCTAAGAAGGGGGCAGATGACGATGCCGCAAGCGGCAAGGGGAAATCCCAGGACGAAATTGCCCAACAAGAAAAGGAGAAGGACCTGATGGCGGCCGTCCTGGCACTCAACGGCTACCTCGCCGGCGCGCGAACCCGCCTCCAACGGGTCATCGACCCCGCCACGGGCAAGCTCAAACCACGCAAATTCCAATCCGGGACCACCGAAGAAGCTTTCAAGACGCTCCTCCTCTCATCTCTAGACGAGAGTGACGAGCAGATGGAGCGCAAGCTCCAAGAGACCTACCGGATCGTTGACACGAGCCTGTTCCGCGCATTCATGTACTCGCGCCCGACGCTCGCGTCGTCCCTCTTCCGCATTCCCAACTTTTGCGACCCGGACGTCGTCAACGAGCGCCTGGTCGAGCACAACCGCTTCAACGAGCTCGTCGACTTCTTCTACGGCAAGAAACTCCACCGCCAGGCGCTGGACTTGCTGCGCCGGTTCGGGAGCCCCGACGAGCCTGACGAGGCGGCGCCGGGCTTGCATGGTCCGCAGCGGACCGTCATGTATCTGCAGGGCTTGCCTCCTGAGATGATTGATGTCATCTTGGAGTTTTCAGAGTGGACTCTGAGAAAGGATCCTGAATTGGGCATGGAAATCTTTCTTGCGGATTCGGAGAACGCCGAGACGCTACCAAGGGACAGGGTAGTGGCGTTTCTAGGTGGTATCGATGTCGGGTTGGAGATTCGGTACCTGGAGCACATCATTCGCGAGTTAAACGACATGACGCCGGGCTTCCACAATCGGTTGATGGAGCTGTATATCAGGCAGCTGTTGGAGAAGGAGAACGCGGAGGAGTGGGATGCGCTGATGACGCGACTGGTGCGGTTCCTGATGGAGAGCAAGCAAATCAGTCTTGGCAAGGCGAGGAGTCTGATTCCCAGAGACGGTGGGTTCAAAATTTGCTCCTCTGGTGATCCAAGTTTTGACTGATATCTGTTCAGACCCCCGGTTCTACGAGGCGCAGGCCGTCGTGCTCAGCAACATGGGCCAGCATCGACAAGCTCTGATGATCTACGTCTTCAAGATGCAAGACTATACCAGAGCCGAAGAGTGCGTTTCCCCAGCCCTTGCTGCTGCTAGCCTTCCAATCTAACACAAAACCCCTTCGCTCAGATACTGTAACCGCATCCACAAAACCCAAGTACCCCAGGCTCCAACACCAGGCCGCATGCAGCCCTCAACCCCCGCGCCAGAAGACAAACCCACGGACCAGCAATTCGCTCCCGAAGAAAAGCCGTCCATCTACCACACCCTCCTCTCGCTCTACCTGACCCCGCCACCAGAGTACTCGCCCAACCTCGCCCCGGCCCTCGAGCTCCTCTCCAAGCACGGCTCCCGCCTGCCGGCGACCTCGACCCTCTCCCTCGTGCCCGACACGCTTCCCGTGGCGCAGCTCGAATCGTACTTCCGCGGCCGCATGCGCAGCGCCAACAGCGCCGTCAACGAGACACGCGTGGTGGCCGGGCTGAGGAAGACGGCGCTCTTCGCGAACCAGAGCCTGTTGTTTCTGGGGGACGGGATTCCCGGGGGCCAGGGGGGCAGGAATAGAAGGGTGGTTATCGGGGAGGAGAGGGTCTGCGGGGTGTGTCATAAGCGGTTGGGGGGCAGCGTGGTGGCTGTGTTTCCTGATAATGCGGTTGTGCACTATGCGTGTATGAATAGGGCGGCTGGATCGAGGGCGATGTCGCCGCCGGGGGAGAGTGCGAGTGTGAGTGGGAGCGTGAGTGTAAGGTCTGGTGGGTTTGGGGCATGGGGGAGGGTTGGTGGTTGATTATCGGGGCTCGTGTCGAGACGTGCCGTTGGGGGGCGTGTTCCGGGGAGCTGTACTGCCTGCGAAGTCGGGTCTTGTCGTTTCATGTAGACTAGTGTCGCGTTCCAAATCGGATACCCCATCAATTATCATCGCCCTCCGGCGCTGACCGACCTAATCCTCCTCTTCTTGCGCCTCCTCTCCGTAGTTCTCCTCCTCCTTCTCGTCGTCGACGAGTTTGGAGACCCCGTTGGCCGCGGACGCGCCCGACTCCCGCGCCTTGTCCTCTTCCATGCGTGCCGTCAACTCGCGGTTGATACGTTGTTGGACTGACGCCACATGTGCCCGAAGCTTGGAGAGGTACTGGGCTTTGCTGTCGGCGGGGGCAGTGAGCGGGAGGGAGACGCCGAACGCTGCGTTGGTGGCCGAGGTGTAGGTTACGAAGAGGGTTGGTGTCTGGGATGGCATTTTAATGGTTCTTTGAAGAGGCCTGAAGTTTGGGATATGCCGTCGAGAGAAAATGGCAAAGCTCGGTCGGTCTCTGGAACTGCTTATGGGAGGTTATGTTTATTTTGTCGTGGTGGTTTCTTCTTCAGGGAGTACCCACCATGAAATCTGGAGCGCTGCGGGGTTGGTGTTGCCCCACCTCGAGTCCCCTGCTTGACCGTCGCCGGGTCAAACAGTGGCGTTCCGTCACTATAATTGCAGCAGGGGTGCGATTTAAGTTTGACGTCCATACATCCGTTAGATTCTTCCCGTCTTGTTACCAACGCTGATGAGGAAACAGTATCTACCTAAACCTGAACACTTTACCCAAGAGCGGGCTAGTACCGCCTAGCGAGCCTGACGAAACGAGAACCGCATCATATCCGCAGCATGTCCTGTTGAGCAAAGCCTCAATTCCCTGCTCGTCGCAAATACCGAGCCTCAGTTAAGCCAGGATGTGATGCACTCTCTCACCCTTTCCATCCAGGGATAAGGTCTCGCCATGCAACCAGCAAGACCAACGCCGAGGGCTCCAGGGAGCTTCTCGCCCCTGCCAGCAAGCAACTCGGCAAGCGCGACGGATGTCTCGCGCACCAGGCAGACTCGCCAGGACTCGCTGTCGAGCGACGAGCCGGCGCCATTGAACGTCAACAAGACACGCAACCAGCAGGGCCAACCCCCTACGGCTTCTCCAACGCCCATCTACGCCAGCTTCACTTCCGGCGCCAACAGCAGCACCACAAATCTACAGAACTTCTCGCGTCCGACCATATCGACCGCCGTATCCGCTGCCCGTTCTGTCGCGGGCACGCACTCACCCAGCGACGCTCTTCCGCGCAACGGCCCTTTGCCTTTGACCTTGCCGTCGGCGACCCCGTCCCCCGTCACGCCCTCCTTCTCGAACCGGGCGGTCAGCCATTCGCGCAAACACTCGCAGAACGCCGGACTCTTCGAGCCCACCTTGCCGTCTACTAGCACGTCCAACCTCTCGCACATCTCAATGGCCACCTCCTCCCCAAAACCCAGCCCGGCGCCGCACCGAGACATGTCTGCCAGTCAGATCGCCGCTCAGGCAGCCGTGATGCAGCATCAGAACCAGCAACAGCAGGCGGCGCAACAAGCACAACACGCACGGCAACGATCACAGACAGCGCCGATACAAGGAGCGGATGAGCAACAACCGATCAAGCGTGCGAGTGGCGGGTCCATGAATATACAGCCCCCGATGCTAAGCTTGACCGAAGCGAGCCTGCCTCGAGATAACGCCTTTGGGAGCCAGACCTATCACAATGGGCTTCCAGGCAACCACACTCTTGCTGCCGCGGCCGCTGCCAATCTCGTCTTTCCGAGGTCAGGGCAGATATCTCCCGGGATACCTACGCAGCTGGCTCCTCAGCCGCCGCCGCCGCCGCCGCCGCCTCCCCCAGCGTCCGAGAAGCCTCTCAAGCCGGAGAAGTCAAAGGTGAAGCTCTTCTCGCGCCAAGTAAAGATTGGCGGCAGCAAGGGTGAGGCAAAGGAGAAGCCACTGCCCAGTCCCGGGAAGGTTGGGCATGCCTTCGCAAACCTGCAACGGGGCAACTTCAGCACTACCAGCTTGGACTCTGGCGCTCAGTCGTTCTACAGCCTGCCGAATTCCTCTGCGGCAACAATCCGACCAGCCGATATGCCGGTAGAAAAGGAGAAGGAGAAGGAGAAGAAACATCACTTCCTGTCTCGTCAGAAACACAAACTCAAAGATGACTACCATCTGCCGCTCTCCTCGGCAATGAGCAATTCTAGGCCGACAGACCCGAGCGCCCCCAGTAGTCTCTACAGTTTTAGCTTGCCACAGAGCCCCGGTCCGAACAGCACGAGCTTCAAATCTGCTCTAGACCTGCGTCATGGAGGGCGAGCTTTACGAGACAAGAGAAAAGAGGAGAAGTCGCTTGACGACGCTTCTAGTTCGGGCGTCGGCAGCGAGTGGCCTGGGTCAAGCAGCGTTGCTTCGGCATCTGGCACATTGGCGTCCACACTCTACCTCAACGAGCCATTCGACGGTCACAAGTACGGCCTGAACAATATGACCCACGACGATGCCTGGCCGTTTCTCAAGGCCAAGTTGCTCGTAGTTTTTGAGGCGGAAGACCTCAGGTTGCCGGTGGAGGATCTTAACCGCGTGGTTACGATGCATATCCAATACTGCTTGGCCCGCCGCAGTCCAAATATCATTGTCGACGACCTGAGAGAGCTCCTGTCGACGGGTTTCTCCAGTCTCGACCAGACGCTCCGAAAAACTCCCGAGGACAAGCTGGTCCCATCGCTTGTCGAGCTGTGGATCTTCACGTTCACGAGCATCCTGCCGTTCATGCAGGCTGTGTTACTGCCTTTGGATCTCGAATTCGCAGGTCACGGGCCCCTCATGGCCCCCGAGCAAGCCCGCGACTTCTGGGGCGGCATCCCTGCAACAGCCGACTCTTCCTCTGCCACTCAAAAACCAGCCCGCAGCCAGAGCGTCGGCGTGACCCCAGCTTCCTCAATCCTCGACGTCCGTCGCTTCGTGCTCCTCGCCTTCCGCGACATCGTCATCCTCCCGCGCTACGACACCCTCAAAGCCATGTTCTCCCGCCTCTCGCTCGAATTTCTCCCCCAATCCCTCGCGTCCATGGCCTTGGCCTCCCCGCCGCTCCCGATCCCATCACCAGGCTACCACAACCAGAGCATCAACCAGCAACTCTCCAACTCCTTTCCCTCTGAAGGACCTTACGCCTCGACGAGCCTACCTACCGCCCTCAACCAGTACCGCCCCAACACCGCCACCTCCCTCGACCCCTCCGTCGCCAGCTACACGAGCACGGGCAGCACGCTCTTCGGCGATAGCTCAGGAAGCGGCAATCGTAGCCGCGCCATCAGCAACGTCTCGTTCGGAAGCGACGGCGTCGCCCACGGGCGACCCAACAATCTCACCACAACCCTGAGCAATCAAAGCGCGCCGGGGGGCTATTACACTACCACAGCCGGTGGGACCAGCAACAACAACAACAGCAGCAGCAGTTTCCGCGAGCAAAACGTCGAGGACTCGAAACAGGTCACCGAGATGGTGGGGCGCATGCTGCAGTGCATGAGCGTGCTGGCGTCGGTGGGCGTGACGCCTGGCGGGCGAGACGATGAAGAGGAGGGGAATAATAAAAAGGTCGAGGAGCTGAATAAGCTGCTCAAGCTCAATTGGCTGGGCCGCGGCAGGACGGGGAGGAATAGGCGGGGGATGGTCGGCGGGCGCGCGATGAAGCGGGGTGGTGTTGCTGCTGGTGCTGGTGCTACTCCTGCTGGTGGTGGTGCGGCGGATCTGCCAGCGGGTTCGTTGGGATCGGTTATGGGGTAACAAGTGGTCTTCTCTTAGTTTCTCGGGGGCTGGGATTGGCGGTGTTTTTGGAGAATGGAGGTTTGTGGCTTGACTCTGTCTGTATGATGATGATGATGACGGGATGGTGACGGGGAGCTTCTCCTGTGCTGTAGGGAACTACGTTATCTTTTGGGGGAGGCATAGAGCAAAGGGAACAGGACAGGGAAACCCATGGCGTTTTGGATCTTCAGCGGGTATGTGGTGTACTAGTAGCTGACGATGATCGCTGGGATTCGCTAGTGCAATGCCAAGTACAAACTGCCAGTGTCTGTGAGCATCTCGCTCTCCGACATCACATGTGAGATCTGTTCTGCACCAAATGACCATCAAATACACACTTCATCGCGGCGATCGTGTTTGCCGTGCTTGAAAGCCATCAAAGAGGCCTGATGCGACCGAAGAAAACAAGGTGTGTTGAACCACCGTCTTAGAGCAACCATTACAAGTAGGGTGGTTGAACGTACAAAACGGGTGGATTTGGTCGTATTCTGAAGCGGGCCAGAGAGAAGCTTGGAGCAGGTCATCACACATGGCTGGCACAACAGGCAGCTCCAAAGTCATTCAAGACAGTCAGAGATAGAAGCTGGAGATGTAAGTTCTAAATTGTGCTACACTATGTGACGGCTCGTCCATGGAACGATAAACACCTAACTCCAGCATGTTAGCCGCTGGTTTCTCCCAATCAATGCTCAAGATGATTGTGAGTTGCTCCTGAAATCAGACATCCAAGGAAGGATTCGCCCTCATCTGTCCCCGAGAAAGGCTCTGGTGGGGACTCGAGTGGAAACTGCGAATGTAGGGAAAATTTTCATCATGTAGAGGTTGAGGAAGAAAAAAAAAAATTTGGCCGACTGACCTTGTATGCGAAGGTTGATAGCTTGCTGTTGTGTTAGCAAGAGTCGACAAAGGATTGAAGACGTCCCAGGAGGGATCGAGCAGATATTTATGTTCTAGCAGAACTGCTCTAGAAGATTCCACTGTTGCCGGGTCAGCGACTGACTTTTCAATCAACGAATCGACTGAGCTCCACCAAGCACAAAAGAAACGAGGATGCTCGTCGGCCGTGTCAGACAAATATACTGGCAAGTAACAGACTCCTCCCGGAGGAGGGAAGCCCGAGACAGACTGATCTTCGTTCATGGTCGATTCAGTTGGGAAAAGAAGACATGATTCTTACGTTGTCATCATTCAACGGCGCGAGGAGCGATGTGCAGGGAACTGAGCAGAGGAAGGGGAGCTGGCTTACCTTTCGTCTTGCAGTTGCAGTGGTGTTGCTTCTCGCTGCTCAGCTGAGCTCAAGCTGAAGCGACCTTCGACGAACAATCCACGTTCGACTCGCTCGCCAGAACTTGAGAAATGCTCAGGACGAGAGCAAAAAGTTTAACACCGACGCTGGCTTTCTGAATCCAGCGGCCACGCTTTGCTGCGATCCGAGCGAGTGTCGGTGGAGCGGTTGTGAAGTGGTGAATGGAAGAGGAAGAATTCTGTTGAAGTTTTGGTGCCGCGTTGCTCAAATACCCAGTAGTCGGAGAGCGATAAGAAAAATGAGATGCGTGTCCACGTGACTTCTCACATGCAGATACAGAAGAGTGGGAAGTACGAAATTGACTGTGTCAGAGGTGAAGTGGGGCATTTCCAGTGACAATTACCAATGATGGCCGCCTCAACCCCGATGAGAGCGGGATGGCCCGTTGCTTGAGAGAGATCTCCTAATTCCAGTAGAAGAGCGTGGGCTTCTTGCAATGCTGCTTGTTGACCACCATCATTGCGTCCTGGAAAGTTTCACGGCATTCCGAGAGAATTCACGGTAGGTATGGCAGCCTCTTGATATTTTTGCCGATAAATATGAAGTAGACCTTAGGAAGGATATTTAGACCCTGGGGTGGCACGGACTGCAGGAACACGTCCGAATCTTATTAACTCTGCGCAGTCTCCCCCATCAGTCATGAGACCTCCCCAATTCCCCCGTCTCCCGCCAAGCCAAGTTGCAACCGCCCGACACCTCACTCGCAGTCCCCTGATCCCCATCTCTCGTCATGCCCTGCAGCTCTGACATGTCAGAAATGTGAGGACAAGAACGCAGAGCATCCTCGAGTCCATCAATTATTCTCCATTACATTTTTTGTTCCTTTCCAAAAACCCATCTGTCGTATAAGGGTCGACGGGTTGTGCAAGCCACAACGGGGCGCCGCAGTTTTAAGGTTTTTGGTGTTCTGCCGGCGGCGTTGGGGGCCCTCCAAATTTTTGATCGTGCAAACCGCCCGGAACCCAGTTGCTCGCACTCTTGGTTCCCTACCTGCCTCACCTTAATCTTGCCAATCCCAACCCCCCGTCAGCCAAAACTCCACAGTCCACCTGCCACCGCGACACGTCGTTGCTGGAGCCGTCGATCTCGCCCAAACCTCCGCCCAACGTCTTTCCGAACTGCACGGTCGCATAATCGCATCGCGCATCACTCTTTTTTGCATCCTTCCTGCTGCCGCCATTTCCGTCCGCACTCGCCAGTTGGGGAGCCGTCGCACCACGTACACCCGCGACCCGGCCATCCTCGCCTCTACCCGCGACACCTGCCAACACTCTGCGCCTTACTAGTCGTCGCAATCGTCCGTTCAGCACTTGCCTAGCTTGTGGTCATCCGACGCTCGTTGACGGCTACGCGACAGCATCTCTGGTCTGCGCGATCTCATACTCCCGACGGACCGTCAGCAGCATATCTACAGCTGATTCGGTCCTATCCCAGCTTCGCATGCGATAACGCGGAGGATCTCAAGTCGATATCCACCAGGTGGATAGTTGACAGCCCCGGAGATGATGGCTAGTATGGGGCCAGGCTTTTCGCCGCATCCCGGCGGGATGCAGCAACACCCGGGTGCACCACCGGGGCATCCCATGGCTCCGGGTATGGCGCACACTCCAAGCCAACCCGGCGCGACTCCGGGCGGCATACCGCACCAGCTGGTTGGACACATGGGGGTGTCAGGGCCGAGCCCTCAGATCAGTGCTGCGACTCTCATGGGAGGCGTGCCGCCAGGGAACCCGAACGCGCATGCGATGCAACACTTGAGCCCGGCACAGGCCCAAATGTTCCACCATCCCCAGATGGCCCAGATGTGTATGTTCCTTGATTCCCTACACCACGTGCTACGAGCTAACCGTTTTGTTCAGATAGCAATAACCCGGCACTTCAGCAGCAAATGCAACAGCAACACAGGCTGCAGGTTTTGCAGCACCAGCAGCAGGCGAGGCAGGCCCTGATGGCGCAGCACAATATGTACCAGAACATAGGAGGCGTGGGAAACGGACAGATGGGTGTGCCCATTGGCCAGATGAACCCTCAACAGGCTGTTCATATGGCGGCGCTGAGAAGAGCGATGCCGGTATCTTCCCCGCTTCATCTCCAGCCTGCACAGATCGCTCATCAGCAGCAGGGTCAGCCGATGAACGTAAGACACCCTCAGCCGACTGTGTCGAGCCTCGTGATCCGCGCCAAGATGCGTAGGTTACGCTCATAAACGTTGCGCTAACAGGCATCTTGTAGACACACATGATGGCGCAGCATATCGCTCTTCAACAACAGCAGCAAATACAAATGGGCCAGCAAGCAGGCAACCCGAACCAACACCCTATGAACCCGCCACATATCAACCTGCAGCAGGCACAGATGGCCGCTCTTCAAGCCCAACAACAAGCGCAGCAAGCTCAGCAGGCCCAGCAGTCCCAGCAGGCTCATCAACAAGCAGCTCAGCAGGCAGCTCAAGCCGCTCAGGCCCAGCAACAAGGGCCGGGGCAGGCTCAGCAGCCACAACCCCAGCAGCCGCAGCCTCCACCAGGTCAGCCACAGCAAGCGCAACCGCAGGGCCCGCAACCCGGGCACCCTGGGGGGCCAGGCGCGAACGGGCCAGCGCCGACTCAGGGGCCTCCCCCGGGGCAGACGCCGCAACCGAATACCCAACAGCAGCCCCAGGCGCCGCCTCAGACCCCGCAGACTACCCAAGCACAGAATCAGGCTCAGTTGGTCGCGCAACTACATGCGCAAGCGCAACAGCAACAGCAACAGCAACAAGCCCACGCCGCAGGCTTCGCACTAGCCCAGCAGAGCCTGATGCAGCAGAGGCGGGAGCTGAAGGGCATGTACCTGCTCAGGTTGATGCAGTTCAACGAGCACCTGAGTGGGTTTCCGGTATGTTGGCCTGTCCCTACTGAGCGTATCTTACCCATAGCATCTGACTCGATCTTGATATAGGGATCAAGAGGCAGGGATGACCTAGACTATTGGAACAACTTCGTCAGGCAGTTCTTCTCGCAGAAGGGTGTATTGAAGCATGCCATCCTTATCAAGGAGAACGACGAACAGAACCAGCAGAAGCATTACGAGATTGCGTATCCCGCCATCGCCCGGTATTTCCATACGCATTTCGACAGCGGCGTCAAGACGATGCAGTTGATTATGAACAAGGGCACGACAGAGAAGACTATGCCCAACGATTGCCACATGGTCATAAACGACCAGGCGAGCTTGGTCTATTGGTTCGAGGGCGGCTCACATGTAAGTTTACGCTCGTGGGATCAACTGGCGTGAACCACATTGACAGGCTGGAACAGCTCGTTGCGCAAGGTTGCCTCCGTGTCCACTTTGACCATGACCAGAAGTTCGATATCTTCGAGTTTGAGACAACACACCATGAGGAGTACATCTCGAGACAACTCGTAATACAGGCTGCCAGGCCGGCGCACAATTGGGTCAAGGAGTGGCGTGCTCTCAATCAGCAGGATCCCAAACAGTCGCCGGAGATAAGCAAGAAGAGCAAGCCCAAGCCAGCCAAGGTTCCTGCCGGTGCTCCGCCAGATCTCGAACTACCCCACTCTTTCGTAAAGAGCACCATGGGGATCACCGAGGCTGTGTATCAGTTCCTTGAGGTATGTTCCTGTCTTTCTGGGCTATGTACTACGAACGCAGCACTAACGCGCCGGTAGATGGTTGAGATCATGGGCCAAATGAACCCACTCTTCAATTATTACCATGCCCACCCTGGACTGGCGCCTTACGCCGCGCTCGATCAGTACGTCAACCAGATCAACGCCGCATCTCAGGGCATGAACGGCCAGCCAATGCCGCAGGCAGGAGGCCCCAGGACCCCCGGATTCGGCCAGTTCCAAGTCGGCGCCAGCCCCGCCATGCCCAACTCGATGTTGCCGGGATCGCCGCACGTCGTCGGCAGCCCGGTCCCGGGCCAGATGGCGGCGCCCGTGATGCAGCTGCAGGCGAGCCAGCAGGGCACCAACTCGAGCGGGCCGAGCGCCAACACGTCGCCGGCGCAGAACAGCAACAACAAGAGGAGGAGAGCGTCGGCCGTCAAGACGGAAGAGGACAACAACAATACGCCCGGGGCGGCTTCGGCGCCGACGCCCCAAGCGCCCATGGGTACGCCGCAGCTGAATGGAACCCAGATCAAGGGGAAACAGCCGCCTACGCCCCGGATGCCGAAACGTCTCAAGACTGGGGGAAATTAGCACCCATCAACCCAGTATAATGCAGAGGCGAACAATCTGGTTCTTCGTCTGAAAGTTTCTCTCCAAGACTTGGGGAAGATGTGCTAAGCTGCTGCTCATTTTTGGTTTTCCGTCAGGATCTGCCTCAATGGGTGAACGAACCCCTTTCATGGCTTTTTCTCCTCCGAGGAACTCTGGTATTCTATACGCCTTAGGCGTACTCCTACTCCTTTTTGTGACGATGTTGTTCTCGGCGTCAGGTTCTGTTTTGGGGATCTTCATCAACGGCCGCTTGTTGGGCAAGGCGGGCATACACATTTCTGGGACTGGTCGGATTGTGCAATACATTGTTTTCTTGGGGCGTGGGGTGCGGGAGGCAGGAGGGAAAGGGTTAGAACGACATCCCCTTGATTATCTATCTATCTATCCACAAAGTATTTTACCTGGCATTGGAGAAACTTGGCTCGGATCTGCGTTGTGTTCATATGGTTTCCCCCTTTTCTTGGTATGAATTCTCGTTGTTTTTGTGGTTGTTGTTGCTCATGGTTTTGGGAGGGAGGTCCGGTGAAGGAGACTTTGTCTTGCTTTTGCTTTTATGTTTCTGTATTGATTCGGGAATTGGACCCTGCATATACCCCTACTACTGTCACACGCACCCAACCCGGTATCACGCATATTCCATACGCTTGTTGAGAAAAATGGGAGTAGTTTGGTTAGGTTTCTCTGTTTTGCTCTGTATGGTATGCTGGCGGCTAAGCTGATGTTCCTCCTCCTCCCCAAGTTTTGATATCTTTGAACTTACCCGTGATCCTTTTGACTTTGTCTGTTACTGGTGCTCGGATCAAGTGAATTCATGTATTAACCCACCGTTGACTGGGAAGACATCCGTGGTGTTCTTGAAGAATCGTGGTTATAGTTCACAGTCACCAACCCCCTGACAGTAATTCGGATGACTTGGCGGAAGATAACAGCCCATACTTTTGGTCACTGGGACTCATACAATGTTTCTCTTCTCCTTTCCCTTCCCGGACTCTGTACAGTCTGTTTGCTGGTGTTGATGGCGGTTGGACCTTTGGGTGCATAACATGGGCGGAGAAAGGGGGCCGAGTAAAGCCCATGTGCTACGGATACCTCGGATGAGTCAATGACGGATGGGGCATGGATTGTATGTCAAGGGATGGTGAGGATAATGGACGGACAGCGATGACATATTGGAACTCGGTGAAGCAGGGGACTTGGGCTTGTATTACCGGAGCTATCGTTTGTTGAGGTGTTCTGTTAGGAGCTTGAAGGAGACTGCGAGGAGGGGATTGGCTGAGTGAAGGCATCGTGTTGCCGTTTCTTTGAAAACCAGCGTTTTCTTCGTTCTTCGTGCATTCTTCCTTGCCTTTCGTTCCTCCGTCTTTTCTCTCCCATTATTTCTGTACCCTCAATCTACCTGCTTTCACCTATCATGACGACACTTGGTGGTAGCTTGGTGTATTGAAGGTGTTCGAGGTCTCGATCGGCTGTTATTCGCCCTCCGAAGCATTCTATTGACATTTAATATGTCGAAGTCTTGGTGAAATGTGACGGTCGCTTGTATTGTTGAGTGAATATGTTCGGGTACTCGGCGCTAAATTTGACAACTTTGAATACCATTTTTAGAGGAATCAGATATCTCCTTGAGACTTCTGTCTTCGCCAGGGGAACGGGAAACAGCAGCCAGATCAAAGACTCACAAGCCGAGATGGTATCGTTCTATCTTGCAGAGAGATATGGAGGATACCTAAGGTACCTAAGCCACAGCCTCCCCATAGAACAGAACACCTTGTTTGAGAGTATGAACGATAGGGTGTATTGCCTAGTGACACTGCCCGCAGAACTCGGCTCCTGCTTTTGTCCATCGCAGGAGCCGTGAACATGATCGGTGTAGAATGGGTTTGAAGCACACTCCACTCTCGGCGAGAGACAGGCAGGCAGAGTGGTCATTGCAGCAGCTGTTTTGTCCTTGGCTTCAACGAACCGGAAACGGGACAGCTCATATGAAGAGAAAGCTTGGCTCGCGGCATGTCTCTGGCTCACAGCAATGACATGTGTGGGGAATAGGTCGCCTTGAAGCAGTTGTTACTCGTAGGCCAAGCCCAACGTCCTAAGTCGTCCTTGACCCATCCATCGATGTCGAGCTTGGTGCCAGACGATCCCTTAAACTCATGCCTCTGTTCCCAAGCCCAGAAACGATTGAAAAGGAACCCAGCAAATAATGCAGTGCATGATACATCAAGCGCGTCCTTGCCCCAGTAATCCGTCGTCCCTTCCGAGCGATCCCAAATCGATACCCGAAAACGCCGTGAACGCATCTAAGAAAAGGCAAGACGTGAATCGTCTCCAAAAAAGGCAAGCATGAGGTTGCTGTGGGTTTGAGGCTCAGGCGGTCTCGATATTGCCAAAGGTGTTTTCGCCCGAGTAGGTGATGTAGAGGAACCTGTTTGCCGGGTGTTAGCATAGGCTGCAAGCTGCGAACAAGGCCGCATGAGGAGCTGCACAGAGAGACAAACTCACCCATCCTCATCCTTGTGCTCCTCATAGATGCTGCTCATGAGGGCAGCGGTCGGCGGCAGGACCTCATCGACAAAAATGAAGATGGCTTTCTCCGGGGAGAGCTTGATCCGCTTCCGGATCACGTAGACGAACTGGCCGACCGTAAGGTCTGCAGGGACAAGGTACTTTTTCTTGTCGATCGTAGCGATATCGCTCTTCTCAACCTTTTCGCAGATGACCTGAAGGAGAAGAGTTAGCGCTTTGCGATATATTGATGATAACGGGTGATCGGATAGGGCAAACGGATGTCGCCAAACACCGACAATTGTCGGGCGAGCTGCTTGACCGCCCAAACTGAGGAGCAACATACTGGAATGCGGTCAGAGTACTTCTGGCGGATGCGCTCAGCCTCAGCCTTGCGCTTCTCGAAGGGGTGTTCGTCCTTGAACTTGCTGCGCATGTTGATGGTTTGTGGGGGGTGACAAATCGATGGGTAGCCTAGTAACTGCCCTGCGGAGTTCGCAATGATGTCTGCGAATGCGCGAGTTGAACGTCAGTAATGCTGTGGTTGCAGCGGGGAACAAGAGCGATGGGCACTGGTGCCAGATGCGAAATCGGTTGGGTTGAGTACCTTTTGAGAATTGAGAGGGTGGTGGTTGTTGAATGAAGGCGAGGAAGGTTGGCGTCAGTGTGAGGTGCGTAGTGGCTGCCGCCTCGATAATAAACGGGGCCCCCGGCGTTTGCGCACAGCGGAAGGCGGGGCTGACCGATGACTGAATGCTTGCTGGGGGGAAAGTCTTGGCTTCTATGGGTTTAGCGCAGTTGCAGCCTGGGGTGAATCAGACGCACTGTTCACATGGGCCGCGCATAGACCAGGTGCTCCCTTTGGTTTGCTCAGCTGGTATCAGGCGCTTCCAGGGCCCCCTTTGCCGGCTCTGATTCTACTCGGTACAAATCTTCTACCTTATGTATGCTGGGCACGCCGCCGTGATGTAGCCAGTCCTACACACAACCCTATGCTCCTCCATCTTAGTTCCGATCGCCATGTTACCAGAGCCAGGAAAAGGGAGGTCCGAACTCTTGAGCACCACATGCCATGCTTTGTTGACCGATCGTAGAAGGTACCAGGCACCGATGCCGAGCCTTGCTCCAGCAGCTCAAAATTTATAACCACTTATCCGTAGCGAGCTTCTTCCGTATATCCGACTTGCCTCTCTCCCTTACTTGATGTTTGATTCAGGCCTCTCTTTTCTTCTTGCCTTCTTTCGGGTTTCAGTTGAAACAAAGCGGAGTTGGCCTTGGGGGTGATGCCCCGCTTGTGCCCCGCTGTGCCGGACGGATGTCGCGGGACCTGGACACGCCCCATGCCGGAGTTTACTTTCGGGCAAGCACCCCGGTTCCCAGCTTTTGTCGTTCCCGAAGCGCTGGATTTGAGGAACATCCGATTTTTGACAGCAGAGTCAGCCGAGCCAGGCAAGACTCTCCGTCAAGCGCCCACATCGAAGGTACTGGACGAGACACCGGCGGTGTGTCCCGGCTTCCCGGTTGCTGGATTGGGAAAGTGGCCTTATGTCTCCGCCGAGAATCATCTGATTGTCCCACCGGCTCGGCCGTCCTCACCAAGTAGTGTCCGTACATAAGCACCGGCCACGATGGCCTCCCGGCGGCCACCCTTCCGCCTCTTTGCGCAGTGCACGTCTCGCAATCAATTCAGCGGCTTTCCCTTCCTCAACGCCAATTGGAGCTCTCGGAGAGCATTGTCACGCTTCCCATGTTCCGGAACGTCCAGTGAAGCTTCCACGCGACTAAACTACCTCGGCTGGGCAGTTGCCGGCCTTTTGGTAGCGGTGCCTTTGACCTACAAGATGGTAAGGCTCTGACCATGTCGGAACTCAGCAGCCCCCGGGCCTGTCCGATCCGCTGACAATGCGCTGCGCTGCCCAGGCCATCGACGAACCCCTCAAGTTGGATATCCCGACCCTCGCCGAGCGTGACCAGCAGCTAAAGTCGGAGCAAGGCGTCTCCGAACTCTCGCCCATGCGTCTTCGCATGGAGAAGTTTGCCAAGGAGCAGCAAAGGGCCATCGTGCGGGCGCTAGAAGAGGTGGACGGCACCAAGTTCCGGGTGGACGAGTGGCAGCGCAAGGAGGGCGGGGGCGGCATCACATGCGTGCTGCAAGACGGCAAGGTATTTGAGAAGGCCGGCGTCGGTGTCAGCGTTGTCTACGGCACCCTGCCGAAGCCGGCCATCTTGAAAATGCGCGCAAACCACAAGAATATTGCCGATGAGAGCAACATACCTGACAGCCTAGAGTTCTTCGCCGCCGGGATCAGCCTCATCGTGCATCCCAAGAACCCCATGGCGCCCACGGTGCATCTCAACTACAGATACTTCGAAACAGCCAACCCAGACGGCTCTCCGGGCGCCTGGTGGTTCGGCGGCGGCTGCGATCTGACGCCGTGTTACCTCTTCGACGAGGACGCTATACAATTCCACAAATCGCTCAAGGAGGTGTGCGACAAGCATGACAAAGACTACTATCCGAGGTTCAAAAAGTGGTGCGACCAGTACTTTTACAACAAACATCGCGGCGAGTCGCGCGGCATCGGCGGCATCTTCTTCGACGACCTCGACGAGTCAGTGTCGGACAGGGAGAACCTGTTTGCCTTTGTTCAGGACGCCCTCGAGTCATTTGTGCCGACGTATGTGTCAATCGTGAACAAGCGCAAGGACATGTCGTTTACCGAGAAGGAGAAGGAGTGGCAGCAGATCCGCAGGGGCAAGTACGTCGAGTTCAACCTGGTGCATGACCGGGGGACGGCGTTCGGGCTGAACACGCCCGGGGCGAGGGTAGAAAGCATTTTGATGAGCTTGCCCCTGACGGCGAGCTGGAGGTACATGCACGAGCCGGAGCCGAAAAGCAGGGAGGCGCGATTGGTCGAAGTGCTTCAAAATCCCAAGGAGTGGGTATAGAGATGGTATAAAGGTGTCGAACGATCTGTGTAACATACTGCCGTTCATATCTGTATTCTGTCAATGACCGAATTGTAACTTGTATCCCGAGCCATTTGCGCAAAATCTCCGTTCCTGCTTCAGTGTTGTGATGGTGGTTATGCCAGACAGGAATCTGCCAATTCCGCCAACTCCTCTATGCTTCAACTTCCTTCTTTCATCAAATGAACACCACAATCTGAAAACAACTACCACCTCCGTTCCCAGCAGGAAATATAAGAAAATACAATGACCTCCTTCCAGCAATCAGACATCGCCCCTAATTTCGAATCCAATCCCAATGGTACCATTCCTCTCTCAAACCGCCAACGCCTTCCAACCGCCCGCACAATGCTCACGACCCTCATCAAGGCCATCTCCGCTATCCCACTCCTCCCAGCTCCCGAAGCATACCACCAACCAGCAGATGCCACCGAAAAACTTAATCGCGAAGCACCCCTCACCGATAGCACCATCAACAACAACAACCCCCTCCGCCGAGTCCCGCCATCCCACCGCCACCTCCTCATTACCCTGCACGTCCTCTTCCCGGGGCTGGTCCTACCCGCCCTGGACCTGCTTGAGCGCGGGCTTGTTGCCAGGGTGGGTCTTGCTTCTTCTTCTGGTAGTGCTACTGCTACAACGACGACGAAGACATGTCGACGTGATGGTAGTGGTGGCGGCGAGAGGGTGGTCAACAAGAGCGGGAGTGGTGGTGCTGTAGATCATGTTGATGATGATGATGGGAGAAGCAAAGTTGGAGGATGGCGACCACAGGATGGAGATGGAGAGGGTGTCAAGCAAAAACAGCAACATCAGAGTCATCAGCGAAGATTGAACAATGAGAAGTGCGACGAGGGAGAAGGCGGCGAGGAAGAAGCGAGTACGGCCGGTACGGCTACCACAACAAGAGGCAATGCACAGCCAAAGACTACTCGTGCCTCCTTTTACCTCGTGCAATCCGCCGCGTCGCAAGTGGCTGCGGCCGCCTCCTCACGGCGGAGGCGGAAACACAGCGATGACGGCCATGACGGGAGAGAGGAGATGGCGACGGCAGTGGCAAAGGAATATATCGTCTTGCTGGAGGCGTGGCACTGCAGTTGTGCTGCGTTCGCGTTTGCCTCTGTGCAAGGTGGGAATGCAAATTCGGAATGGGTCGCCGAGGTCGCGGATTCAAGGGAGCAGAGTGAGTTCGGGCATGGGGCCGCTGCTGAGCCAGGGGAAGGGTCAGGAAGCGCCGGGACGGAGATGGACTGGTCGTTTGGGGGGATGAGTCTGGATGGGTTGGCGGCTGGATCCGGCGAGGGCGTGCCCTTGTGCAAGCATCTGCTGGCGTGTCTGTTGGCCGAGAGGTGGAGTGCTCCGCTGGGCAGGTACGTGGTTGAGCGGCGGGTGGGAAGGGAGGAGATGGCGGGTATTGTGGCTTATGTGTAGATGTACATGTCTCTGGAGATCATAGGTTGGTAGGGACAAGTGGGAGCTCCTGATTTCTCTCTGCTGCAAGACATGGCACGCTGTCGAGGATCAGGGCTGGCCAGGGCATAATGCAACTTCATCACAATAGCATACCGAAGATGATTCCCGTAGTATTAACAAGCCCGAGTCGTCGTCGAGCAAATGCGACCCCTCGTACAGTCATTTCCCATGCTGCCTATGTGGAGCTCCTGGTCTATTTCTTCTTGTCCTTAGATACCTCCTTTTCCTTATCGCCGCCGCCTTCCTTCAATTCGCCATTCACGCTCGGGCTGCCCTCCTTCTTCTCACCCTCCTTGCCCTCACCCTCCTTCTTGGCCGCCTCCTTCTCCTCCTGTTGCTGCCGGTTTTGAATCTTGTTCTCAATCAGGTCGTGAAAAGCAGTGATGGCTCGGATGAGGCTGCTCAGGTAGATAGCCATGAGCTGATCGTTGGTCTTGACGCTCAAGGCGTAGTTGAGCTCGGTGTCGCCTTTGGCACCGTTCGCGCCAGGCTTGGGCGTCGAGAGATTTGGCAGCAAATTGAACACATCTTGGAGGTTGCCGAGGATGGCGTGGTTGACCGGCAGTTGCCCGTCGAGGACTTTCTGCAGGTATGCTTGGATGTCGCGCAGGCGGAGGTGGAGGCCCTGGAGTGATTGGAGTTGGTTGGTGATCCGGGTGGAGAGGGTGCCAACCGCTACGTCTCGAATGTCACGCAGCAGGTGCTCAACACCAATCTCCTCTGCCTCCTCGGCCTCGATAATCGACGGCGTGTGCACGAATGTCTTGGATGTGGTGGTTCCGTCCTGTTGCAGTCACGTTAGCGGCCTCCCAAGACGCAGAGACGTTCGCAAGGCAACGAACATCCTTGATCTCTTCGACGGCAAAGTAGGCATCTGTGGGGACGCCGGCCTCCTTCGGTTGGACGTCGATGATGACTAGCAGTGGGTTGGGCGTGTAGCGCTTGAAGAGCTCGTTGATCTCCAGATCTGAGGCGCGCAGCTTCGGACCGGAGTGGTACCAGCCTATTAACTTCTCGCGCGCATTGACCTTCTTGAACATGTCGTTCATCGACTCGACGTAGTTGTGGTCCAAAAACCAGACTGACGGGTCCTTCTCGTCCTCCTCGAAGGGAACTGCACAGCAGGGTCAGCGGGCGAGCAGACAGCACGCGGGCCAGGACAAGGCATGATGCTTACCTGCGAAGCTGTTGGAGACACGCACATTCTTGCCGTCGTTTTGCCCTAATAGCACACCCACCACCCGCTTGGTTTTGCTCTTGAAGGCCTCGGTGCGGTTGTAGTGATCGACGACGGAGAGCAGTACCAGCGGCGCAACCGAGACGGTGCGCGTCACCAGCGACAGCGTCTCCGCGGTTGTAGCTGGCATGATTTGACGGTAGTTGCGGGATCAGCGTCGGTATGCGAGGGCGAGCTGGTGGTTCGTCGTTTGAGATGGCGGAATCGGGAAAGTGAGTTTTCGTTGGTCTTTGGATTGGATCCAAGTCGGCCGTCGTCACGCAGCTTGCTGCCTCGCTGGTTCAAGGTGGGTACCCGATCAGGCTAGTCAGAGGCTGACAATGGTATTGCAGCCCGGCCACAAGGCTGCCAGACCTGATTCCCGCTTGAAGCTAGGCCAGGGGACCCACCTTATGCGGCAGGTTACCTAAGCCAAGTGGAGCACAATGCAGCTGCCTGTTTCGGAACTGCAATGCATGACGGCAGCACATGGTCACTGGTGGGCAGGTCGGCAACTGCCCGTCTTTACTATTAAACCGACAGCCACTCGCTTTCGAAGTCCAAAGAATCATCCTCTTGCCATCCAACAAACGCGACCAAGCACCACAGAACAAAGCCGTCCTCTTCCCAATCCACACAACATAACCAGGCAAACCGCCTTACATCCGCAATCATGAGACTGTTCTCGTTCCTCATCGCGGCCCTGACGCTCTTCAGCGGCGTCATGGCCGTCGACATCGAAAAGTCGGTCCTCATCACCTATCGGCCCGAAACACCAGATTCAATAATCAGCCAGGCCAAGAAGGCCGTCGTTGACGCCGGCGGCGTTATCACCCACGAGTACACCCTGATCAAGTAGGTTCCCCGCTATACTCCAGTCTTTCCCCCCCAGCAAGCTGCATCGCATACTGACACCAACGCAGGGGATTCGCGGCGACTGTTGGCGAGAAAGTGCTCGATACCGTCTCGGCCTGGGGAAACGACTCGGGCTACTTGCTTGCTGTCGAGGAAGACCAGGAGGTTCACCAGATGAAAGGCAGCAGAGTCAGCCTTTGAAGAGCGTCGCTTCTAAACCAGGACACGTTAGGGGGGGGACGCGATGATGAGCTACGATATATATTTTGGGCGGCGGATAATTTGAAGGATCATCAATATTTCCTCTTGCGAGATGCGGCTCGTTTGGCGTTATTGAGGAGTTGGTAATACAGGCGGACAGCGATTACATCGGCCAGGTGGCTTTGCGTGGGCCAGGATCAATGTAGGTTATGTTTACGAAGTTCATGTTTGTCAAGCAAGCTTTGCACAAGCCTACGGCCTTGCCGGAACCTGTCACCGAGAGGGGCCTGCTCCAGCGAGGGCGGAAGAACTAGGTCAGCCGCTTGGACAATGAATCAGTGCTAATACCTCTCGGGGAGAGCGTATTTCAGTCCAACCATCATCGCACATGCCACCAAACGGCAGGGAGCTCAATGCAGCGAGTCCTAGTCATGGACGAGTAATAGCGGGCTTTGCACAGATGCGTGAATGAAATCTAGGTATTGACTTTAGCCCTCTGGTCTCCGCCCGCAGCCCCTGCGCTCGCTCTAACCCGCATGTGCTCATCCGGACCCTCCCAAAAAGGATCACCACGGCATCAGAACCAAGAACCTAACGCTATCTAAGGCTCAGGTATACTTCCTTAAGAAACCCAAATCACGGACACATCAGGCTCCCAAGCCGCGCTCCCCGCTCATTTCCCTCTAACCGCCTCAAGAATCCTCGCCTTGAGCAGCGCAATCTCCTTATCCCGCTCCTGAAGCGCTCCCGCCACCTCCTTATACTTCTGCTCCCAAAGACCCGCGCCGCCCGTTCCTCCACCGCCGCCGTCCCCATCCATCATCCGATCTACCTCGTCAGCCACCACCCCCTCCTCCTCCCCCTCCTCCCCCTCCTCCCTCTCCGCAATCTGCTTCCTCTTCTTCTCCCTCCTCCATTTACAATGCATCACAGTTTCCTCCATAGACCAATCTCCTACAATATCCCCAAACCTCAATTGCCACGCACACGCATACCTCGTCCGATCCCCCCCGCCGTTTTCCACCTCGTCAAGCCTCGTGATGCGCAAACTGCCCTTGTTCATCAGCACCTTCCCGCCCGCCAGCGCCGCCAGGTTGATCAGGAATGCCTCCTTGGTGGCCGCCGTCGCCAGGAGGTTCTCGATGACGCGCTGCGTGAGAGCCCATGCCTCGTCGACGCCGCAGGGCGGGATGGGGTTGCCTTGGGAATCGAACCAGTCCGCCTGGAGGATGTTGGTCATGAAGAGGACTTCGGCGTCGTCCTTGTTGGTCCGGTCGGTTGGGTCGCGGGAGAATGGGGGAGCGGGTGGTGGTGTCGATTGTTGTTGTTTTTGTTGTTCCCTACCGGATGAGGCGGTAATGGTGCTGGTGGTGGTGGTGCTCGTGGACAGGGAATCGTGATTGCGTTCATAGGTCCCTCCTGGGGCTGTTTGGGTTTCGGGGAATATGGGTTTGCGGGAATGGCTGGCGTCAAGCCGTTGGGTTGCGGGGTGGGTACAATATTCGGTTGGCTGCCCGTCAATCGTTATTGTAACTGGTGGCGGCGGTGCCGAGTTTGGAGGCGGAGGTGAGGCTAGCCGGACTTCGCCGCCTTTTCGTTCGGGTACTTGCAGTGACAGCATCCTTTTCTTCGCTGGCCGCGCCGGCGCGGAGTCTTGCGTTGGTGGAGGGCGAGCTGGATTCTGCGCTGGCTGAGGCTGGGGCTGGGGCTGGGCCGAGGTCGGGGGAACTAGAGGAGCTGTCGAGCCCGGCGCGGTCAGGGCGCCATTGCTTGCAGAAACCGCGGCGGAGCTGTCGGGGGTCGGTGACGGAAACCGGAAACTCGTCGTTTCCGAGGTAGGGAAGGCCGAGTATGGACCCTCGTTGTTGTTGGCTCCGCGGTTGATAGGTGGCCTGCCCCGTGCCTTGCCGCTGGCGCCAATTCCTCCGCTTCGCCATGCAGACGACACAACCTTGGCCCCGTGACGCCGGCCCGATGCCCTGGATTTCGACGGGGTGATGGCTGACTTGGGCTCGTCTGCCCAGAAAGCGTTCCTGGTCGAGGGCGTGATGGCAGATTGCGGGATTGGGTAGGCGGTCATGGGCGTCTGGACAATGTCGTTGCCCCAAGTAGCCGCAGGCGCAGACGGGTTGAGCCTCGAAGTATCGGGCACAGGAGGGAATAAGAAGACGCTGCCCCTCCCGTCCGGCTGGGCCGTCCATGGTTCCGCCGTGTTGGCTTGTCCTTCACCCAGGAAACCATCTGGCTGGGGCGATGGTCGCTGGGGAGGAGATCTGCCGGACTCGTCCTCGTCGGGTTTCCTCCTGCCCCTGCGGGGTTTGATCTGGGGCAGCAGAGCTCGCAATGCCATATCATCCTCTGCCGCGACACCGTCCCGCTCCAGCTCCAAGACCGAGATGTGCTCAGACGGTATCTCGGTCCAGTAGGGAGACGGGCGGCCGATGAGATACTCAAAGAAGGCATCCACATGCATGGAGTGCATCCAGCGCTTGAGGCGGACGGCATATTGCTGGATTTTTTGCGTGCTCTGGCCCTTCCCCTGGTCCGGCGGCTCGACGCCGAGTCTCAGAGCCAGTTCGGCCCATGTCTTGAGTTCCTTGGTTTCGAGTCTCTTGATCAGCTCGAACAGGGTGAAGGTACTAAAGACCTTGCCGCCACTCTTGGGCGGGGTGCGGAATGCCTCGCGCAAGGCGGCCGTATCTGTATCGAGGGGCACGCCTGGGTTGCAGTAGAGAATGAAGGCCACATAAGCATCGTCGATCGAGGCGGCCGTCACGTTCCTGTCGGGCAATGCCCGCCGCGTCGATATGGCGTGAATGGGAGGCTGGCCAGCGTGTTGTTGCATGGTTGCGACTCTGACCACCACATGCCGATTCCCAGGTCGACGCGCCGACGCCGGCCTTCTGCCTTACCGTCCTGTCCCAACCCCCAATGAGTGACGAATCGAGACCCGAGCCCCCGCCTTATCGCAGGTCTTCAGCACTGGGCTCCGAATCCGTATCCGGCGGCGTGCACGGCTGACTTGGTGAGACGAAACGACTGAACAAACCCGCAGCCATGCTGTCGCTGGATACGTTGTCGGTGCCGGAGTCACTGCACTCGGCTCTGTGCTGCATCGAAGATCCAAGAGGAAATCCAGCCCCCTCGTCCAACCGGGTTACGGGACAGGGATTGCTAGGCAAAATAGACCGTGGATAAAATCACTGTGCCAGCCGGTGTTATGCACAGTCTCGTCCATTAACCCAACACCCGAGTCTCGAGTGTCTTCATGACCTCTTTCCATTTTCTTATTTGGCCTACCATGGTAGTTAACTCGACGTTAGGCCAGCCTGGCATCTTTGAATGGTGACCATAGAGGTATGCGAATGAATCCCTGGGAAGCAGCATGAAACAGCTAAAGAATGGAAAACGGCCGAGCAAACTCTAAACCTACTAAGAGTTAGTGTCGCTGATCCGACTCTAATAATTCTCTTTAACCATCTGCAAGTCTGATGAGTTTGTCGCTCCTGAATTTATCTCGCCTTTTTGTAGCAAGCAGGAAGATTTGAACCCGTAGGCAGGGAATAATGATGTTATCCATAATCCGGGGTCTGCACTGCGCTTTCACATGATTTCCCTGCAATTGCCGGCGTCGCTGCCAATCAGTGACGTCGCCAGCCGGCCCCTCCAAACACACCCTTGCCTGCCTGGACGTTTCTGGGGTCCCGCACCTCGATCGGACCTCGGCAGCGGCACTAACATCCCAACAACAACCGCCCCGAAAGGAGGAATTAAAGGGCTGTACGGTAATGGAGCGAGGTCGTGTGAATATCTATTCTATGATTAGTCCTAGGCGCTTCTTCTTTACAGCCGAGTTATATACTTGATAACTTGAACCCTTTCCAGTGATCTCGAGTCCGACTCTCTGAGCCAACCTCGTTTCCCCAGATCCTGAAGGGACCCTACCGGATATCTGACCTCGGTCCATCAAAACTGACGGCGCGTGCCATATACTACATCGAACTTTCGTCGCACCGCTTCACGCCGCCTCCTACCGCATCGCATCGCCCATCATGTCCCTGTCCAAGCCCGTGCTTCCGCAAAACGACAATGTCGCCCACGCCCTCGCCGGCGCCGGTGGCGGTGTGCTGTCCATGGCCCTGACGTAAACCCCCCCTTCCATCGCCTGCATACTACTGCAGTTCCCATGAAAACACATTAACAAACTATACCACATAGCTATCCCCTCATCACGCTCTCAACCCGCGCCCAGGTCGAGTCCAAGCGCGCCGAGACGGCCTTCCTGGCTGCCGTGCGCAACATTATTGCGCGCGAGGGCGTCTCGGGCCTGTACTCTGGCCTGTCATCGGCCCTGTTCGGCATCAGCGTGACCAACTTCGTGTACTACTACTGGTACGAGTGGACGCGCGCCTTCTTCGAGGCCGCCGCCGCGAAAGCCGGCCGCGCGTCCAAGAAGCTGACGGCCGTCGAGAGCATGATCGCCGGCGCCATTGCGGGGTCCGCCACCGTCATACTGACGAACCCCATCTGGGTCGTCAACACGCGCATGACGGCGCGCAAGAACACGAGCGCCGAGAGCGGCGAAGAAAAGGAGGTCCTCCCCGGCGGCGGCGGCGCCGCACCAGCCAAAAAGGAGCGCAAGCCGAGCACCATCGGCACACTGCTCAGCCTGCTGCGGACCGAGGGTCCCACGGCGCTGTTCGCCGGCGTGGTGCCCGCGCTCGTGCTTGTCATCAACCCGATCCTGCAGTACACGCTGTTTGAGCAGATGAAGAACGCCGTCGAGAAGAGGCGGCGCGTGACGCCCACCGTCGCCTTCTTCCTAGGCGCCCTCGGCAAGCTGTTCGCCACGTCGGTCACCTACCCCTATATCACGGTCAAGAGCCAGATGCACGTCGCCAAGGCGGGCGACAAGAAAGAGGGCGTCTTCGAGGCCATCAGCAGGGTCATCCGGGAGGAGGGGTACTCAGGGCTGTACAAGGGTATGTTCCCCTCCGACCATGCCTCCTTGTATATATTCACTAACTGGATGTTCTCGTAGGCATCGGCCCCAAGGTCACGCAGAGCGTGCTGACGGCCGCTTTTTTGTTTGCCTTTAAGGACGTGCTCTACGAGTACTCTGTCCGACTGAGGCACTCTGTAGCCAAGAAGGGCATTGCTGCTTGAACACGCCGTGCCAACAATCCACGGCCACGGCGCATGGAGACAGATACCACGACGCTCTGAACGTTGAATGAGGTTGGAGGAGGATAGCTGTGACCGGTTCGAGGTTCGCGAAACGAGTAAGCTGAGAGGACCACAGGGGCGGATCAACCTAACCACCAAGAAGGAGTACCCGGAAGGGAAGGTATGCGTTGAAGAGAGCCAAAGTAAAGCACGCCTTTGTGGGAGTACCGGCAGCGAATATGGTATTGTACATTAAGCGTCATATGGCGTCAGGTTAACGGAGGGAGTGAGGCAGGGAACGGCAGGGGCGGCAATAGTTATCACATTTCTTTTCCACCCATACGCTGCCCCCCCTACCTAGCCTGTTCACGACATGCACGTCGTCATGGTCTTGGTGAAGTTCATTGCATCTCCCCCATTTTGAGTCACCACAGTGGTTACGGCCAACTTTCATCCGAACACGAACTTGACATCACAATACACGTGTAGTGAGCACCTTGCAGCACTACTCTGTAAACAACTTCCCTCGCCCCACCTCCCAACAGTCCGCCAAAGAGCCGATAGTTCAAGGGTGGCAGCTCGGGGTAAAACACCCCTGAGCTGGTAACTTACTTTCGAGGAGGAAGCTGTCATTTTGGAGTAAAACCACCCCAGTGGTTTTCGTAGCCGACCACTTCCTTCGCCGTTGAGGGCAGCTGGTCGGGGAGCTTTTTGACCTTCTGGTCGACAAGATTTCTACTAAAAGACTTTACACGCTTCCCCCTTCCTAAAATCTTCCCTTCGAAACCCTCGGCACAATCCACCACTCATGATACCCATTCTCCGGCCTCGGCACCTCGACACTCATCGTCAAACCCCCCATCCCCGCCTTCTCATCCGCATTTGCGACGAGAGCCCTCTTGACCGACTCAACCGCCACACCCACCGCAATACAAGCCCTCATCCACGCCCTAGCCCCACCAACCCACCTCTCAAACCCAGTACCACCACCACCCCTGCCCCCAGTTGCAAACGCCTCCCCCTCGCCCATCTTACTCAACACCTCCAACCCAACCCTCGCAGCAGCAGCCGCCTTGGCCGCACTCTCAAGCAGCGCCGGAGTAGACACATTCGGTTTCAGTACAGCGGTCGTGAAGGACTCAAATGAAGGCAGTTCGGGCAGGCCGATGGACGCGAACGGCTTCATGCGCACCTGGTAGCGCAGCGCGTCGGTGCCGTAGGGGCGGGGAGGCCGGGGGATGAGGTCCAAGCGGGCGAGGACGGTGTAGAGGGCCGAGAGGGCCGTGGCGAGGTGGTGGGTTGTGGTTGCTTCGAGGGTGGCGAGGTGGAGGTAGGCTTTGGAGCGGGTTTGTTGCGAGGTGGCGGTGGTGGTTTCGAGGCGATGGGCGGAAAAGAACTTGATGCGCTCGAGGTGCTGCGCGCGGGTCCTGCTCAGGTAGCTGAGGTACCAGTACATGCCCGCCAGCTCGTCGGGCTGGTAGATTTCGAGCTCGAACCCGAGCTGGACGGTCCACTCCATCAGGCGGAGCTTGTAGTGGTACGCCCACGAGGAGAGCGGGAGAGAGTGGCTGGGTACGACGCCCGAGGAAGGGGGGTAGACCAGTGGCTTCTCCTCGGTCTGGAGCTGGAGGAGCTGGTCGATCTCTTCGGCGTCGATTTGGACCGTCTCCCAGTCCTGCAGCGAGTGGAACAGCGTCCGGCGCACGCGGCAACGGTTCTGGCAGAAGGCGCGGAAGATGTCGAGGTATGACTGGGCCGCTCGCTGGCGGAACAGTTCCATTTGGTGGGCTATCGCGTAGCGGGGGTGATGAGGCGCTTCGACGTTGTCGTTGGCCGGATCTAGCAGGAGACTGCTCGGTAGGACAACGATGGACAGGTCGTCATCGAGGATCTGGCGGATGCTGAGGCGGCCGAGAATCACCATGTCATGGAAGAGAAAGTTCTGCAGAAGGGCCCGGATGAATACCAGCGGCTGCGGCTTTTGAGCCTGGAAGGTCAAGACGAAGTTCTATCGTGCGTCAGGTCACCGTATGAACGTCAAAAGGTGGTGGTTAGAAGCGGTCTGAAACTTACCAACAGACTTTGAGAGTCGGAATAGTTCAGAACATTGAGCACATCGATGCCATCCGCAATGAGCTTCTTGAAGTGCTCGTGCGTTTCCTCGGGGCCTAATTGTACAATGGGGCGCGGCGGCATGGTGCTAGCGAGCCTGCGCTGTATCTTTGTGCTGAACGCCTCGGGGACCGGTTTCCCTAGGTGGCGAGTCTTGTTTATGGCCTCCCAAACGCCCTGCATCTGGGACCAGGGAAGACTCAGCGACTCTGCATCGCTCCGCAGTTCGGATAGCTCGATAGCACGCAGGAAGGCGGTCCTCAGCTCGAGGCGGAAGCCCAGTGCATGCGCCATCTCGTCGGTTATTGTGTGCCGTATCTCGTGAATAATATTTCGAGCCTCCATGATCTCGTCGCGTATTTCATACCGGCCAATCTTCTCCAGGAGTGACCGGTTGTAGGTGTTGGTAACAAAGTCTTCTTCCTTGTCGGGCATCAGTATCCGACAACAAGATGAGTAGTATGAAAAGCTTACCTCGTAGGAGTGCTCCTGCTTGATCCGCTCATTGACATAGCAACTTGACTTCAGCAAGCCAAGACAGTAGGCTCTGAGGACACCATGCATGGGATCCCGCTGAGACTGTGGCGGGCGGTTCCTGATGAAGTCGGCATCCTGGACGGTCATTGGGGTTGGCTGCAGCATGTGCTCGATGTAGACACTGGTGAATAACGTCTGGGAAAGCGGGTATCCGAGGTGCCATGCGATCTGCCAACAATATTAGTTGTTTCGCACACTGGAGCCATGCAGGACACCGAGACCAACCTCGAGAGAGAGCAGCTGGTCTATGATGCCGATGACCTCGCCTGGAAGAAGTGGCCGTGTCACATCGTAGTCATCGTCAAGGGACTCGCCGGGGGCCAAGCAGCCGCTGTCCATCTTTGGATCCCCGATCTGGGCTCTGGTCAGTCTGGGTACAGCTTCGGCGAGCTACAGTCTCCAGGGACGGCCAACCTCCAGCGCGCCAACGGACTCGAACAGAGTGAAATAGCCATCTTTGACGAGTTCGCCGGGCTCCAAGGCTGTTTTAATACAGAATGTGTGGTCAGCATTGGACAAGGCAGCTTGAGTCTGTGGGCCTGGGGATTGACGTACTGGCAGCGGCAGACCGGAATTCCTCGGTAATATTGTGAGCAACAATCCCCTCGCTGGATATCATGGGCGGCGGAGGCTCTTCGAAGGCGTCAAGGTACGCTCGTGGGTCGTAACTGTTGATGCTGAAACCCCCAAGCTCTGGTCCTTCAACCAGTCAACACTGGAATAAAGTTGGGAGCCGCCACTGGGCACATCACATACCGTCCGACACCGCGGTTGTGTCGTCATGAACCGCGTTCATCACTAATTGAAAATATATATTCGCTTCGATTTTTGTATTATTTATTACTGTCGCTGATATGTGGTGCGGCCTAGAGTCGGGCGCCCACGGAGCGTTTGTTGCCTGGGTTGAATGACTGAGCGAATGCTGAGCGCCCGACGTTGAGCCTACATCGGTGGATATGATAACAGGACATCCCGCACACTCAACCTGAGAGATGCAATCACTTGACCAAACCTCGTGGATCTACAAGAGGCATATGCCGTTTCTTTATTGCGTGTTTGATTTCTAGTCAGGAGTTGAAGCATGTCATTCACATTCTATCGCAACAACCGGTAACTTGTTAGTCTCATCAAAGACCGACTCCCGCAGCCACGCCTTGTCAACGTCCTCGTCTATTGAGCTTCCGCCAATATGATACAGTCCCGACACCCTCGCAGACGCCTAAGATAACGAAGTTGCTGTCGATGCGTCGTCCGCCCAAAGTTTACGGCCCCTCAACGGGCATCATCCACCCCGTTCTCAGGTATCCTTCCCAAACCAAACTCCAACTCAGTGACCGCCGGCCGCAGCGCTCTCGACAGCTGCCTGGGCATTGGCCGCAGCCAGGTTCTGGATCTCGCCCTGCTTGCCGTTCTGTATTCGAAATTCGCCCACAAATCAGCCCGGCCGCTCTTTTCTCCTTCGCCCCTTCCCCCATAATCATCGGATCCAAACTTACCGACCACTTCGCGAACCTCAGATCTTGCTGGCCCCGGCGCTCAGCCGCAATTCTCTTCTCCTCCTTCAAGCTGCGGCGCACGACGCGGGCGGCGACGGCGAGGTAGCGGTTGTAGCTGTTGGATGTCGCGAACACCTTGCGTTAGCTTCCTCTTCCTGTCGTTCTTCCCGCGCAATCACATCCCCATGCATTTCCGATTGTCTCTCCCTCTGATCCGCTCCGCAAGAAAAATGTAACTATGTCGAGCAGGCTCAAGGGACAAAAAGACAATTGACTCACGTAAGACCAGCTGCTTTCCACGCGAACGTCATTTTGGCGGTTTGGTAAGACGGGTTGACTTGTGTTTGGCGCTGTCTGCGGGATTCGGGAGAGCCGTTTCTGGGCGAGAAAAGGCTCGCGCAGCCGAGAAGCTCCGCGCCCCAGTTCCCTGTCACGTGATCAAGTTCACAACCGCTCTTCCCCAGAGCGGGACGGATTACCATCTAAAGGATCCGAATAACAGCACACAAAGGCCAGGTGCTGTTAGTTACACAGGATGGATTTGGAGTTGATGAGTGACAGGTTATCAGTTTTAGTGATAGACCTCAGCATAGCCAACCACAACCCAGCTATGACTACCTCAGCTCACCCAACTCACACAACACCCCGTCCAGGCCCCCTTCAAACCCCACCACGCTTGGTCACAGACATAGAAAAGCGAGTTAGGTTCTAGAATCACTATATGCACAAATGTGGGTGGTGGACGAGCCGCAAAGTCTACGACAAGCGGAGGGCTGTTGGTACACGTTCCTCACTTTCCCCCCTTTCCTTCCCCTAGTTCTACTAGAAAAACAACCCCCCATCTTCCTCCCAACCGTCTATATCTTGAGCCCAAGTTCCTCAGCAAACGGCAATACGTGCAGGTCACCAACCGCCGCCACCGACGCCTTGCCCCCTAATAGTGTCTTGGCCGCCTGTTTTGTGTTGAACTCTTGTCAGTTCTGCGTTTCACTCTATAAAACCGTCACAGCACGAGAAAATAACAAGGTGGTGTTAAACTTACAGCCTTGAGCTTGTCGGCATTCACGCCCTCCAGCGCCTTGACCGTCTCGGCAACCTGCAGCGGCTGGCCGCCGTGGATCAGGTTGGCGCCGGCGTGCACGAGCCCGGTGCCGCTGACCTCGCTGCCCGAAAGCAGGTTGAACTTGGACTTAGCGATGGCTTTGACCAGGTTCTCCTTGGAGATGCCGCCCTCGGCCACGGCCTTGAGCGCCTTGACCGACTCCTCAGCGGCCTTGCGCACGGCAGCCGCGGGGCCGTTGATCTGGATGGTGAGGAGACCGGCGTCAGAGTAGGCAAAGTTGGTCGCCTTGGCCGTTGCGCCGGGGGCGGCAGCCGTCGCGTTGGACAGGAGGGAGAAGCCCGGCGACCACTTGATGGTGGACTCGCCGCCGAGGAGACCAACCAGGACGGCGATCTCAGGTTGATTGGCGCCCAGGGCGGCACCGGGGAAGGCGATGACCAGCGAGTTGCCAGCGATCCTGGCAATGCGCTGCTCGCCGCCGTAGTACTTGGACGCTGACGTGCTCAGGGAGGACTGGGACTGCGTAGGAACCGCCTTGAAAAAGGGCTCGATCCACTTGGAGAGGCCGGTCTCGCTGGCACCGTCGGCGACCACGGCGATGTTGGCTTTGGTGTAGGCGGCCTCGGCAAAGGCAGCCACCGAATTCTCGTTCAAGTACGACGAAATGGGCGTGCTCGCGGTCGGGTAAAGAGGCGCGCCGAGACCGGTGTGGAAGGCAACAGCGTGGGCGGCATCGAGGGCGACGGCGGCAGCATCGAGCTTGGCCTGCTTCGCGTGAATGACGTGCTCGACTTCCTCGTGGTACTCGTGGGCTGTTCGCATATCAATGAGCATTGTTGTCCTTGTTACCAACCAACCCTAGGAAAAGGGATATGACGCACTGGTATACCGCGTTTGCGAGACGACCTCGGCAAGCAGCTCGGTGAAGTAAGGGAGATCATCGCGGAGGAAGTTGGCCTGGATCACCAGGGCTTCCCGGGTGTGGTACGCGTTCAATTGGCCGCCGAGCAGCTCGACCTCGCGAGTGATGCGGAGAGCGGAGCGTTTTTGTGTGCTCTATCGACGGGAAGCAAATTAGCTCATCTGTTGTTGATGCGCCGACACGAGGTCTCCCAAACAAAGTCTAAGACGTGCCTTGAAGGCGTACTCCTCCAGCCCAACCGTCAGGCCTGGGAGAGGCTCGTATCGGGTGCCGGCTTTCGCGACGACGGCGAGGCGGGTGGTCGGGCCATTGTCGTCTCGGGAGGCGACCTTGACGCCGGCGATGGTGGTCGGCTCGTACGAGGCCTTGGGCGATGCAACGGCCGCGAATCCGCGCTGCGCAAGCTTCGCAGCTCCCTGGCGGCGGAGAGCCAGCTGGCTGCCCCTCGACAGAGCCTGTCTGCAGATCATGGTTTGGGGGGGGCCGTTTGTCGTCAATTGACAGTTCGTCAAGGTTTGCGGCAGCACACTGCGTGAGGGAGCTCTTGGATTCGATACCTTGCTACGTTCCGAAAATTCCCTGGGGCTCCCCAGTATGACGGAAAAATTGACTGTGCCGAGACCGTGACCCGGCTGAGCTTGCACTGCGATACTGGCTATAGGGACTGTGCAGTCATGTCGATGGGACCCAGAATGGCATCTCAAGATCGATTCTCGAAGACTTTGGAAGGAAGTGCTACATCTATTTCCAGGGCATGAAGTGCGCCGAAGGACAATCAAGGACAAGTTGGATGATGGGAGCCTGGAAAAGTTTTATTTATTTGTTCTACACCTTGGATGTCCCAGGATCGCGCGATCAGCGGTTCCTGTTTGCATTCGTCGTTGACACAGCAGTACTTGCCGGACCCTGAATGGCTGCGTCCAGAGTCTGATTAGCTCCTCCCTCAGCAAATCCAGTCATGCCACACTGACGCACTGCATGCAATTGGCCAAATCCTCCTCCTGGAGCTGCCCCGCGCCGACCGCCCAATTTTGCCTTTCGAATGTGACTCCAGCAGCCTGCGACTCGAAAATATCAAACCCCGTCTCCGTTCCCCACCAAACCACCGTTTCCTTCCGGCGCTGCACCTTGCATCACCGCCGGGCTACTTCAATGACTATCCGGTAGCAATTGTGACAGCTCTAGAGATAGTGAGAGGATCTCTAGACGCTAATTCTCGACAATCTACGCGCTGTTTCCAAACCCGCGATGATGCTCGTCGTACGTCGCCCTCCGCGTTTTCCCCGTCGCATGTCGCCGCGCGCGACTTGCCGTACTGTCCAGACTCAATCAAGCTAACGTTTTCTCTTCAGACGAAACCGGTCGCAGAGCTGTGCGCTCTGCTCATTGACGAGTTACATGGCGAACTCCCTTCCGTATGTGCTTCCCTTCTGCAGACGAAGCTGTGTGCCCTGCTGGCTGTTACACAGACTAACCACGCGCTGCAGAGAATATTCGCGACGCTCCTCAGCAAAGGCCGATCGACTCTACCTCAACTCTCCCAGTACACCTCAATGACCCTGCGCCAGCTTCGCCATGGCGTTGCCGTCCTCCTCCAGCACAACCTGCTCTTTTACCATCTCGATCCGGGCACAGAGTTCGCCTTTTACGAAGCGAATGCCGAGCACGCCTACAACCTCGTTCGCACTGGCAAGATCCTCGAGATGATCGACACCTCTTTTGGCGCGCCGGCGAAGGACGTCATGCAGAGCCTCCTGCTCTCTGGCCAGACGAGGATATCAGACTTGGTAGCCGCATACCAGGACAAGATTGAGCAGGCGACCAAGGCCGGGGGGATTGTCGGGGATGAGGATGATTTCGGTGCTGAGACGAACGGCGTGAATGGGGATTCTCATCCGGCCAAGAATACTGGACCCCAGGTCAAGAGTACGGCCCACCTCAACTCAATCATCTGCCGGTTAGTCGAGGCTGAGGTGATTGACGTTGTCCATCCGAAGACGTTCGAGAGTTCGCACGATGTCCTGAAAACGGTCGAAAAGGAGGCCATGGACAAGCATTTCCCTGCCGGCATCAAGGGCAACAAGGCCAAGATCGAGTTGCAGGAGAGGATCGCCGAGGGCCTCCGCAAGGTCCGTGACGAGTGCAAGTCGCTGAAGCGCAAACTGGAACAGAATGGCTCGGCAGCAAAGAGACGGAAGCTTTTCACGGGCGTGGGTATGACGAACGGTACCTACGAGGAGGATATCGACCCTGCGTTGGACGTGAGTGAATCTGATAAATCGTCAGACGTGCGAAATGCGGTACTGACTTTTCCCCAGCCGAAACAAGTCATCAGGATAAACTACGAAAAGTGCCTCGTTGACTTGCGAAACCGCCGCCTTGTCCAGTTCGCAACCGACATCTTCGGGGAGACCACGGCCTATGTGTACGGCGTGCTCTTGAAGCTGCTTACCAAGGACTTACCCCGTTGCCGCTCGGATCCCGCCATGGATGTCGGAGAAGACAAGGACGACGACGATGAGAAGGGCCGGCGGTCTGTCACGACCGACCAAATCCTCGACAACCTCAAGACATCCGTGGACCTCTCTCTTGGGATAGGGAAAGCAGAAAAGCGACAGATATCGTCTGCAGCCGCCGAGAAGGTTGAGCTGTACCCCCCAAAAAAGAAAGTCTTGATTGCGGAAGCCGAAGTAGACGGCGAAGCGAGCCCTGACGAGGACGAAGACGACAGTGACTCCAGCGAGGAGTCGGACTACGACTCGGATTACAAAGCCCCGACGACGAACGGGGTCAACGGCACACACGGCACCAAAGTGAAGTTCGATGAGTCGGCAGCCCCCAAAGAGAGGCGGCTAGACCGGCCAACCCAGCTTCGACAACACCTTCTTCTACTATCCGAGAGCAGGCAGCACTTTGTACGGCACTGCGGCCCGAACGAATGGACGGTTGATTTTGTGCCGCTGATCAACGCCCTGCGCGAGGCCGAGCTCGACTCTGTCATCGAGCGGACGTCAGGCCGGCAGGGCCTGCGCCTGGTGCGCATCCTCCGCGCCAAGGGCAAGCTGGACGAGAAGGCGCTCCCCAACGTGGCCCTGATGCGCAAGCCCGAGCTGCAGCAAAAGATGCTCGAGATGCAGACGGCCGGGTTTGTGCACGTGCAGGAGGTACCGCGCGACCTAAAGGCTGACGTGAAGAAGTCGTTTTTCCTGTGGTTCTGCGACGTCGACCGCTCGCTCAACCGGCTGCTGGACACGAGCTACAAGACCATGTTGCACTGCATGCAGGTGCTCGAGGCGCTGCGGCAGAAGGAGCGCGACGTGCTCGAGACGACCAAGCGGACGGATGTCCGCGGCCGCGAGAAGGATACCATGCGCAAGGAGTACTACGAGCGGTATTCGAGGTTCCTCGAGTGCGAAAGGAAGCTGTTTGCGCAGGTCATGCGGCTGGATGATTTCGTTTCGGTGCTGAGGGACTTCTAAGGGGTGCTCCAACCTCTGATAATATAATGGCATGCTAGTCACCTTCATGGTGGACTTAGGCGAAAAGTCATATTGCATTGGCGGCGTAACTCTGGCTTGGTTTGGGAACAAAATGTCGCATCTGTTCGTTGCATTTGGCTGGCGTTTTCTCGGAGGTTTTCTTGTTTTTCTAGTATCATCTCGAATAGACTGACAGGAGGCAGGAAATACTTCGTTTACGGAGCCAGATGACGCCGGCTTATAGCCGCTGCTTTGCTGTTGTATCCAAGAAAGTTATGGCAGATAGAAATTGCATGAGCCATGCGCAAGAAGCAGACACAGTCACTTCGCTGCACCGCTGTCCACAGTCGAAATTTCCTGATCGTAGTTCGGTAGTTTAAGGTTCCTTCCTCAAGCGGCAATACATACAACGAGGCAAGTTCAATACCTACTAGAATGCGAGGCTCAAGAGGCTGGTTGGACATGGCGGATCCGACAGCCTGGCGAGGTCGCCGCCCTGCGTGCGGCAGGCGGCGACGGTGGTATCTCGACTTGTGTCGGGTGTTGATGTCAACCGAACGTCTGGCGTCCTAGTTACCCAACTTAGGCGTGGGTTAAACCTTTTTCCAGATACAAAACCCTTCCGGTCCGCCGCTCGAACATGTTGCTCGCCATTACCTACATCTGAACCCAACGCGTCCACCGACGAGCTCATACTGGCCGACGCCGTTCTCCTTCTCCCTCAGAAACTAAGGCCTCTCTCCGCCCCGCAAGGATGACCACTGCGTCACCGGGTCGCGAGCCGTACGACCCGAGCAGGTATCAGTGTCCCAATTCTGCGACCCGGAAACACCATTTCGCGAGCCAACTATGCTAGTCGAGTGATGAATTGGCGGGTGCAGGCCTCGGCGATTAGCTCAGCGCCGTTTCTCCCGTCCTCGTCCTCCGGCAAGGAGAACCGTCTCTGTGCGAGGACGGGAGAAGCATCAGGAGGACCTGGTCGTCGGCGGCGCGGGAGTACAGGGCCCAGAGGCGGGAGACCCACGGCCCCGGTAGTCGGACACGTCCTCCTCGATGACATCGGCGGCGCCAAACAGCTCATGCCGGAGCCCCTTCGGCGGCGCGAAGTGCCGTCTTCCATACCCTGTCACAGACGTCGGGGGACGTGTTCAGAGCCGTGGGAAACGGGCCCTGTCAAGTGTCAGGATCAAGTGTAAGTCGGTCGGGAACGGACCCGTCACGGTTTGCAGCCTCCTGAGCCGCAATCCGCGAATAGTCAGCGTCATGGCTGGTTTGTCCCAAGCGACCGCTGGGAACTGGTTGCCGCTGATGCGGCATAGGTTGGTCCTTGGGGAAGCCGTCAGGCGCCTCGATCGAGACTTGGGAAGGGTCCAGCGTTCAACGGCGGGATGTCTGCATGCGCTGCTGGGAGTGATGGCTTCGGTTGCCGTTGAGTATCCTAAGGCTCTGCTTCTTGGTGTTCATGGCGGTGAGTTTCATTGTACTTTTCATCTATCTCGAGTACTGTTGTTAGCACCTTAGCTGTTGAGCTTGGAGCAGTAGATATTTACTTGCAAAGCTGCTTCAACCAAGCTCAAGTCCCGGACTCCTTGATAACAAAATACCTACCCACATGCCTCGGTCGACTCGCCTAGCCGGCTCTTGAGCCAGTCGACCCAAAGGATGCGATACAATCCGTAGTGTATGCTCTTACCGCAGGTAGCGCAGGGCTTCTTCCAGATTCGCCGTGACGCTGACCCGGTTGACGTCGGTGAGGATCTCTCGTCCCTCCTGTCGTTGGCATCGCCCCAAGAGTACGAGAGAGCCTCCGAGACGGGATTGTCGTCGTGGTCGACATGCTCGATTCGGCACTTATTCTCTCAGCGGCCATCGTTTGTCGATAAGGCATCTCAGCTGAGTGAAAACATGGATGGGTAATGTCCTGCTCCTACACGTACTTTGTAGCACTGACGAACTGCCAAGGCAAGCTCCGAAGAGTAGGTTAATCCCCGTTGGGGTGTTCATTTAGCACTAAGGTATGGATTACACCTATCGCCCATCTTGGAGCTGTTCAAAGCAGTCTTGCAACCAGATCTTAGCATTTCAAAAGTATCAGAGATGAGGTGAGTAATGAGGCAGTTACACCATCTTATGCGTGCTCCATCTTGCATTTGTTGTTCTATAGGGCGGGAAGTGAGGTGAGGAAGTTGGACCCTTCGGACCCACTCACGGTCAAGAATCGATAAGACCCAGGAACCGCGAACTCAGCAGGGTTCAGGCATCGCGGGTCCCCGCTCTCGGAGCTGCGATTAGCGGGCCCCAGAATTTTTTTTGGCGACGAGTCGGGCGGTGACAAGGGCCCGAGAATAAGTCGGACGACATTCTCATTGCTCCTTTCCAAAGTCGTTCAAGAACAATTGTCCACTCCGTTCGCTCCGTTGTAGAGTCCCGTGCCGTCGGCTTTGCCTTGTTTGGGTCAATTCAAGCGTGCTGTCCCTATCTCGCTTGGAGTCTCGGTCCTCGGTCCTTGGTTTTAGACATATAAATAAAAACTACACACGGCAAGATGTCTCCTCCGATGGCTGCCGCGCGGGAGAAGGAGTCAAATCTGGCGAGGTTGTTGGGGTCTGGTATGTTGAATTGGTTGTCTTTCTTGAACTCAATGGGTTGCTGACTTGTGCCTAACAGGCTCCGCCGGTATCGCCGAGCTGGCCATCTTTCATCCCGTGCGTTCTCCCGCCCGATTGCGATTCCGGATGTCCCGATAGTTATGCAGGTGTGGAGGAGGAAATCAAGGCGCTGACGACGTTGTGATGGGACAGGTCGATACCATTGCGAAGCGCCTTATGAGCAACGAGGGCAAGGTCGGCACCCTGTCGCAGCTCAACACGGTCATCTTCAAGGACAAGGCCAGCGCCCCGCTCGCGAGGAAATTCGTCTCGCTGTTCCCCGGTCTCGGGTACGCCGCCGGCTACAAGGTGCTGCAGCGGATATACAAGTACGGCGGCCAGCCCGTGGCCCGCGACTTCCTCAACACCCACTACGGCAAGGACTTCGAAAGCGCCTTCGGCAAGAAGACGGGCAAGGCCATTTTGCACTCGACCGCCGGAAGGTGAGGTTCAGGAGTTGAAGTGAGTGGAATAGGAATCCTGAATAAGGGACTGACAAAGGGAATGACTCCAGTCTAATCGGCATTGGCGAGATCATTCTTCTACCGCTCGACGTCCTCAAGATCAAGCGCCAGACCAACCCGGAGGCCTTCCGTGGCCGGGGCGTTTTCAAGATTATCAAGGACGAGGGTTTCGGGCTGTACCGCGGCTGGGGTTGGACGGCGGCGAGAAACGCCCCGGGATCGTTCGCAGTATGTTCCTTCATGCTCTCTGCCGTGCGCCCAGATTACAGCAACGTTAACTAATACTGGGTCAGCTCTTCGGCGGCTCGGCCTTCGCCAAAGAATTCCTCTTCAAGCTGCAGGACTACAACAAGGCAAGCTGGTACCAAAACTTTGTCGCTTCCATCGCGGGCGCTTCGGCGTCCCTGGTCGTCTCGGCCCCGCTCGACGTCATCAAGACGCGCATCCAGAACCGCAACTTTGAGAACCCCGAGAGCGGCTTCCGCATCCTGACCAACATGGCCCGGAACGAGGGCGCCACGGCCTTCTTCAAGGGACTCGTTCCCAAGGTTAGTCGACCACCACCATCGTTCCTCCTTGTTTTTCACCGCGGAGGTGAACGAGGACGTGATAAGCTGACATCATAATAAATTTTCAGCTCCTGATGACCGGCCCCAAGCTCGTCTTCTCCTTCTGGCTTGCGCAGACATTAATCCCAGCTTTTGACTCAGCCTTTGCTAGGAAGTGAGCTGTCGGGATCAGTCACAGATATCAGCAGCAGCAGCAGCAGCAGCCATGGCAGATGAGCAACGAAACTGGGTTAAAAGAGAGAGTTTCTGCCACCTTGGGGCAGACACAGTGTACAGTAACATCCAGGCGAAAGACGTGTGGTGGTCGGAAGTGACATATTGTTTTCGGCGTTGTGGGCGGGAAACAAACGAACCGTCAAACGCAGCGACGGCCGGCGGGTGGATGGATAGAGAGCTCGTTATGGTGTTGCTGGCGGCGTATTTGATTAGCAACCGGAGCGAGCGAGGGACTTGCGTCGATCGGCTTTGTTAAGATATTGGAAAAGCTAGACCGGTTTTATTATTAGATTAGAGTATTCTCTTCTCCCCATGTGTGTGGTTTGGCGGTACATGTTTGCGATTAATGCTTTTTGATTTGAAATGGAGGGCTGGGAGAGGTACCTGACTTCAATCCATCCCTACGGTATATACCATGTAGATGCGATTTCAGTGTCAAACAATCCTGCTTGGGCGTTATGTGATGAAGGCACAAAGTGATATTGGCTGCTCATCGCGGCAGGGCCAGCACCAAAGGGAGAAGTGTGATGACAAGGTGTACTTCATTACGACTGTTCTTCGCTCACTGACTCGATAGTCGCCTTATGAATGACGAGAACTTCGCTAAGGATGGTGAGATAGTCAATCACCGCATAACCAGATGAAGCCCAATCCGCCGTAACACCAAATACTAAACTAAAGCAAACCAAATGCTCTCACGGGCCATCTAACCATACCCCCATAATGCTGAACCCTACAGCTAGCAAGTAACCAAACCCAAACGCACCACCGCTAAAGTCACGACGAAACAAGCCCTTCCTTCGCATCCCATCGTACCACCTCCAGCCTCCCCGTCCAATGAAAATGCGGCGGCCCCAACTTCGCCTCCTCCTCCCCATCCTCCTTGCCCTTGCCTTGCGTCTCCTCCCTCGCTCGTCTGCAAGCCTCCGCGTACGCCCTCCTAGTCCAGTCTCTGTATGCCCTAATCGCGGCAATGACATCCTTCATGCCCCGTATGTCGGCACGGGTCGGTTTGGGGGGATAGAAAACGAGGTACCCGCTTGGCCTTCGTTCTCCGTCCGGGTTGATGCCGGTGAGAGGGTTATTATGCAAGATGGCGTCCCACGCCGCGGAGAAGATGATCTCCTTCTCCGGCACGCCGGCAGCGACATGGCACGGCGTGGCGGGCACGGGGTTGACCTGGAGCTGGCCAGAGTTGAAGCGGACGAGCTGCATGTATTCGCGCACGGCAGGCGTAGGGTTCCGGCGTGAGCCTGGGCCTGGACCGACCCAGATGCCGCGGGTGACGGGTGAAGACTCCCATTCCCAGGTGTGGGATAGGTACTGTGGCACTGGTTCTGGTGCGGGAGGGCGGGATGTTTCAGTCGACGGCGGAGGAGGAGGTGTTGGTAAGTCAGGTCGGGCCGACTGATTGGTTGTGTTCCCGGATTCTGAGACTGGGGGTGGTTGAGTCACTGCGGATACCGTCTTTGAACTTGATGATGGCTTGGAGGTTGATGGCGACGACGACCAGGTCGAATCAAAGAAGCTGAACTGCTTGCTGGAATCGTCCATAACCGCTGCAGCGTCGAAATCAAGGTCGCCGCCAGAGAGGTTGTGCCCAAACACTTCAAGCGGATTAAGCTCAAACTCCAAGCGGATATGGCGCAAGCCGAGCAGTGTCGCCGGACCACGGCGACCCTCGGTCTTGACATCCTGGATAGCCCGCTCCTGCATCGACGCCAACTTCAGGAGGTTGATCAGTTTCTCAATCAGTGGGCCCGTCGAGTACCTTGGGATATTGGTCAGGGTGAGCGACTGCAGCCTGGGGTTCATGTCTGGGACGAATGCCTCGGGATATGCGAGTTCCGCCCGCGGGAGCACTTGTGTCTCAACCATCCACCACTTCGCCATGGGCGACAGCCCGTGCCCGGCAAGCTCGAGTGACAGCAGCTGCGTAACGAGCGAGTGATGGATACGCAGCACCTGCAGGTTTGCTGAGAAGACGGGACGGAAGACGTGCGCCCAGCCGAGTGTGCCCGACAGTTTCGCCTTGGAGAGCCAGGAGAGATAAATTCCGTTATGCTGGTTAAACGCTAAGGAGTCACACTCAAGGTGCCGCAGCTGCCCTGGAGACGACCTGATCATCTTGGCCAGACCGGAGGCCGAGATGTTGTTCCCGTTCAGGTGCAGATGGGTGATGCCATGATGGCCGTGACAAATACTTGAGGCCAGCACGTTTTTCAATAGCGGGCTATGGAAGCCGACTCTGCCAGATAACAGGGTCTTGATAGCATCCGGCGAGTCAGGACGTATCTTGCTTCCACCACTTAGGCGGCGGCTGACGGACCGAAGATTTCCATCCTCAGCATGTTCTGTGTAGGAAGGAGCATCGGCGAAATGTCTGAGAGGGTGACTAAAAGTAGCGCTCCAACTCGACTCGCTGACGAAGCGAAACTCCCCAAACGACTCGCTGCCCTCCATTCCATGAACGAGTCGGCCTTCAATGTCTGGATTGCCTGTTCCCGATATCTGCGGTGGAAAGGAGAAAGCACTCATGACCCCAACAATGCTATCGGTGAGCTTATTTCTGCTCAGATCCACACTCCACAGCTGCTTCCTGAAGACCGCGAAGAGCGCAATCCCAGTGAGATAGTCCACCTCCCTCCCCCGAGCCTTGAAAATGCGCAGACTGGGCAGGTTCTTTGAATTGAGGGTTTCGTCGAAAAGAGGGGTCTTCAGAGAGCCAGGCATGTCAGAGACATCCAGGTACACGAGATTTTTCAAGTAGCTGGAAGAAAAGTAAGAAGCCGGCAGCTCCACCTGGCATCGTGAGATGCTCAGGAGTAACGGGGGCTCGGCAGATAACAGCCGGTCGAAGCTCGCCCGGTTCGTCGGCGATTGGGGCTCCAGACCGGGATAGCTATCCAGAAGAATGCACCTCGACTGAGGGAAGGTACAGGCAATGTCCGAGAGCAGGGTCGAGAGGGGCCTCGTGGGGAGCAGAGACAGAAAGGGATAAGTGGGGTCCGCAACGAGGCGTCTTGTATCCAAGGAGCGGACGAAGGAGGGCAGACTGCTGGTTGCTGGGATTCGAGAGGCATGGCCCAGGAGGTTGAGAAGGCTCTGGGGATCTACACGGCGGTCAGACCGCACAAGTACGATGGAATGAGTGAAGTCAGGAATACCAACCAGGACTGGGTTTGAGCAGGCAGATAACAGTGATGGGGTCATTCCAGAGGCGCCGCGCGAACTGGTGGTAGAAGCGCTTCGACACAACGCAGAGGCTCGCATACTGCTGTATTGGGATGTAGGGCGCGACAAGGTCCAACCAGTCTGGTGATGTTGTGGCATCCTCGTACGATGGCAGCAGGCCGGAGCTGTCCATTGCTTCGGACAACGACAGTCCCGTCTAGCAATATTAGGCTCCTGTTGGGTGCATGTCATATGACGGATCGGTCTGTGGCTGCTGCAGCGATGGCGGTATTCGGCAGGTTGTTCGGACCGGCAGTGTATCGGGCATGTCTATTGTACCAGGAACGCGCATTTGATGTGTCAAGTCCGAGTCAACCTAATCCGGGGCCAGCTGGGGGTCGCATCTGGAAGCCACCGTTGACTTCCACGTTGCCCATTTGTTGACCATCCAATGACTGCTGTCTTGGATGACATGAGGCGGAAACGGCGTCGATCGCAGACTCGGCACCTGCATTAACAATTCAAGATAACAAGAGCACTGCCGCGGGCATGGTAATCCTTGTCCCTCGATAATGCAAGCCCGCCGAGGCCGCACCATTCTAGCGCCCCGGTTTAGCGACACCTTGGTGGGGTCCCATGCTGACCGTAACCGGGAGATCGACAAATCACTGTGTGGTGTAAGTGACGGCAATCCAAACCAGGGTCTTCTCGTCACATCTCGGAAAACTGCCGCATTTTCAGAACTCCATGTCAGAGCAGTGGGAATTCTCACGTCATGACGGGCCGATATCTCACCAAAATGCGGGGTTACCGGCCAGGACGATAATCTCCGGAGCATGCTTTCTCAAGATGCTGAGCAGCACCGCGCAGATCTAGATGCGATGCAGCGTATTGCAGCTCCTTCATGTGACTGCAAGCCAGGCGTGGGTTAATCTCACCGAGTGCTTCCATCTCCGGGCCATGGCGTTGGCCGGCTCGGAGTCAATGGCATCAGCACGAACTGGTGTTTTAGTCGAGGCGGGGTTAATTTGATAGTCCGCCAGAGGGAATGTCAGCCCAGAAGTGCCGGTTGCCGAGTGTCCAAGTTCGAAAATCCCCCCGTTTTGCTCAGAGGCACTTACAACAGGGGAGTGTCCCAGACCGGGACCGGGTAACGAGGAAAGAGAACACTGGAACAAACTTCCCCAAGTGATGAGTATAGTCAGGTGCGGAGAGACGCCATCTTGCGTTAGTCTTTGATTTCCATGAGCAGAAAGTACCTAAGCTGAAAGCAATGAGGCAGCATATGGTCCGCCTGGAACGGCCCAGTCCATCCCATTTCACCTGAATCCTTGCGCAAGTCTCCATGCACCTGCATGCCTACTACACTATTCAAGAAAGGCTGCTTGCCACACACACTCTCAGTCAATCGGAGATCCTTGGAGCCCCTTCCACATCAGGAAACAAAGCACCGTGCGGGACATCATCCTCCAGCAGGACCGTTCAGTCGACAGAGGGCCATCCTCCCCTCTGACTGGGTATCGAGAGGCGCACGCCTGGCATTTACTGTGCCCTACTCAGACACGGACTGTCGTCATCGTTGGCCCCGCATTTGTCTTCCGTGAGATGTGTGTGTGTAGGACAGAGATATGTGTAACGTAAAACAGTCTTTGATGGCCTTCGTGTCAGTCGGGTTCAGCTTTCAGCATGATCACAGTAAACACACATGCAAGCTGTCCTGACACTTGGGGGAAAGCATCGAGACAGGGAGCTGCAAAATCTCAGGGAATTTGTCTCGCCTAGGCACCCGCGCCATGCCTGGGGTGAGACATCCGGCCATGACAAAGAGGCGGGTTCGCGGATTGTCACACCAACGTCCAACATGAATAAGGAACTGGGACATGCGTTTTGAGGTTCTGTAGCTTTGTCGCAGCTCTTGCAGCGAGGGCAACACCAACCTCGACAGATCTGAGCAGTCCACAATCCATCAAGCCGAGGTGTTTGGCAGACACACACGAGTGTATATCGAGGTTTTGTTTTGTATTGGGCTTGGAGCTCTACTAGCAGCCAGCCTGAGTACTATGAATGCATCAATCATCACTATGTTTTGCCAGCCCATTCCGGCTTTTCAGTTTGAGAGAGACAGCCTGACAGTACATTACCCATGACCAACCTTCCAACCAGGGCGAGTCTATGTCGAACACACTAACTCCGTTCATATCCCGTATCATTCCCATGTACCTGTTCAACCGAATAACCCACATTAGAAATCACCTGTTACAGAGGGTCGTTCTTATCCAGTCATCGTGATCGTGTGCCGGGCTCCATGTCCAACGCCCAAGCGCCGATACCCATTTCCATCCAACCTGTCCATACCCATTGATGCAGCTGAGTTAGAGCGCTTCTTGGGCTTCGTGCCCTTTCGCTTCTGATGGATTCTTTTCATCACCTCTTGATATTCCAGCACCGCGCCTTCGAAATATTGAACCCGCGGCTTGTTCCCGCCCGTTGTGGGTCTCTCCTGTATGTGCAACTTGAGATGGGAGCGCCAATTATCCTCCCGGTTGGTCTTGTGCGGGCACCAGTTGCAGTAAAGAACTTTCTCTGCCTCCGTGTCGTATTTATTGCCCTCCGAGTCGTGTTTTCTGTGAGGACGAATAGTTAGCGAGGATCGGGCCCATGTTTGTGAAGCTACACTTACGTTTTCACGTGCCGCACCATGTGCTCCTTCCTGAGATAGACCTTCTTGCATCCAAAAATGCACTTGAATGTCCCGCGACGCGACACACTGGTCAGGGGCGATTCACCATCCTTCGGTACTGCCACGCGAGTCTTCCTTTCTCTCTTGATCCGTACGTGCATGCTGGTTGGGCTGGCTGGCGACCACTGCTCGACTTGTTGCCGAAGTGCAGTCGTCCTCTGCCGAGCCCCCGCGAGCAGGGCCCGTCTCCTGGAAGTAGTCGCTGACACGTCTTCCATCGCATCGTCCTCCGAGCTGGGCGCCCTCTTGGAACGAGAGTCGTTGCTGTTGACACTCTTAGGAGATTCTCGATCGAGGCTGATGGGACTATTCGGGTACGTCCACTGGGAGACTGCGTTCGGCGAGCGGTCAAGCCGGGTCACGGCAGAAGGAGCCGAGATGAGACTCTGAGAACCGAGCTGGCTGACGAGATAGTCCATGGTCTGTGAAGGTGCCAGTTGACTACCGGGCGTGCTAAGCGCTTGGCCCGTGAAGCCAAGCTGTCTGGTGGGCGTGGCGGGGAAAACATGATAGGCAGAATCAGAGAAACTGTCGGACATAGGCGTCATAGGTAAGCGCGTATATGTCGTCGATGGAGGCGGAGTAAGACCAAGATCAAACGGAACCGGGTCCACGGATGAAGCGAACGAAGAACCGAAGTTGAAGGAACCCGAGAAAGAGGGAGTTGACTGGTCAGAGCTTGGCGTAAGAGGACCGTAGCTTGAGGGGGCGTAGGCTGAATCAGACGGCGCGTAGAATGAACCATCGATGCCGGCCGTGTAGCCTGCTGTCGGCAGGGTGTTGAAGTCGAAGCCTCCAACATCGTCGGAGAGCTCCAAGGAAACGTGCCACGTAGGGAGTCCGTGATACGTCATCTTGGCCTAAGCTTAGGTGCCGCGATTTCTTCAGACAGGAAGACGGGATGGGATGTCCACTTCGCCCTGAGGGGAGGAAGGAATGGAAGAGCAGCTAGATAAGTATCCAGGAGCTTGACATATCGCCAGGAACCTGAATCACCCTTGAACACGAAAGACGGGACACTGCTAAAAGGGGAAATGGCCTCGCTAGTAAGGTATGAGGGGCATACTGGAATGCCGCGGCTCAACTCGCCGAGCGAAGGGGCGAGTTTTAAAAAGGATCGCCTGCCGGCCTGCCCCCACCATACGATCCTTCACATAACAAGACAGGTTTGAGATCTCCAGGGCAGCGGGGAAACGACCGTGCGGAAAGTGACACGGCCGTCGAGATGGATGTACTGTGGTTTGTCGTTCCTGACCCTGGACCGCTGCAGCACTGCCGCACACGCAGGAACCAGCAGGGGCCCACACTCATAGCATCCATACAGGACGGGCGCCCCGCTTGGGGTGCAAACGTGAGGAGGCCTGAAATGTTGTGCAGGACCCAAACGAGCCCGAAAAAGCCAGCCGACTATGCCGAAGCGGGTAACTTGCCTTGACAGCAAACTGGTGAAGTCGGAGGGGCCGTGGGCAGAGACACTGCGCACCCATGGAGATTCCGACTCCGGGAACAAAAGGAAACCGCGCAGATCTGTCGAGAGCACAGTCTGGGGCCGCGCTCCACCATCTCTGCGCTCGCGCCATATCTCCTCTGTATGGCCGACTCCCTGGAATGGCGATAGCACGCAGGAGGGATGCGACTTTGCTGACCTCATCCTCGCGTCTCGTGTGCGGAGCTGAGACTGCGCCGGCCACTGGCAACACTGAAGCGATGTGCGTGCTCAGTCAACTCGACTTCAAGAGCGCAAGCTGAAGCATAATTAGAGCAAAACCTGGATTAGCAGGGCATTTCCGTTGTAGAGGTTTCCCCCGGCCCTTACTTGGACTCTCTCCCTCTCTCGAAAAAAAAAAAAAACAAAACCGAACATCAAGAGCTTGCCGGCGGCCCAAAAGGGAAAAGAAAAGAAGGGCATTCGGGACTTGGAAGCGAGAAACTGGTGATTAGATCGGGGGCAATGACGGGTCGGCCCGGTCTGCGGTGAGTGACAGAAAGGGAAGAGCTCGAGTGGTGGACTTGAGATTCGGGCAACTCAGCGGGGAAGGGATCTCGCAGCCGGAGTTTGTGTGTTCCAGCAGGGTTGCTGTAAGTCGGTTGTCGAAGGGAAGCGTCGTCGGGTCCGGTGACAGTGGAAGAGGGGACTCACTTTGGAGATCGAACCTTGGCGAACCTTGCATCTCTTACCGTAGCTGGGGCTGACAGGGCTTGTTGCCGCTAACGAAAAGCGGACACCTTGTACTATTGAATACGTTTTGTGGTACGATGTTACATCCATCCTCAACCTTATCTCAACGTCGGCCGGACTTGACACTGTCCTCGATGCGGCTTAACGGACATCTGCGTGTCGTGCTTTCCCAGCAGCATTCTCACCATTCAGTCGCAGTTGCCTGCTGGTTACTATGCCTGCTTCAACCTAAGTTACCTACAGGTATGAGCACCTAACTCTCTAGGAGGCCAAGCGGGGACAACCTGGAGTGCGGATGTGTAGATCGAACAAACAACACCTCTTTCGATCACTGCGCCGCCATGAGAGTCTGGCGCGGCTGGCGACGATGCTCGCATGTGGTTTGCGTCTCTGTCAGCCTTTTTGATGCACTTCCGCACGTCTCGCTTGCATCGCATCGGAAGTGCCCTGATAGAGCACATTTCCACGGACAGCAACGACCCTGGCAATTTCCTACTTCCTCGTCTGTCTCGAATTCACTGATCAATCCTGGAACTGCCCATCGCACTTCTAGCGGTGGTGTTCCCCCTGGGCTGATCCAAACGGATTAGCGGGAAACCGAGTACCCAGGGCCAGTCCAGCAATATGTCCACCCGCATTGTAAGGTGCCTCGATCTTCTAACCTTCCCACTTCGAGGAAGCGTTGAGACACCGCCCCATTGTCCCCGTCGCTGTCCATTCTTTTGGACTCTCTCACAGGAGCCGCCACTCAAGAACTAGCGCACTGGCGCTTCCACCCTTCCCCGCATGCACCAGTGTCATTTGTGCTCTTCATCGACATTCGACCTCAAATCATGAGCTCCGCGCCATGGTCTTCCGTTGCAGAGCAGTGGTCTTTACTCCTCTTGTGATCAGGCAAAGTCGCGGAGGACTCCACGAGGGCAAACAACCCCTCCGGCAGTTCTCGTCAGCGGCCAGATTCTATCACACCTCCATGATGTTCGTCGATAATGGCACCAGAAACAAACTCGTTGCCTTCGGTTTAACTCCGAACGAACCTGCGGCGACTGACCCGGAACCGAAATCCCATCTTTGCGCCCGTGTTCTTGCGTGGAGCCGGCTTCGCACCGCCGCGGTTACACAACATGCACATTGCCAACCCGGGAATACAATCAATAGCTTTGGCAAATTTTTTTTGCCCAATGACATGCACGATTGAGAGGACATGGACGGTCTATTCTTGGAACCTATCTTCAGGAGCGGAGGGCATCAAAAGGTGCGCAGTGAGTTCGATTATACCCAGCACCGCATTTCGCGGTTTCACAACACATCAGACACAACCGGCTGAAGCTAACAACGGGGAGCAGCATTCTTGTAATGCTTTGACCGGTAACTGCTCCGGCTTGTGCTGCCCTCCGAGCTTCAGCGCCCTAAGAGATAATTTGAGGCTGACGCTGGTCAATCACAAAGCCCGATACCTTGAGATCATGTCTCTTGGACTCGACCCCGTTCTCCTTGAATCGTTTGCTTCCTTGAAACCATGCACTTGTCTGTCCGGAGAAGAGTGAATACCTTACACGGGCTCAGAATTCGCAAACAACCTCAGGTGAGCCATGATCCGATCGGGCATGCGCGTTATCCACATGTGGTATGGACGGAGGACCCCAGCCCCAGACTCGTCCGGAGTATCAACGATTATTTCAATGAGGCCCACGCCGTTCACTTCTTGCCAGAGTGGGACATACCTATCGACTTGCACATTTGGCAGAGCAACCCAAACTATTAAATACGGCCAGCAAACTCGATCCTTCCATTTTCGAAGGCGGCATGTTCGGATGAAAGATCTGCCAGGCGTTGCCCAACCAGTTTGTAGAAGTTCTGCGCTCCCCATTTTCAACGACCACCGCCAAGTGGCCTAACAGTCAATGGCGATGGTCGCCCCGGGGCTTTGGTTGGTGATTCTCTAGGTCAAGACCGAGAGGTTACCAGTCCGACTCCAAGCCCCGTCGCTCCCGCCCCCGAGTTTCGTAGCCGGCTATCCCTCTTCGCCCGGCGAACAGGGTTAGCCGGTGGTTTTTACAACTTTTTCTCCTTTGCTCATTTGCAAGCCAACAGAAATTGTCCCGAATGACACGAGTCACCCGCCTGGGCTTGTTTTACGGCATCCAAGCCTCCAAGGTTCATGACAGGCACACGCGACATTTTCAGCCAAAGAAGGGCCTTACGTCCATCTCAACCTCGACCAATCCAAGACGGTGAGTGGCACACTCACCGTGTCGTCATGATTGCGCCTTTCATGGTCTTCCTCGTTATTACTCCATGGCATTCATGGGAAAACAGGGCAGTTTTCAGAAGGCTACAGCGCCACTGGGGGACGAGACTGCACTTGGACCGCCCCCTACGGAGATGCCGTGCCCGTCACAAACATCTCACAAGAGCTGCAAGTGCGCAAAAATTGACGTCAATGTGATTAGCGTCCATGATCTATCCAGACCACTACGCTATCCTAGATGATGGCGATATTCTGCGTTTCTTTTCCCGACGCTGCAGCCATTCTCAGCAGGGCCGAGAAGGCGGCAGAGATAATTTTGGGTGCGGCGACAGCTTCTGAAGCAATCAAGCACTAGGGTTCCTGCATGCGCACACAGCCTCAGAAGCGGGACTCCCGCAAGTCAGGCACGCCGCACCTATATGTGTACAAGGTCGAGTTCTTGTAACTGTCTGCACTTTGCTCGCCCGAGGGTCGGCCCCGGAGATCGCCGGATCGACTGAACGACAACACGAGGACGCGTATTCCAGCGATTGACTCTGGGGTTGCTCAGCCGGTATCATTCAGTTTTGGTCGTCATCCTCGCCATCATCGTCTACCTCGTCATCGTCCCCAAGAGCGTCCAGCTCCTGCTCGGTCGCCTCGAGGCCTGAAGACGACATGAACTTCTCGTCCTTTGCTTCAGCTGCAGTGCACACTCGTCAGCCTTTTTACCCTTGAAAGTCAAAAACAGATACCAGCACCAAGCAGGTGTCAAGTCCAAGAGTTTGCAAAATCGTAACCAAGAAATCCAAAAAAAAAGGGGTAAACTCACTCCTAGCCTCCACAAGCAAGTTCTCCTGCACCTCGCACTCAGTCAAAACGCACCCCTCGCCAATCTCGCTCCTCTTGCCCAGAATACACTTGGTCAGCTTGCAATTGCGACTCACAACCGCGCCGTCCATGAGTAGACATTGCAACAGCTTGGCGCCCTCGCCGATCTGGCAGTTGGCGCCCACCACACACTCCTTGATCGATGTCTTTTCCTGGACGGTCACGTTGTCCGCCACCAGGCAGTCCTGTTTCGTGATGGTCGTGCGCGGCTTGACGCCCTCCGGGTAGGCCACCTTGCGCGCGTGCGCGAAGGGGGAGGCCGGGTTCTCGGGCCCCGTCTCTTCGAGCGAGGGCAGCTTGGCGAGCTGGAGGGAGATTTGGAGGAGGAGTTGGGCCGTGTCGACGCGCCGGATTAGGGGGGCTGCTTCGGTTGTTGGGTGGATGTAGGCCAGCATTGATGGGACGGCGGGTGGTTCGGTGGGAGGGGACGGAGGGTGTTCGTCGCTGTTCTCTGAATGGTTATCATCACCGCCGGCCTCGGAGGAGACCGCCGAGCTGGACGCCGCGGCTGCACTGGAGTCGGCGCTGAGTGTGCGGGTGCTGGTGGTGGCATTGTGGTCTCCCGGGCTTGATTGGCCGTGGCTTTTTGCCTTGTTGGTGCCCGGCTGACGGAGGACCTTGTCTAGTCCTAGCTTGGTAGAGAGACCCTTTTGCCAGCCTGCCTTGGCCCACCATCCGATGACGTCCTCGCCGATGGTCTCGAGCCGCTCGTTCTCCTTGATGAATTGCATGACCCAATGCGGGAAGATGTAAATGTGGGCGTCGCGGTGGGTGGTAAGCATCCGGACACGAGGATGCTGGCGTAAGAGCCCGTGACGGATAGGAAACCCCTCCTTTTCCTCGAGGAGATCCTTGAGAGAGTCTGTTGGCATGGAGTAGACGACCTTTTCCATGTGAGGGAACAAAGATTCCTTTGCAGGCAGAATCGAAGACGACAGCAGTGGCACGGTAGCCACAAAATCCGTCTCCTCGCCCTTGACAGGGATTGCTGTCTTGGTCTGATACCAGACACCCAAGCCGCCGCTGCGGTGGCCACCGGATTCCGAATCGCCGACAAGGTCGTCGAGGCTAGCCGACTTGACCATCCATGCTTGCAGCAGCTTCTCTGCGCCCAGCTCGCAGACGAGGTCACATGGGAGAACCAAGAAGTCTGATGTTACGACTTCTTGCAGCTCTGGAAGACGGAGAATTTCGGCCGTTCCCGTGTTTTGGTCTAGGTCCTTCGGTGCTAGGAGGTCAGGCCTCGGAAAGGGAAGGCTGGTGAGATATGGGTTTGTCTTTAGGGCCGTGTCGATCGCCTCTGCCGCTGAAGGCGGGCAGACGAGAGTGATGTCTGGGGACGTTAGTCAACAGGGCCCAAGAGGAGAGTTCATCTTGAAGACAAGACAAGGGAAACGAATGTGACGTTGAACCCCTCAAGGTATGAGACGGCCACTTACTTGTTATCCCTGCCCGGTAGCAGAATTCGAGCGGATACCAAACCATGGGCCTGTTGGCAATTGGTAGAAGAGCCTTGGGGTTCTCATCGGGATTTGCTGTGAAGGTTGGAAATGAGCTGCCCGGGCCGCAGAGAATCAAGGCCTGGAGGGCCGGGGTCGCGATGCTGACTGCGTGTGGCATCGCGATGACAGGTTTGCCCCGCGATCGAGCAATTATAGAGAACTGTCGGGCCGCCGGGGGTCCACTAGGGGCATATGTCGATAAACCGTGCTGTCGTGGAGACTAGCTCAGAGTTGTTCACTCCTTTCGTATCGCGTTGTCTTCGTCCTTGGAACAAGCCTGCAAAGCGTCCGGCTTTCACTGACTCACTGAAAGTGTTCATGAAAGATCCACAATGGGAATCTCACATTCGAAGGTTGAGTGGTCCGTGCGTAGCACATGCGTCTGAACACTGCTTTCCGACAGAAAGAAGCAGAAAGCGGGGTGTGGTTGCAGTGAAACGGGGGTGCCGCTTTGTCTTGGTATCAACTCCTCGGCTGCTTGTTTTCCTTGCCCGGCCAACCACCAGCCTCGGTTTCTGGCCCGGAATGGAGCCTGGTTTGTCGGGAGCTGGGCACTCAACACCCGCTTCCCAGCCTCCGGCACCACCCACCAGCCACATGATTCCGGGCTTCTGTCTTATCCTGCCGAAAATCTGAACCTCAGACCTTGACGAACTGAAAACAAAGATTGGCCGATGGTGGTAGCTGCAGCTGCTTAATACTAGGTTGGGCCTGCGCAAGCCACAAGACAAATCAGCACCGCACCGCATCTCCCATCCATTGCCGGCAACGCAATGATCGATCGCTGCGCCGTCAATGTCGCCGCCGTATGAGTCGTCCCGTCGTCGCGGGGTATGGAGCCACTGGGTGCCCTTCGCCGTAACCGTTACGGTTGCCACGATCGGCGTCGCCGCCTGGGTATGGAGCCAGCGCAAGGATGACGACCCTGAGGACCCGGAGCAGGAGCAGGACCTCGACTATGAGAATGCCGACTATGGCGACAACCCTCCGTACGGCGCAAGCGGAGACGGCGCCGACCCCAAAGCCCCCGCGTTCGGTGGCGCGCAGTCCCGCTCCGGCGACGCCGCCTACGGATCAACACAGCTGCAGACAGAATCGTTGAGCTCAGGGTGGGCGACGTTGCGCCGCACTCCGAGCCCGCAGCAGTTCTTTGACAGCGCCAAGAGGACTGTCGCTGCGGGTATGACTGCCGCCGGCGCAGCTGTGGGAAGCGCCCTGGCAGCCATCAGGGAGGAAGACAAGGTGGCATATGCTGACCATGAGACCTGGTCCGAGGAGGCCGACGCCAAGAAGGACCGGGCTGTCGCGCCGTCTCAGAGCAAGGATGCCAGCAAGCGCCGGAAGAAGGTTGCGATCGTCGTTTCGGCTGATAGCCGCCTGGACAATATAGATGCCGGCGGGTTTCACGAGCACGCTGTAAGTGTTGAGTGGTACAAGTACACGTTGAGCGTGCGCTAACACCAAGGAACAGTCCATCCTCTCCCACATCCCCCGTCAACTGGATCACTCTAAAATCAAACTCTATGTGCTCATCTACGCGCCGAGCCTGAAGGACTCGGCATTGGATGCGTCTACGAACCTCCCGCCTCCCTCACTGAGCTCCTCATTTTCCAACATCGACCACCCCCAGGCCCAGACAAGCGAGGAGGCCAAGAGCCCTCTGTAAGCTACCTAGCACCTGAAGCTTGGCGGTTTTACTCAGCTGACACCATCTGCAGGGCTGGCCCAGCGTCCGCCGACCCGGCTTACAACGCCATCTACGCACAGGCCCAAGGGCTTGTCGAGAAGGACAGCATGATTCTCACCTTCACATCACCCAATGGACACTCATACATCCTGCGCCACATCCAGCCCGAGGTTGTCTATCTGCAGGAGTCGCTCGCCGGCGACAACGGCAGCGTCGTCGCGAACATACAGACGTGGCTCAGACATGACATGATCCTGGTGGTGGGCGCCGAGAGCGGCCACGGCGGGCTCGCGGACAGCGAGTCGGAGGCCGAGAAGCCCGGCAAGGAGAAGGAGCTCTGGTGGCACAGAGAGGACCGCGTCGGCAGAGGACGCGGCGTGGTGGTGGTGGACAGCGTGAGGGTCCAGGATGACTGGGCGCGGCGCGTGTTGGGCAAGGAGTAAAAAGAAGGACATGATGTCAGGATTACGAGCATGTTTTGGTTGGCGGCTATGATGGACTGATGGATTGATTCCCCCGATGTATCTCGATTTCTGTGTTATATTGTTAATAGCCTGAGATGAGCCGAGTTCCATGCTTCCTGGAAGAGTGACTGTGTTTGTAAGGCGAGCTCCTTCACTGGAGTTCAAGTTGTGTAATGCTTGCGGGCACATGGCACTTGAAGTGGAAGGCACATCGGGCGACGCTGTCTGCAAGTGCACGTTAGTCCGTACTAGATCAAGAGTGGGCTCCACAGTAATACCAATATTAGAGCCCAGGTATTCCGCAGAGAGCAGCGACTTAATCAGTGTCTCTCCCATTTCCCCTCTACTTTTATTCTTCTAAATTCCCGTCTTCACGTTGCCCTTTCCATCTCAGCACATTTCTTTTGGTCTCACGGCATCGCGCACGTGATGCTGCTCGCCTGCCAAGACGCCTCATTTCCGCCAAGCTTGACCTACTGAAACAGGCATCGGGTTGTCCACGGCGAACCCCACAAAGAGCCGAACCGTCATCATCCAAGACAACGGCACATCTAGAAACAGCCATCGCGCAGCGCGCAACGACATGCATGCCATCGAGAGGGAACCATCTGCGCTGGGATTCCCTCACCTTCTTTGACTTTCAGGCATGAGTTGATTAATGACGACAATTCGCGCTGCCTTGGACACGGTCGAGCCCAGCCTGTCTCCGAACCATCACCGCGCATCTTGCACCCGAACACCTGGCATACCATACTCCAGCAGCGCATCCATTCTCCCATCGAGATCCGAAGACCTTACACCGGGGTGCATCCACTCGCTTTGGTGCTGCCTAAGTCATTTACTGCCTCACACCAATCCGCCCTACAGCTGGAAGGAAGAACCGCCCAAATCAACCCGTCACTGCATAACTCGAAATTGCTGCGCCGGGCGGCAGCTGGCCCCGTCGAATGGCGCCCACTGTCGTCGCCGCGCCGGCGGTCCCCGCTGCCCCGGCTGCTACCAAGATCAAACGCCCCATTCCCCCAGGCATCCAAACCAACGGCGTTCCGACATCGCGCTCGTCGCCCTCGCCGTCAATGTCGGCCAAGCGCGCTCCCTCATCAGCGGGCGTCCGCCAGCCATCCAACCCGCCAACCGCTAACGGCACGACTCCGACATCCGCCCGTCCCCCAAACCGGCAGCGCAAGGATGGTTCTGGACAGGTATTAGGAAGGGGCCAAAGAACCGCTGGTCTCCGGTCCGCCAGCATTGCTCCAGATCTCTCGTCCTCCCATGCAACTGAACCGCCACCCTATGGTTCGTGCACCCCTTTCATTCCGATATTGCTTGACTCGCTTCGCGGACTGCTAATATCAAACTCCAGTGGTTACTGATAAACATATCCTCACGAAATTCGCCGGAAACCCACCTTCCCTCATTGTCCACCTGTACCAGACGCATTTCCGCTTCGACCTGCAGGAGGGCATGTTTCAGTACAACTCACCTATGCGATTATTCCTGGAACATCTAAGGTCCCGCACAGTTCCTCATGACCTGCTTGAGTACTTCACTCAGTGGGGTGTGCCATTTTACGATGGCTGTCTGATCGTGGAAGTGCGTGACCACAAGTCCGTGGCCCAGGCGAAGGACGTTGCGAGACCAACATCGGCATCGAGTAAAACGGTCCCCTTCTCGGTTCACAACTACAACCAATACATCACTCCCTCGCCCTACGTCCCCTATCCGAAGGAGAACCTCGCGGCGACCGGCACCGCTCCCGCAGCAGAGAAGACGGCTGATGAGAAGGACAAGGAAAACATGCCAGCTCCGAGCGCGCCTGCAGATGGACAGAAGGGCAAGGGTACCCCCAAGCCCAGGATATTCACCGTCGTTCTGCATCCCACGCAGCAATGTCTGGCTACCGATCTCCTCATCAAGGCCACCACGCCTCGTGGCGCGTCTGATCCTCGCGCCGATGGCACCGTTCCTCCAACCCCTCACGCTCCCGTGCCGCCAACCCCGACTGCGGCAAGCATGCCTCCGCCGGCAAAAAAACAGAAGCGGGAACGAATGGAGCTTGAGGCTAGTAATATCTACGAAGCGGAGGCCCAGATTTTGCTGGCCACCACGGCGCCTCTGGATCTGGAGCCAACCAAAAACGCCGAAGAAACTATAGCAAAGCTCGAAAAATTTGCGCACCCTGACCACTCACACAAGCCGCCCCAGCCAAAGACGCGGAAGAGAACGGTCGCCGAAATGGCCGCTGATCAGGCTCTGGCTGCGGGCCAAGAGCGTTATATGCTTACTATGGATGAGCGTCTTTCCTCCAAGGTGGCTGGTGCTCATACCGGTGGCAACGGCACTGACGGGGATGGCCAGGCTGGAGCGGCCGTTTGGGAGCCGAGGTTCGAGCGGTTCAAGCTCATCGCCGACATCAAGCGTGAACACGCGGAGAAGAAGGAGCAAGAGAAGATCAAGCAGGCCGAGATTGAACGGAAGTTTCAGCTGCAAAAACAGCAGCAGCAACAGCAACAGGAGGCCGCCATGCTCGCGGCAAGACAGGCCCAAGCCGACGTGGAACGGCAACGGAAGGAGCAAGCATTGCTCGAACAGCAGCGACAAGCCCAGAGACGGATGCAAGCAGCTCAGGCTCAAGCCCAGGTTCACCAAGCTCAGGCGCAGGCGCAGGCGCAGGCGCAAGCCCAAGCGCAGGCGCAAGCCCAAGCTCACGCGCAAGCCCAAGCGCACGCCCAGGCCCAGGCTCAGGCTCAGGCCCAGTCTCAAGCTCAAGCCCAAGCCCAAGCCCAAGCACACGCGCAGGCCCAGGCCCAAGCGCAACAAAATCCCAACGCTTCTGCCATGGGCACACCTCACGCCCACCCGGTGCATCACAGTCCTCTTCCGGCAGGTATGACAGGCGGTGTGCCGGTCAACATGGCGCAGCAACCACAACCACGTTTCCCTCAAGTTTCGCAAGCCCAGGTATCATCGCCAATCGTGCGGCAAAACACGCCGCAAACCGCGTCGTCCCCTATGGGCATGGCCGGGGTCGCTATGCAGCATTCCAACTCGAATATGGGGCAGGCGGGTAGCCCAGCAAGGCCGCCATCGGTGGTTCAGAACCATTCGATGGCCGCACCCATGGCGCCCAACATGTCCGCACGGGGCAGCCAGCAGAGCCACGCGGGAGGTACACCCAGGATGCCCAGCGCCACACCCAACATGGCACACGCGACCCCTATTACGCGGCCGCAGGTAATGCCGACTCCACGGATGACCCAAGCTAGTCCGCCTGGCGGCATGATGGCGGCCGCGCAGCAGTTGGGACACATGGTGATGACGCCGCAGGGAATGATGCAGGTGCCGAATGTCGGGGCCACCGCGGCCCAGATTGCGCAGCAGCAGCGAATGATGCAGCAGCAACAGCAGTTATTGCAGATGCAGCAGAACGGCATGATGAACAACGTGCCTGCCGTCCAGCATCAGCTCGCCCAGCAACGGTTGATGCAGCAACATCAGCAGCAGTTGCTGATGCAGCAGCGGGGAGGCCAGATGATGAACCAGCCGACGGCACAGCTGGCCGCGCAGTACTCGCAGCAGCTCAGCCAAATGCAACAGCAGGCAGCGCTTATGGGCCAGATGAACCCGATGCAAGCCGCCGCACAGCGTCAGTTTCTCGCTGCTCAGGCACATGCTGCACGGAACCAACAAAACATGAACGCTATGGGACCCAACGGCATGACGCCGGCTCAACTCGCTATGATGCAACAACTACACCTCGCCCAACAACAGCAGCACCAGCAACAACAGCAACAGCAACAACAGCAGCACCAGCAACATCAAGCAGCCGCAGCCGCCGTCGCCGCCCAGCAACAGCAGCAGCAACAGCAGGCACAACAACAGCAACAGCATGACGCCCAACAACATCAACAACAGGCACAGCAGCAGGCACAGCAGCAGGCGCAGCAGCAGGCGCAAGCGCAACAGCAAGCGCGAGCATCGGCCAGCATGCTCGGACTCAGCCAGCAACAGCAGCAGCAAATCCACAACCAGATCCAGAACCTCACGGGCGCCATCTTCTCCAAGCAGCTGCCGAATTTCCAGAAGGCTTTCCCCAGCGGCGTCATCCCCGAGGACGACCTCGCCCAGTTCAAGCGCAACTGCTTGATGCAGGCCCGGAACCATGTCCTCAGCCAGCTGAATCAGAGCCGGTTGGGAATGCAGGCTCAGCAAGCGCAGGCTCAAGCTCAAGCCCAGGCGCAGGTGGCTGCTATGCAACAGCAGCAACAGCAGCAGCAGCAGCAGATGAATGGGGTGAATGGTGGTGGGGGGATGATGGGGCAGGGAATGTAGGAGGGCCGTTACGCCCCCTCCCCGAGCTCACTACTGATACTAATCAACTCTTCATCTCCTTCGGTGTTACGACCCCCAAGCTGCGGTTATGGGATCTTTTCGAATGGCTGAGGGTCATTTGAGGTGTTGGAATCTTTTCTGTTGCTGCTGCTGCTTACTATCCTACACGCACGTTGCTGTTGTTGGTTGCTTTTTTTCGAGGGTGTAGGTACTGGGTGGCTTGGGACTGGAAGGAGGTGGGAAATGGGTCCTTGGGCTTCTCTTGGACTGGACTGATTCAGGGGGCCACTTTCTTTGGTGGTTCGTATGTGATGGGGATTTGATGCGTTTCTTCTCCGTTTTGGTTTTGGTTCCTTTTTGCGCCTGGCTGGTACGGTGAGGGAGCACGGTTGGGGACGGAATTGGTAACGTCTTTCATGGGTCACGCAGAATTCACGGGGGCTGCGAGTTTTTTTTTGTTTTTTTTTGTTTTCTTTACTCTATATACATATACCCTGGGTGCCCAGTTGGCGGTGGGGGTTAAGCGGCTCTGGATCTGGGCAGCGTCTTTGATCGTTGTTTCTCCCCTGCATCTGTACTCGGTACGTGTACGGAGTATTGTGTATGCAATGCTTTTGGGCCGTCGGATACGTGTATATGATTTGGGCATGCTCAGTTGAGGATGACCAATGTGATGTCAGGCGTGTATACCAGGTTGGATTTTTAAGGGGATATGGCTGGTTTTTGATTGGGGTCCACGTGATATCCACAGGTATTGGATGAGTCAGCAGCCGAGACCCGCACCTGATGACGGAACCGTGCCAAGCTTCCATCCGTGCTTCGGCAACCAGACCCGCTCTCACAGAGCTTCGGGAGTCAAAAGAGCTTTCCTCCAGCCTGATGTTGCCGACACATCTCAAGCTGCCGAACGGTTGTAGTTTGCATTTCTTCTAGACAGACGCAAGACCATCTGGTCACTGTCTGTTGTTCTTTCCCTTGCTTTCAAGTGTCGATACCTGCCTTTTTAGTCACGCTTGACACTGCCATTCTGACCGGCTCCTCCGCGCGCTGTCCCGTCTTAGCTCGACACGTCGACACCTATCCATTAACTGCCCGACTGTTTGGTCTCCACCTGTTCCCAGAGACGCCAGTCACCTTCTCCCCGCGGGTCACAATCCACGACGCCTGGAACGATACATTTCCATTAATAGCAGTCTCCGAAAGCAACAACCAGCCATGAAGGGACCATCTGGCTGGTGGTCCGGCTCCACCCTCACGTCCCTCCTCCTCCTTCTCCTCCTCAGCAGTTCCCCCACAACAACTGCAACATCATCACCATCCTCATCAACAGCGACGAGGGCTAGCACTACTCCGTTAACCTGCGACAACCTGGTGGTGGACGGGCACAAGTACAACCTGGGCGCGCTCGCGGGCCCGCATGCTGTGGTGACGAGCGAGTACACGCCGCCGACGCACCACAATACGACGTACACTATTGACGTGTGTGGGCCGCTGGTAAGGAGGGGGGAGGTGGATCGGGCCGAGAGGTGTCCTGATGGGACGAGGGGTATGCAAAAAAAAAAAAAGGCCCTTTCTTTCACCTTGGCATTCCTTTTTTCCTTGTTACGGATATGTCTAGTTTGTTTTCCTATGTTTCGCGAGCATGAGGGTGAGATGGGTGCTGACTTGCAGCTGGGTTATTAGTATGCGCCATTAAACACCGCTGGGACCCCAAAGCCGGCAAGACGACCGATATCGACCAGGTCATACCCATTGTTGTGAGCGGGACGGGCGACGACAACAAGGCGGCCGTGGGGTGGGAGGCGAAGCGGTTGCCCAGGGACGACGACGGCTCGGCGACTCAAGATGGCAAGAAGGAAGGGCTGAGGCTGACGCTTACGGGCGAGACGAGGTATCAGCAGCGGGCACAGCGGGCGGTCGTCGAGTTCAGGTGTAACCCTGACTTGGTGGGCACCGAGGGGGAGTGGGAGAGCGTGGACGAGTACGTGCCGCCAAAGAAGGATAAGGAGGGTCACGATAGGAGGAGGGAGATCAGGATCGGGCGGCGCGATGACGAGGAGAAGAAGAAGGATGGGGATAAAAAAGACGGGGATAATGAGAGTGAGAGCACGCCAGAGAAACAGCTCAAGAAAGACATGGCGGCGCTCGTGTGGGAGGGGTATAAGCGCGAGCGCGATGGGAACGGCGCTGAGATGGACACCCTGTACCTGACGTGGTACACGAAACAAGTGTGCGATGCGGCCGTGGACGAGCCAGTCCCGGAGACGAGCCATTCGTCGGGCTTTTTTTTCTGGCTGTTCGTCATGTGAGTCCTCTCTCAGCACTCCTTCTCTCCCCAAAGTGCGAAAAAGCGCTGACAAAAGTCCATCCACAGTGGCTTCCTTGCCGTCGCAAGCTACCTCATCTTCGGGTCCTGGATCAACTACACGCGGTACGGCGCGCGCGGTTGGGACCTGCTCCCGCACGGCGACATGATCCGTGACATCCCCTACCTGATGAGAGACCTCATCCGCAGGATCCTCAACACGCTCCAGAGCACGGGCAGTCGAGGCGGGTACTCGGCCGTCTAGCTTGGCGGCGGCCAACCCTGGTACGGATCCGAGTATGAGGAGCGCCCCGATGACGGGCCGTCTTCGGAGTATGATCAGGGTCCTTTCATGGTGAATTAGACGTGGTGTGTAGCTGGCAGGAATGGGTCGGATTGTGCTTGTCTGTTTGCTCAAGTAGGTACTTCGGGCTGTTATTCTGTTCTGGTTATCTGGTCCCGAAGTCCGGATGTAGGCATTGATTTACCGGAGGGCTGAGCACTCGAGGCGCTGGGTTGAATCATGCGTGTTGGTGTAATGTCATCAGTTGGGTTATTGTATCATCACCTGTAATTCTTGAACTCAGCGTTGTCTTTGTCGGTAGTTCAACTGCCGGTGCGGTGGAGGTTCCCGGTCCGCTGCCTTTCGCTGGCCGTTTCGGCTGTCACATGTCACAGCAGAGGTCCGGACCCACGGCAGAGCTGGCTTCGAGAACGGCGCAACCACGCTGTGTTTTGGATTTGAATCTGGGGGCGCAATCCGAGTGGCTGTCTTGAGTGGGTGCATTTCCCTCTGCCTGTTGTTGTTTTTTTCACGTGGTGCATGTCTGGTGATGTGGGTAAGGAAGTGTAAGTGGCTTCCCACAGCATAAGCCGAGGTACGCCTCAGCTGGACAAGCCAAGCCTCCTTTGAAACCATCAAGGTATCTATCAACTTACAACTTTAAACATCACACGATCTCATACCACTTTACTTGACTATTTCGTCTTGACTCGAAACACAGCAAACACGTTCCCAACAGCAGAACAACCACCCAAAAAATGAGCAAAACGCTCTTCACCGTCCCGATCCCGCCACTAGGCGCCCACCCAGGAGGCGCCATCGTAGCCACCGAGCCGGCGCCGGCCGTCTACCTTCTGACCATCACCTCCCCACCCGATAACCGCCTGACAACAGCATCCTGCACCGCCCTGCTCGACGCCCTCGACCTGGTCGAGTTTGGCAGTTACAAGCCCGGCGTGCTGGTCACCACCAGCGGCGTCCCCAAATTCTACTCCAACGGCCTCGACCTGGAGCACGCCTTGGCGACAGAAGGGTTCCTGCCGGGCGTGCTGTACAAGCTGTTTGCGCGCCTCCTGACCTACCCCATGCCGACCGTCGCCCTCGTACCGGGCCATGCCTTCGCCGCGGGCCTGATGCTGGCCATGCACCACGACTACCGCGTCATGAGCCCTGCGCGGGGCTTTGCGTGCGTGAACGAGCTTGATTTTGGCGTGCCGCTGAAGCCGGCCATGAGCGGGATCTTTCGGCTCAAGGTGTCGCCGTCGACGTACCGGGCGCTTGTGCTCGAGGCGCACCGGTTTGGGGGGCAGGCGGCGCTGGAGGCGGGGATTGCTGATCGACTGGGTGGGCTTGACGCCGTTTTGGAGCTGGTGAGGGAGAAAAAGTTGACGAGCAAGGCCGCGACGGGGATCTACGGGCTGCTGAAGGCCGAGATGTATCGCGAGAGTGTGGCCTTGTTGAGTGTGGAGGGGTATCAGATGGGGGAGGAGGCCCATCGGAGGTTGGCCGAGGGCGAGGACAAGAGGCGGGCCGAGGTGGAGAGCAGGGTCGGGGGTTTGAAGGAGAAAGCGAAGGCCAAGTTGTAGGTGGGAGCGTGCCATGTCTGTCCTGCCTTGCGCATGGAACATTGCTGGTATCGAGCGATCGTCCTGAATTGACCCAAAGCGTTCCTGTCTGGTCTGGTGGGAGTAACCCTCAAAGCCATCTTGCCACAACAAATGTCAGTGTCTATAAGATTCCGTTATCCCTGTGAACTGTGCTGCTCAAACCGTATATTCTTTACCCTGCCTCGTAACCCGTTTACCTTGTGTCTGCTCTCTTATCCCTCCATTCTCCCTTCCCTCTACCTCCGTACGGCCCTTTTCTCCTGACTTACCAGGCCCATCCACTTCGCCAAGCACCAGCACGCCCATTCTAGAGCCAGAGTCGAGACCCATAACGAGACAACCCACACACATCCCATTCGCCAGCAAAAGAGACAAGTAAGCCATGGCCTGATTTTGTCTACCTAAAAGTCTACCGTTACTGCCGGTCCAATATCCCTGCTACTCAGACACGGTCCGAACCGCCCACGGAAAATGGAGCCTGCTGTGTCTGCCCGAACCAAACCGAGAAAACCATGCGCTCTCCCCTCACAATCTCTGCGCTAGAAAAAGACCACGCGCCCAACTGAAGGGAGAAGGGGTAAAAAAGAAAAAAACCCAAATTCAACTTCACACACCAATGCAGGGTATGTCTGACCTCCTACTCGATCACAAACGAACCATAGTAAAGCAAAAGCAAGACATCCACGCCTGTACACCACATGCCCTAGTAAACCCGCCCTATCCCGAGCCTTGCAAGTGAAATCCTCAGAAGCCGAGAAAGGGAAGCAAAAAAAAGCCCCAATACATGCGAGAGCAACAGTAGAATAAATATACCGTCCCCCTCACTCACTCACTCACACTCCCCTCATCTACCTCATCATCGTCAATGTCAACCCCCCCATCTCCATCAAACCCCGCCATCTCACCCCCATTCCCATTCCCATTCCTCCCCTGCTGCTGCGGATGATGAGAATGACACACCAACCCCATCTCGGCCCTCGTATCCCTCTGAATCCTCAAGAAATATTTCCTCAGACTCCTCAACCCCCTCAGGAACCCGTTATCCGGCTCGTCGGGATGCCGCGGCGGGCACGGCCTGTCGCGCGCCGACAGGTCGCCCGCCGTAACACAATTGGCAAAGTCGGCCATCTTGAAATCGATCTCGCGCCTGCTTCTCCTGGCGCGGGCGGCGCGGGACGAGGGCGTAGTAGCCAGATCCTCCGTGTCGGTCGCAAAGTCAGTCGTCGAGTCGTCAATGTAATTGTGCTGCTGCTGATTGTGATTACCATTATTACTAGAACTGTTGTAGCTGCTGCTATTGTTGTTGTTATTGTTGTTCTCCTTGTCCTCTCCCGCATCCCCGTCGTAAAACATGAGCAAGCTCGCCGCATAGAAGCGGTACCCCCTAAGCCGCTTGATGATAACCTCGAGTTGGTCCAGCTTCTGCAGCACCGTGGGTACGTGCCGCAGGATGCTGGCGCGGTCGACGCCGTCGTACAAGAACCGCGTGAGCGCCGCTTGGAACTCGGCGCCTTTCTTGAGCTCGCGCCCGTAGTACTTGTCCTTGAACACGTAACTCTGCGTCTTGACGTCCCACACCTGCAGCCCGCAGAGTCGCACGCCGAGCTCGCGCGACGTCGTCTTGGCGCATTTCCCTTGCTGCGACTTTTGCTTCTTGGGGTTGGCGTCCACGCCGTACTGGCGGGTGCCCATCTTGAGGTCCATGATGCAGGGGCGTTTCATGCCGGCGGTGAGGTCCTCCAGCAGGAGAAAGTACTCGACGCGGGAGTCACGCTGGGTTTGCGCCTCCTTGGGGTTCACGGGACGCGGAATCTTGCCGAAAGGAAGGGGCCCGACAGGAGGCGCCGGAGTAACGTCTCGAACTTCGGCTGGCCGGTTCTCCCTGGCCGGCTCGCGTTCGGGCGAGGTCTGGAACACCTCCACCACCGGCGTGCTATCTTCACGGTCTCCCTTGTAGCCTGCATCGTCGGCCTCCTCAAAGTACTGCAAGTCGCCGCGGCCATCGCGGACGTCCTTTGGCTTCCTACGCAACCCGGCGCCGGAATAGCGGCGCTTCTTCTTCTGAGCCGGCGAAGAATCTCTCAAGATCTGGGGCTCAGGAGCACTAGTCCCGGTCACGTCCTTGGGCGCGTCCTCATCATCCACGCATAACATGGACGCCTCGCCAATATCGCTTTGGGTGTGCGCGTGGAACCCTCCGTTCAGCTTGGCAGGCGGCTGGCCAGCAGGTCCTGCGCTCTGGGACCGCCTTTCGTGTGATTCTATCAACGTCGGATCCGACCCAGATGGCCGGAGCGTCTGCTGGAGAGTCCGGCGTGCCACTCTTTCATGCCCCTTGCGATGACGGTGGATGGCAATCGGCTTATTGAGAAAAGCGTCGTTGAAGACCTCGTTTCGGAGTTTCTTGTTCACAGTGGTATAACCCCAGCTGTTCGCATGACGGTCTTGAAGATTTGGGCGCGAGTGCTCCTCTCGGCCGCCCGCGCACTGCCCATCCTGCCCGTTGAGTGCCATTTCCCGGGCGGACGCAGATGCGCTCCTATAGCGCCCGAGCAAGCCGGGGATATTGCCCGTCGGTTGAAGCAGGCTTCGCGGCAAAATGTGCTGGTTATCAACAAACGTAACGGTTGGGACTTGGCCTGACGAAGACTGCATGGACTGGCTGACCACTCGCGGGGCTTCTGTGGTCTGGGACTCGGAAGGCTGGGTTGTGTCGCCCTGCGCTGTTTCGTTGCTCTTCGGATGCGCCGACGACCCGTTCAAACCTGCCTGAGAACGGTCCGATGCGGCGGCCTCGTCTCGCTTCATGGTAGATTTGCGGCGAGGTTGCTTTTGAAAAGTGACGTTGAGAACACCAATATATCTGCACAAGGTTTCGTTAGCATCTTCGCGTCGACGGCTCTTGACAACGCACGCACCTGGGCAAGAAGGCCAACAAGTCGCGATGGTACTTCTCGATCTTTTCGTAGAACTCGTTCTCGCGATTGTTTAACTGCTTGCAAACAGCCCGACGGGAGAACCTCCACAGCGTGGTATGTCCGCCCACTTGGTGCTTGTAGGGGATCAGCTCGATCGCGTCCAACGGCTGCTTTGGTGTCATCTGATGGTCGTGGAGGGCATCCTCATGATACTGAGAGACCGGACGAGACAGGCGAGAAGACGCGGCAGCAACTTCACGTTGATCAACAGGGGCAGATTCATCAACCTGCTCGGAAGCTACCTCTGGAGCTACAAGGGGATATTCGGCAGCTTCTGGCCCGTTCTTCTCGCTCTCCAAGTCGAGGCTCTCCCGGCTCTGGTCAAGTTCAGGCTCGTCGGCTTTGACAAGCCACGGATGGAAATCATCATGGCGCGAATGCCTTCTCGAGGGAACGACAGATCTCTGCGGCACTCGTGACATGGGCACTTCTTCCTGGGTCTCCTCGGGAGCCTGGTGCGGCACAAACAAGGCTGACGAAATCTTCTCTTCTCCTGACTCTTCGCCCTCCTCAGCAGATTCCCTGCCCTCAACACTGAGGTCGGATACTCGCCGTAGCTTCGCCCGACCACTCGGCTCAAGTGGCTCAAGCGGCTCCAGCTCTTGTCGCTTCTGAATGACCTCCTTGCGAGGGGAGACCAGCGATTCGCCGTCGACGGTTTGGATGTGCTGCCCGTATTTCGGGGCGAAGTAGTCTTCAGGCGAGCCTTGGACTGCCTTGGCCTCGGGCGTCTGGTAGGGAACAGAGCGGGCCCGGTCTCGTCGCTCGGCAACTGACGCGCCGTCTTCGTCCGATTGGGTTTTCACCGCTTCACCACCCACGGATTGCTCCTGGATGTCAGCAAGCTTTTCCCCACGAGCGGGTGACTTCTCTCGAGTAGGGTGCGGATAGCGGTTCTCCTTCCGCTTCCCTTTCTCTTCTGGAAGACCTTCCTTGAAGAAACGGAGGCTGTGGCTGGCCTTTCGACTGCGGTTATTGTGCTCGACCCCCGCGAGAACGTCCGAGATGGACTTCTCGACCTGGCCGTCTTCTCGGTTTGCTGAGTCTCCCGAGCCAATCGACCAGGCCTTTTCGGGCGCCACCGACACCCGCTGATCGGTCTTCCAAACCCTGGGCTGGGGACGACCGTTCGTCAGGACACTCTGCTCGACGGCTCCATCGTGCAAGGCAACGGGAGAGTCGGTAAGAATAAGAGAAGCCTGCGGGTTGACGCCCGTCTTCTCGGAGCAATAGGTGCTCCGCCGGCCTGGCCGTTCCCTATTGGTAGCCTCGATGGAGCCGGTTCTGGCTTTGGTCCTGGTCAAGAATTCGCGGTGGCTGCTGAGCATCGAGTTCACCTCGCCGAGATCGAGCCTGCCGTAGACAGGAGACGCCACTGTCGTGGACGTGGTGGTTGCCGACAGCATCGTCGTCTTTCGAGGCGAGAGTCGTGTTGTCAGCGAATCGCCATCGCCTGGAGGAGGGAGCGCGGCATGGCGAGCGTCTCGACTCGGGGCGTCTCTATCGGCAGATGCGTGAGGCTCAGGCGAGTGATGGGGCGGGTGGGAAGGATGAGGTATTTGAGGGGGCGACGGGTCAGACTGGGAGTGTCTTGGGATGCCGCGAGCTGTTGCAAGAGCCTGGGTCAGCAAGGAAGGGCCGTGGGGCCGCTGCAGGACGACAGGGCCTCGGGCGTATTTAACGGGATCAGCATTGGGCGCGGCAGAGATACCCGTGGCCTGAGCGGCCAGGGGAACGGTGCCGGCCGTGCCTTGCTGCCCAGCAGGGGGTGTTGATGGTGGTGGTGGTGGTACCGACGAGACGGGCCCTTCTTCCTGTGCCGCGGTCGCCGTCACCGACGGACAGGCGGGTGGCGTTTGCGCTTGTGCCTCCGCCTGCTCGTCTGCAACGCGAAGGGAGTGCGCAGGGTCGCAATTACCTGCAACCCGTACAGGACTCACCGCTGCAGCATTTGCGGCTGCGGCATTTTCGAGGGTAGAGGGTGGGTTGGACATCAGCAAAACATCTGGCGGCGCAGAGTTGCGCGGCTCGAGGATGGTGTGGATTGTTGGGGGGCGTGTTCTTGGTTGATGACGGGACGAAGGGAGGATTGGTGGGAGGGTTTTCACAAGCGGGAGCCGTGCCTAGTACCTTCTGTACTGTGTACAAATGCGGTGCAAAACTCGCCTTTCTCTCCCCAATGAGAAAACGTGCGAGGACCCGCAAACTGCACTGGGCGATCCTCAAATTACTTCATCCACCAGGTGAGGTGTGGAGGCTCAATTGGGTTTCGGACGTTTCTCGACCGACCGTTGAAGGGATCAAGATCGAAATAAGGAATGGACATTTAAGTAAGAGCCTAGAAGGTACACAGAGCTGTGGCTTCCGGCTTGTTGTGCAAATGAAGGCGTTCTGTTGGAAGGCTCTGACGCAAAGGCCGCAGCCAAAGCCGCAATTTTGAGCTAGACAGTGGGGTCCGGCCCCGCCCTTGGTCGGTAGCTGCTTGGCAGCCTGGGGAAACCCACAATCTTGTCACATACATGCAAAGTACCTCCTTAATGCTCCAAGGTCGCTGGTGCAACCCTTATGCCCTAATGGACATCATGAGACCATGGCTGACAGACCGTCTCGGTTCTTGTGAACCTTGGCCGTGATATCTTCTGTGATTATCCGTACTCCTCATTCTGGTGTATTTCTGGCAAATCGTTGATAGCATCTAAAGACCTCATAAACTGTGCCAGCAATATGCTGTAGCTGAAGAGAGTGTTTCACGCCTGCACCTGAATTGAGGTACCCTGCAATCTTTCCGACTGCTCAGCCCCGCCACGACGGACAAGGGACGAACGAACCGAGCCAACAATTTCTCCCACGAGATAGCAGTGATACGAAAGATAGCCCGGAACCGGCACCCGAGAGACATTCTCGACAGCCATGCCCCATCGATTGGTGGGCGTTTACGCAACGGAATCTGCCACCCAGATCACGTTGTGCTGCTCGGGGACGCAAGAGGCTTCGCTGTTGCTTCGCCGACGATGGAAGTTTTCCCATTGCGCGAGGCACACTGCCGGGTTGCTTGACCTCAGCGGACATGAAATATCGTCACTCGACAGCACCTCGCTACACGTGTAGATGTTCGTCGCGCCGATTCTTTGCGAAGGGCACACTTGAGATCAGCCTTAACGGCCGATGTCGCAGAGATATTGGCTGGCACACTGCGGCCTAATGTCACAGTAACGTTATCTCTAACCCTATGAGTATGCTCTCCTCAGCCCGATCACCGTACAGGAAGCATGGAGCCAACGACTAACTATCGGCGGCACGGCACGTTGCAGCACGCTACTGGCCCGATCAAACGGTGTACTCGTCATTTCACTATCTCGCAGCTGTGCTTTGGCAGAAACAAATCATCTTTCCTCTCGGTTCTAATGCGAAATGCGGAGGGCGGAGAGAGCCCGTTACTGCGTACTGCGTCTTCGAGGAGCCGAGCTCACCCAGACCAATCAGTCGAGAACGTGCGCTCCACGGACCACTCGACAGAGCAGATGCCGAGTCGCGAAGGTCCATCATCATCTCATCCGGGAAAACAAAACCCTCGTTCGTCCTTTCCATTGCGCCTGGTGGGCACTCCTCCATCGATCGCCGTTACAGGACTGCCACCGTTGCACAGTTTCCGCTCCAACGTCAGCGACGTCCCTGATGTCTCACGGTGTCTCGGGTCCGCCAAGCAGAGCCAGATTCAGGCGGAACCAAGGGACCGTGGCGAAACGCGACCAGCGACCATTAGCTGGAATCCCGGATCGCCGTCAGTAAATTTCAGAGCCCCGTGTTGGCCGGCCAGGTGGCGGGCAGCCCATGGTCTCGGAAGTCTGGGGTGGCCCCGATCTGACGGACTTCAGATGCTTCCTTGAAGTCGATCTTTCCCTGTTGCCCAGCCATGCCCATCTCGACGGAAAAGAGCAATCGACATATCTTTGCAGAAAGTCAAGGCCTGTCTGTATGAATATGCGCAGCTTGACAACATCCAGTTCGATCCTGTCCAGCTTCGACGAGCAACGCGACGCATGCGCTTGAGACTCTGTGTAACAACATCTGCTGTCTCTTGTTGTCCCATCCATCTCGGTGGGAGGAAGCCACGGTCATACTTGGCAGTGAGTCTGTCCTGGTGCCCTTGCTTGAGAGCACTTTACCGACGACGCCGGTTTGACTGGCGGGTAGACTTATGCTTGGCTCAAATGTCTCATGGCGGTATCTTATCGTAACACCCTCGTTCTCGCCCAGGCGTTATACCGCATGCTGCGTTCAATTCGACAACTGGGTTCCCTGGTTCCCGGGTTCCCGGTTCAGTCAGTTCGTCAATGATCACCAGGACTCAACCCAAGGAGAGCCAATGGATCAACCATGTGTACGGTTCCCCATGCTTCCAGACATCGACCGGGCTTGACATGCGTCCTCCAGCCGCATGCTTGGGACGCACCGGAAATCGGGCATCGTAGCCGACATACCGCCATTCAACACATCAATGCGGTCCCTGAAAGTTTGATGCCCTCCTTGGAGGCCTCCTTTTCTTGCAGATGGAAGAATAGCACGTGTCTTCCTGACGGCCCAGGGGTTCGAGGGCATTGTGGTTGATGCCGGGCATCCTATAGGTGAGACACCCAGGGTGTTGCCATGTTCCGGGGCACCTACGTAAAGGCACTTATGTTATGTGACATGATGCACTCCGTCGTTGTGCTGGCGTCACTGATTCCCCTGGTAATACCCAAGTTTTAGTTCAGAGGGGCTGGAGCATATATGTCCATCTTTGGGTTCTTCGAATGGTGAGCATCATAGGAATATACCAGATAAATAAAGCGGAAATCAGGGGCCACGTTCCCGTGAAGTCTAGGGACTCCTCCAAGTATTGATCATGCGGCCGCTTTCCGTGTTTTGCAGGCGGTGTCGACGGCCAGGTGAGAAAGACTGGGTAAACGTTGCTGTCTTCGACGTTACGGTATTCCGTACGTCTGGCATCTAACCTCTCCACTCTTCCCACGTCCACACAGCACGGTATCGTGCAAGCACGGCCCGACCCCTACGCTGGGTCACGGTCGAGGTTGTTTTGGCCGAGATGGGCGCTGTATACCCTACTGGGACACCAAGACGATGGTTCAGTTTCTCTCTGGCTTTCCCAGTCAGGAACAGGGAGAGACCACATGTGTTGACAAAACCGATCAGAGAGAGCAGACGTGCAGTTTCGATACCAGAAAAGAACCCCTGTATGTCGATGGTTCTAGCAGCCTCCCGCAAGGGGGGCTACTAAACCCGAGTACCACATCGATAGACAACTAAACAGTTATCTGTGAATGCCATGCCAGTAGAGGATTGTTCAATAACTAACTTGTTAAAGCACTTCCAAGGTGCTTGACCATTCCTGTAGCAACAACACACTTTCCTGCTTCTTTCAGCCCCTAGAACGGGCCAGAGAAATAAACCCCTTTGCGCACACTCAGGGAACATGGAATAGAATGAGGTCCTACCCACCAGGGATGCTGTTTTCAAGGGAGATATACTAAGCCCAAGACGCATCAAACCTCTGTGTCCCATAGACACTGATAGTCATATGGGCCACATTTTTAGCTTTCTGGAAGGAGCTTCGAGGGGACCAGCTTGAAGCCCATCACCATGTCAATAGGATACCAGGAGCATTTTTTATGCTGTGCAGTGGCCTACCAGGCCTCCATTCGAAGAAGTGTTGTTACCAAAGGGTCTATTTGACACAACCTTTTGCCCTCCGCAGAATACGCTTCAAGTCTCTGAGCGCTATCAAATATGAGCAACGTACAACGAAGCCGACCCAAACCGATGCAATGCGTGACCTAACCTCCCGTCCCAGGGTATAATAAGACCGAAAACAGAGACGAGGAGCATCAAGCCAAGCCATCAGACACTTTCAAACCACCCAGCAAATACACAACCTCTTCCATTCCAGCCATCAGGACGAGTTAGTGATAAACCACCTCAGTCCCAAACACTATCATCCATCAACCCAGCTATCCCGACTCCCTCACAAGACGACACCGCGCGGTCCTCCCGCTCCGTTCCAGCTCTCGCCCTCGCAAGGTCCGCCTCAAGATCCCAGTTCCCTCCAAGAAAATCATCCAAGTTCTCCATCACCGCACTGACCTCGTCTACCGGCCCTTCATCCTCCTCGTCCATCCGCTGTCGTGGAATCGAAGTCTCCAGCGTCATCTCCTCCTCCTCCTCCTCCTCCTCCTCCTCTTCTTCCTCCTCCCCATCATCTTCATCCCCGTCCCCAACCCCCTCCCCTTGCTGATCTGCCACATTCACGCCCAAGGCCAGATCAGACTCAACTGCCACAGCATCCCCAACCCCACCTTCTTCACCTCCCCCATCAACTTCGCCATCCCTTTTCTCTCCATTCCGGTACATATTCCCGGGCCCATCCAGGGATGATGATGACAACAAACCCGCCTTCCCCCTCCCCACTCCAGCACCACCAGCAGCAGCAGCAGAAGAAGAAGTAGCATCCGCCCTGAGAAACGCCTCCGCCATGCCCCCGACCGCAGGACTCCCACACACCTGCTGCGAGGCACTCGGCAGCAGTCCCTTAACAACCTTTTTCTGCTCTTCTTCTTCGTCTTTTCCCATCCCTTTATTGGTTTTGTTGTCGCTGTGGTTATTGTTGCTGTTGATGTCCCTGTTCCGGAGCGGCGTAGGCGTCGATATACCTACCCTTCTTCGACTGGCCACGGCCGCAAAGTGCTTGCCGAACTTTTGGTTTGCGCCCGGAAGTTTCGTGGGGGCGGCGGACAGGGAGAGGATGGATGGGGGCGGTGAGGTGGTGCGGTATCTGTGAGAAGCGGGGACGGCTTGGTTTTGTCTGCGGGTGAGTGGGGTTGTGAGTTCGGAGGTGTAGGGGTTTGAGGTGGTGGTCGTGTTGTCCAGGCGGGGAAAAGATGTACTCGGTTCGTCGTCCGGTAGGGGCGCCCAGGAGACGCGTTTCCGGGGGCGGGGATGATTCTGTTCCTTCTTTGGCTTTGTAGTTGACAGTCTTGTCCAGGTGTTGGAGATAACTGCATCTACGAGGGTCTGGGTGCTCGGGAGACGGTCGTCTGCGGTGGTCGAGATGCGGCGTCTTTTGGCGGCGGGCTGCGGAGAGGGCGTCATGAATTCCTTGAAGGACTTGACTGACAGTGTGAAATCTGGGCTTGGTAGGCCAGATCGTTTCGCCTCGGGGGTGGATGGGCGCGGAGGGCACAGTTGACTGTCGCACATGTCGATGTCTTCGGCACGCGGTGCCAGTGCATGAGACGTGGGATCGGCGGTACGTAGTACATGACTGTTGGCGGGCGAGGACAATGGGTTGAACAACCGGACCTCCGGCAGCTGCAGCTGCGAATCGCCTCTCGCCCAGGGACTCTGAGACGCTGGCTGTTCGAGAGCTTGGCTAGCGATGAAGGAGAGTCTTGCATTGTTGGGATCAGGAAGCTGTGGGATGCCCGAGACGCCCGGCTCCGCATCTGTTTCCTTGATCCACGGGCTTTGGGTGGCTTTAGCCGGCTTCGACTGGCTGCCTGGTGCCTGGGAAATTGTGTCTCGCTGTAAGCCATAAGACTCGGTCCCTTCGGAAGTGACAGGAGGTCCATCGCCCTGTATCCAAGGGCTTTGCGGCTCTGATGCAGGGGTTGGGGAGGCGTGTTGCACCTCGGCTTTTGCGTCGCTTGCAAAGCCATATTCGGCCGCAGCCTCTGCCAGCACTTGATTCGTTCCGTCCACATCCTCGTCTTCCACCTCGCTCGCAGTTTTGCTTTCCTTCACTCGTTCTGACACAGGCCCCACATCCTCCTCGGCCTGCTCACAGACCTTAACAGGTTGCTCCTTTGCGGTGGAATCGCGGGGCTGTCCTGGTGACAATGTGACGGCTTTCTTTGATTCCGGAGGTTGAGTTACAGTGTCTTCTGGGATTTGTGGCTGAGAAGCCGAGACAGAACGACGGTCAAACCCGGGTTTTGACACCCGGGTGCCTGTTGCTTCTGGACCAAACACTGGCTGGGAGTCCCTGCTCGCGCTGCGCCGTTTGGGCCACAATAGTCTCCTGGGTAATCCAACGGTCTCCGGTATGATGTCCTGTGAGTGCTTCTCGCATGAGAAGTGCCCGAAGCTGGGCATGCTGGAACGTTCCGATCTAGATTGTGACGGCGATGGAACTAATGTTGGCCCGTCAATCTGCGAGTCTGTTTCCCCAGCGTCAGCGTCATCCGCTGCGCCCTCACCCTGCTCGGCTGCTTGCCCATTCGACTGTAGGGGCCTCCGAGAAGGGGAAGGAACGGGCATATCCCCTGGCGGATCCTGTTCCTGAGCGCAAACAGCGACCTCATCGATTGTGAGGGCAGCCTCTGAATCCTTCACCGCCTGTTCCGAGGACGTCCGGTTGTCGGGATGTTGCTCTTCTGGTGTGTCGCTGGGCGCAGAAGGAGGGCCAGCCGGTTTGCTTCCGGTCAAGGATGACCCTTTCTCTCGAGAACCCTTTCGTCGGTAGCGGAAGCTCCCATCTGTGCGGGCGCTTGCCTGGGCCATTTGCAGCGCAGATAATGCGGTCCCCTCGGGCCTGACGCAGTTGGGATTGCTAATACTTTCTTGCAAGCTCGCCTTCCTTCCAAGTTTCTTTTTTGCCAAAACCTTTGCCGCAGTCTCCTCTTGTGAAGCTGCTGGGTTCACGGGTGTTGAACGAACCCTCCGCCGCGACAGAACCGATCGCTCGTTGCTAGGCACTGCGCTCGGGGAAAGGTTGGCCGTATACAGCTGAGAGGTGTGTCTCGCAATTGGCAACCGGCCCGAACTCGAAAAGCTTTGGTGGACGGGAGCCTGGTTTGAGTCTGGCCTAGTCTTGGCTGGTAAGCTCGGTGTCGCCTGGGAACTATCTCGGTTCGGTAAGCCGGAAGCACCCCGTTGTTCAGCATCAGTCTGCACGGTCGGCGTGTACGGCGCAAGGTTCCCAGCGCCATCGCCTATTGTACCAAGTGTGGAACCGAATCTCCTCCAGGCTGTTTGTTGAGTTGCTCGCCTAGAGTCGGCCGAAGCAGGCTCCGTCTGGGATGCATGCGGAGTCGGACTCGTAAGAGTCTCACTCTCAGCAACTACTCTATTACGCCAATCCCATACCCGATGGAACGATTCGCCGTCCATATAACGTAGAGGGATGTAGCTGGGGGCGTTCGGAGGTAATGCGGAGCTGCTCTCTGGAATGTCGTGGTGGAAGCTGCTAGACTCGGAAGCGCCATTGATCTCGCATTGTTCCACCATCCTCGCCTTCTTGGCTGTTGGGACCCGGTTCTTTTGAACCTTCTTCGCTCGGGATGCCGACTTGGACCGCCATGGGTTCAGCCAGCCCGACTTCCTGTCGAATGGTCCGCGCAACGAAGCCGAGAGAAGGAAGACGGGCTTACCCTCGAGAAAGCGCTTTGCCTGGGTCTCATAGCGGATGCGGCGCTCGCTCGGGCTGTTGTAAGCCTCATCGTCGGACCCAGAGTACAGGACGCCGTCGGGGTTGTGCAGTGCCTCGCAGTAAACAGGCTCGCCGCAAAAATTCTCGGGGTGCAGCCATCCGAGGTTGGGGCTTCCATAACGGCGCTTCATGATTACAGTATAAGTGGTCAATTCAAGTTGTTACATCGGCGTTGCGCTGAGCGGAATGCGGAGTTGGTCGATGATGTCGAATTGGGCCGTCATCAATCATGAACGTTACTGTTGTGGATTGGCCGGGGTGGCTGCAAAGCCATGTGAGCCGAGACGCGCGAGGACGCGATTCTCCATTCTAAAGCGGGCTCGCGGCGTCACCTGACAGCAATGCGAGCTATTAAGGGATTGAGCTCTTCCGGTTGCTAGGGAAATGAGGGGTGGGACAAGCGGCTGCCAATCAGCACCATTACGGATGTTTACCCCCCAAAATGGGGAACCCCCAAAATGACCAAGATTGAACCAATCTCGATGTTCTGTCAGTGGCGTTGCCGATAACCCAAGCCAGCATTTTTGAAGTACGATTACAGTGATCTCCTTTTTGGGTACTTCAGCTCCATGCCATGACCGAATTCAACCTTTAATGCGCCGGCAATCAGGGCTACACGGCTGCGCCGAATTGCGACACGACTTGACGCTTTAAAAACAACAAATAGCCCACATACGGCGGATCCGCAAACCAGCAGTCCCCGTCCCAACTCCAAACTCCGGGATCCAACGCCTCCATGACAGCCTGGTAGCGCCGCCTCCCTCCGAGACGTACCCAGGACCAACATTGATATCCACCCCATTCCCACTCCGTGTTGCAATGGGGCACGCCTGGCTAGACTCCCTGTCCGAGGACTGGGTGTCGCAGCCCGGATCGCCCGCCGACGCGTCCTTTGCGGAAGCTGCTCCTTCCCCCTCCCCAGACACGAGGCTGCCGCCCAAGCCAAAGACGCCTAGTAGGATCCCGCGCTTGAGTCCCCACACCAAGAAATCCCAACAACATGCCCCCGACAGCGGCGTGAGCAACAGCAGCAACGGCAGCAGCAACATTCTGAGCGAACGAAACATCAATGAGCGATTGGCCGCCCTGTCTCGCCGCACCCCGTCCAAACTCGCTCAGGAGCTGAGCCCAAGTCCAAGTCCCGGTGTTCGCGACTGCCATGCATGCCTTCATCGGTCCACCTCGACCTCGACAACCAACTCAGTTGTTCGCAAAACATTCCACCGCAAGTCCATGAGCGCCTCGCAGGCTAAGGGAAAGGGGGGCGAGACACCTGAGTGGAAGCGACGGCTAGTGTACGGCGATTTGTCCTACGGCGAACAGCGGGACTTGTTTACGTCGGCAGGAACAGGGCTGGAGAATATCTTCAAGCCGCCACAGGCCACGCCAGGTCCATCAAGAGACGGGCATGCAGAGCATTCCCATAACGAGCAGGAGTCGCAAATGGATGTGACGGTACCACCCAGCCCGGCCCTGTGTCGCCGTGATCCGTCGACAGTCGAAATCCAGGCGGACGACTCGACACAAGAACCGCCGCCCCCGCAGCCGCCGAAACGGGCGCCCACAGGCATGCGATATAGACGCTCTGACGAAGAAGAACCCACCGACGCAAGCAGACAATCCGAATTCAACATGCCGCAGGACTACTTCTCCCGCCCCCTCCCCAACTTAGAGCAGACGGGACTGTCCGATGGCGCGGATGGCGAGTCGCGCAAGGTCAGTGGCCGGAGCGACATACGCCATGAAGACTTCAGTCCGATCCTCCTCGAGATGCGCCAGGCTAGTAATGGCAAAACCATCTTCGGCCCAGCAGAGCTGCCTCCGGACGAGCTTCGAAAGCGGCTGGAGAAGCTGCGGCAGAACCAGATGCTCCTCACGGGTGGTCCCAATGGGGACTTTGCCGCAAACCGCGTGGCATCACGTAACATAGAAACCACGCAGGATTGCGCGAGGCTGGACGGGTTTGTCAATTTTCAGAGGGGCGGCCGATCCGAAGAGGGGTCTTTCCGGAACCGCATGCTGAGCTCCGCTCTCAACGACAGCTCCGAACTGAATCCAGAAGAGTCCCTGCAGGCGAGCACGCCGAAGCAGTTTCCAACTGTCAGGGTTGAGCGCTGGGCCTCTTCTGAGCTCGTCCCCGCCGACAGCCCGGACCTCCCTCGTGTTCCCGATCCAAGTCCCGAGAAACGTCATGCGCCCGTGAACCTCAGCCCCGGCAGCCCACTGAAGCTCTTTCAACCCTACGATACCTTCACGAGCCAGACACTGTTGAGGCGACTGAGTCAAATGCATGGGGAAGCAGCTGACAGCTCGTTTTCCATTGCCGTGGACCCCGACAGTCGACTGGACGAGTACAGCCCGTCTAGGTTGCTTCCCCCGCCAGGATACGATCAGCGCTCCACCTATGCCAACAGGTTTGGCGCTGGAGAGCTCGATGGATATGAATTCAACGACGAGTTTTCGCATGTTTCCCGCGACGTCACCGGCTTGGATGGGAACAAGGAGAACCGGGAGCCCGAGGAAGACTCCATGCTTGCCTCGCACCAGCCCATCTTCGATCTCACTCATAATTCTTCACCATCTGAGGCACCGGATATCGTAGTGAACCGGCGGCGCAAATCTACGACCTCCCATCCTTCGCGACGCCCTGGCAGAGCTTCGTTCCCTGGATATGTCGACTTGCTCCAACCTCATGGCGGTCGGAGAGACGCATCCGGACCCGAAAGCAAGCGGCCGCGCACATCGCCAACAAAAGATCCAACCCCGAAGAGACGAAGGACTTTACACAGGTCTGATGTTTCCTACGTGACCGAAGATCTTGCTTCGATACTCGACTCAGTTCACCTGTCGCACCAGCAAATGCAGTCGGCTCTTGGCAGGTTTCAGGAGGACGCGAGTGGTGACCGCGACGATATGGCAGATCCCCATGCCCGCCCAGCATTGCGGCCTCGGACGCCGACACCAAGCCAGAGATCCTCGCTACAGCGGGAGCGCCAGCCCTTTGCCGAGATCGAGAGATCACCGGCTCGTTCTAGCAGGCTCTCACAAACTCACGTCGCCCTCCCAGTGGGCACCGCAATGGAGACTAACAGAAAGCCATCCATCAAGACCGAGGACTTCATCAATGAGGCTAATAAGATCATGGCCATGATCCGCAGCAAGGCCGGTCTGCCGAGCGGCCTGGCCAGCGTCGAGGAGTCCGATGAGGAGAGGGCCCAGGCGTCTCCAGAGCTGGATGGTTCCTTTGAGGAGTCGACTCTAGAGCGATTTTCACGTCCACCCAGCCGCGAGGGACGCCCTCCTCTCACGCGCATGTCCACGAAGCAAGAAAACCCAGTGCTTGCTGAGCAGCTCAAGAAGTACGAGGAGACGGGTGACATGGGTGATATGATCACTTCATCCGTGCGCTCGGCTAGGCTTACGAGACAGAACGTTTCAGCGGCACAGGAGGTTGTTGACGAGAGGAACGACAGGCAAAGTTGCACTTCGGACTGGGTTGCCGGCACAATCAGCGACCCGCCAAACGTTCAACTCTCACGAAACCCCGATTTGCAACAGCAGCAAGCTGAAAATCAGCTCAGCGATGGGATGCCCTCACAGGGCTCCGCCGGCTTCAACACTCAAAGCACGGGTATTCCAACTGGTTCATCGAGAGGGTCATCAAGAGGCTCCGAGGCAAGGAAGACGATCATGCCTGAAAGTGTGTCACACCTGATTCCAGACCAGGTTGGAAATATGATCCTGGACCGGCAGCGCAACATATGGGTCAAGAGGAAGGGGTCGGGAGAGTCAAAGGAGAGTTTCTCGCAGTTTGAGATGAGCGAGGACGACCCGTTCGCCGGAATTCCTGATCTCTCGGTTGATGTCACCAAGGAAATGCAGAACCTGATGTTGACAGGGAAGAAGGAGCTTGCCCTGCAGGACCTCCTCCCAGGCGCTACACAGATCAGCCCCTCGAGGTCCCCAAGGATGTCGTCCTTTACAAGGCGGGCGAGTGACGCGGCCGGTGAGGCGCGTGCGCCATTTCGACACTCGATTCCTACACGGGCTGAGGAAGCCGTCGAGCACGAAATAAACATCCATGAAGGCCAAGTAAAAGAGCCTAGGCGACTCACCATTAGCTTCTCTTCCCCTGTTGCATCTGTGATTCAAGACGCGGCCGGCATCCGTGACATGTTGTCGGAGGATAGCATTCCCGACCAGAGCGGTGAAACCCAAGACTTATCGGCTAGGGGCCGGATGGTAATGTCGATTCGCACAGCAACCGGAGACAAGTCGGCCAGGCCTCGCAGCAGTTCTCGGGGCCCGCCGCGCCACCTCAGCGTTAGGGGCAAGTCTCTGATGGCCCGGCCCGTGTCCCGGATTGAGGAGCGGGAGGAGGACTCTGGGTTGAATCAAGCACAATATCAAGAGGCGGCTTCAGGGATGGAGCTTAGCGTCCTGGGGGACTACAGTATTGCGAACCGTGACGAGAGCGGACGGCAAGTCAGCCTCAGTTTCATGGTCGCAACGCCAGCACGGGCTCCGAGCTGTCCAGCCGCTGGGGTAGACGCCGCTCATGTCATCAGCCAGTATGTTGGCACCTTCTCTCTCAGTCCGCTCTCGGAGTTCACGATCCATCATGCCGAGGAAACGCTGCCTATGGAAGCCAGTTACGTGGTCGACAACCATCGCCTTGTCACGGGCGATCAGTCCAGGCGTGTCATGTCGATAAGCATGCGGGAGCTCGTGGAGAAGCTGGCGGAGGTGGAGCCCTTCGAGCCGTATTGGGAAGACATGCAGGAACTGGAGCTGCGCGAGAAGGGCCTGAGTGCTCTCCATGCGCTGGATGAGTTTTGTGGGCAGCTCGAGAGCCTCGACGTCTCCAAGAACAAGATTAGGAATCTTGGGGGAGTCCCCTCGTCGGTCCGCCACCTGCGCATGACGCACAACCAGCTATCGAGCCTTACGGCCTGGAACCACCTGATCAATCTGCAATATGTCGACGTCTCAAACAACGGCCTCACGAGCCTTGCCGCATTCCAGAACCTCATCCACCTGCGAAGTCTGAAAGCGGACAACAACCAGATCACGAGCCTGGACGGCATCAAGTTCCACAAGGGTCTGCAGACGCTCCGCGCGAGGGGCAACCTGATCGATGAGATCGACCTCGACGGAAACACGCTGCACCAACTCACCGACCTGGACCTGAAGAACAATCAAATCACGCGGATCGCCCACGTTGGCCAGTTGCCATCCCTCAGCTCGCTCAATCTCGAAGGCAACCGCCTCTCCACCTTCTCCATCGAGTCCTCGTCGGACTCCCACCCCATGACCACCCTCCGCTACTTGCGTCTAGACGACAACAAGCTCACGACCCTCAACGTCGCCAAACTGCCCCACCTCCGCCTCCTCCACGCAGACCGCAACGCCCTCGTCCAGATTGCCGGCTTCTCCCGCGCCCGCCGCATCGACAGCCTCTCGCTACGCGAACAGCGCGGCGAGAAGCCGCTGGACCTGTCGTACCTGCTGTCTCGTGCGTATGAAGTCCGCAAGCTGTACCTCTCGGGTAACTTGCTTGGGGAAGACGGGTTTGCGCCTAAGATTGATCTGCTGAATCTGCAGTTGTTGGAGCTGGCAAATTGTGGATTGGGGGAGCTGCCGGAGGAGGTGGGGTTGATGATGCCTAATCTGAGGGTGTGCAATCTCAATATGAATGCGCTGAGCGATGTGGGAGCGTTGAGGGCCGTGCCAAGACTGAAGAGGCTGTTTGTGGCCGGGAATCGGTTGGCTGATCCGGCCGGGCTGGTGAAGGCGCTGGAGGGGTGGAGACATCTTACTGTGCTGGATGTGAGGGATAATCCGCTCACGCAGGGATTTTATGCCCCTACCACCATGCAGGGGGTGGTTGTTCAGCGGGGCAGCGAGAAAGAAGTTGAGGGCGATGGGGGAGAGGAGGGAGGTGAGACGTTTGTGCTGGGGGATCAGGACGCTGGGAGGGATGAAAAGTATTGTGCGAGGCTGGATATGGATACGAGAGTGAGGAGGAGGCTGTGGGAGACGATGGTCAGGAAGAGGTGTGCGAGGGTCAGGAAACTGGATGGGCTTGTGCTGAGGAGATTAGAACAATATGGCCGGGATGGGGGCAGTGCCGAGGGGGATGTCGTCTGGCTTGCCATGAAGGAAAAGGGGCTTGTCAAGGTCAATGATGGCGGGGAGGAGGAGGTCGTTGTTGTCGAGGAAAGGAGTGCGCGGTGGCCGGCTGAGGATAGCTTTGCTTGATGCGGCTGCCGGCTGGTTTTGTGTGTTTGATCTTGTTGGGAGCAGGGGTTGACTTGCGGTTTTGCATGGCTTCTTCTGTGTCGTGGGCATTGGAACAGCTCTGAATGGCTAGAAGGCGAAGGAAAGGAGTAGGTAGGCGTTATGGAGAACTGCTTTGGGGTATTTGGTACTGATTGGGACGAGTCCCACATTGTGTTGTACATTACAATACAGGTCTGGTGTATGGTTTTGGGCATTGTATGGGCGGTTTTGCACAGGCAGGACAGGATAAGGTAATGAGTTATGATGCGATTCGATTCACGTTCATTATTCGAAGGCTTATTGTAGGATTAGCCCTCCGGACTTGGCAGTCGTCAAGCTGGATATTGAGAGCCTGTTCAGCCCGCTGTGATCATCAGGGGGGCCTGGTGCCTTGTCATGGATTGGTTAGTCCCCTTCAGCCCTCCGTTGTGGTTTTGATTGGAGTTTATAAGGCTCTATGTTTCGGGTGGTTTCATTAGAAGAAGGCCTGCTGTGAACGAACTCATTTCGTGCCTTTTACCGGATGTGACCGTGAGCTGGCCTAAGACGCTCCAATCCCCAATCTTTCGAAACCCGTTTCTGGGAGCCGCATATTCGATTTTTCTTTTTTTCTTTTGGTCTTCTTTTTAGCTTTGTCCACGGATCAGAATTAAGGAGAAGGTCACAACCTCACCATCGATGTGTCAATCAGCAAGACGCTCTCCCGATCATGGCATTGGTCATACCGGTGATGTGCTCGCGAGCCAAACGACCAGAGGCAGCAGCATTATTTCCGTCGACGGCCGAGCACAGAATCCCCGGCCTCGGCATGCCCTCTTTCGACTCCCTCGGGCTCACCTCAGCCAACTTTCTCAACAACGCTGTTGTTGCTAAGCTCAGTTGCCCGTCTGAAACGGGCGGTGCTGACGGGCCTGAATCCGAGTCCGAAGCTGGTTCGTTCGCTAACCCCATAAACGGAGTACTAACAGGGATGACTTACTGCCCGTGTATGGCGGTCGCCTGCATTGAGAGCAATTGGCGCTGAATTCGATACCAACCACCAAATACATGCAGCACACCTTCCGCCCAACCCGCTTTTGGAATCATGCAAGTCCTCAACTCCTAACGCCCCAACCATTCCTCTTTCGAAGAAGCCTACGGCGCCAGATGATTCCTCCTCCTCGACTCGCCACTCAGCCTCCTCCGGTCTAACCTCTTGACCACCGCGCCCAGCACCACCTTGAGGATCGCATCCGCCGACAGCACCCTCTCGCCCTCGCCGCCCTCCCACGAAACTGTATCAACCATATCCCTAATCCCGCCCCCCTGCTCTGACAGCCCATCATCCAGCTCCTTCAACGCCTTGGTCGCCTCGGGATCGTTTCCAACCTGGAAAAACTGGATCCCGACCTGATACGGCGGTGCCTCGAGCGCATCCAGCTTCTTGGCGATTGAAATAATTACCGACTCCGGGTCGTCGGTCGGCGCGCCGTCGGTGATGACGATCATGTTGACGGGCTTGACGCCGCACGACTCGGGGTTGCCTGTCCGTGCGATCTGCCGCTCATACTCTCTTAGATAGGGCTTGAGGATGGCGTTGATTCGTGTCCCTAGCGGCGTGGCGCCCCCCGGGCGGACGCTCTTAAATAGCTTCTCGACTTGCTTGTCTGTTGTGATATTGCAAAACCCGCTCGCCGGGTTATCGCCTAATCTTGAGGAGGAAGCGGCGGGATTGCGCGCGTTGAGAAAGTAGACGTCTATGCCGTTAGCGTCGTGGGACGTGCAGACGGGCGTGATCTTGAGCAGCACGTCTTTGACCTCGCGCCAGGAGCGGCCTGCCATGGAGCCGCTGTCGTCGAGGAGGAAGATTGTGTCGAAGGAGGAGAGGAAGGCGTAAGGGTCTTCGGGAGAGCTGATGCTTGGGTTGGAACGGGCTGAGGAGAAGGACGGAGCCGGGGAGGGTTGGCGGGGAGAGTTGATGGTGATTGTCGGGGGGCCGGGGCCGGCGCCAGTCGGGGCGATGGCCGAGTAGGGGGGCGGAGGTGGGTCGTTGGCGCCGGGCTTGGTGGCGTCGGCGGAGAGTTGGGTTATGGGAGCGCTACCCCGCGATGCGAACGAGGGGTTTGGGCTCGGCGACCGCGAGCGCGACTTCTTGGACAGCTTGTCCTTGAGCGACCCAAACAAGGATGACATGGCGATGAACTGGTGTTGTGGGCGTTGATGATGGAAAGTACAAAACTGCTTGTTCTTCAGTGTGGAAAAGAAGCTGAAGGACAACTTGTAGAATATCGCAAGCTGGAGCGCAATGTAAGGTGCCGGCGCAGCAGACACGGATGATTGCGGCGCCTGCCAGAAACAATGCGATTCGTTTTGTTCTTGGAACAAGCCAGGAGCAAACTGAATCTGTTCTTTATAGCATCCACATCTTTAATTGTCTAATTCTTTGTCGCCATCCACATGCGACACCGGACCAAAGCGAGATCATGAGTTTTGGCTTTTTTTGCCTTGAGGTGAGCCTTGAGCATCTGTGATCTTCACATGCGGTCCGAATGAAGCAATGGAAGTTAGTGAGCGGGCGGAGCAGCCACCATGATCTCGCGATTGCGGGGGGTGGCATGCTCAGCCACAGGGGCCCACCCAAACAGAAACCGACCGTGGCGGAGCAAAGCATCCCCTTTCGACCGGGCGCGTGCTTTCTCTAATGTGCTGCGACAGCACTCTCAAGGCTCACTGACCTAGGGGATTATAAGTCATTGGGTTGGCAGGTATCTGGACTACCGACTGAAAGACGCCCTCGTTCTTCTCCAAGAAAGTCCTTCCAAGTGGTCGGCTGCAGTCTTGCTTCAGCCAGAAGATCCCGACTTTCCTTCAGGCTCCTGCCACCAATCTAACCTGGATCCTCAATGAACAAGTAATCCTCCAGCAATTCCTGGGCCATCGGTCCAGGAGTAAAACTCTTGTAAGTCTCCGCATCTATTGACACAAACCGTCCCTTCTTGCCTGTCACCTCTTCCTTTTCGAGCTCATGTCGGCCTTCTTCGCATCAGTGATGCTCACGATTGTCACACAACAAAACAGGCTGAGTACACCTCCTCCAGGATAAATAATTCTAGTGCGAGACTTCACCCCACTTAGATCTAGTTCTTTTAGTGCCATTGACGCAACTTTTACCAAGGTTACTCTTCTAGCAGTTTCTATGAGAAAATACATCTCAGGATAAACAAGCCGAGTCCACCGGCCACCACCGCATGTGTATAGCGTAAACCAGCTAGCAAACAAGCGACCCGACCACATTCAACCAACTATGCAAATCAGCGCCCTGATCAACCACAACAAAGATCTCCACGCCTCGCCTGCAGCCCAGCGATTTTACCGTCTTCATACACAGGGCCAGGTCCGGCCACTGGGCCCAGTCCTTCGAGGCTTACGGCATTCAAAACCTCTTACGCGCGACGAAAAGATTGAAATCCGAGCCCTGCGCAAGCACTGTAAGTGGGACTACTTGAAGATAGCCCAGGCTACTGGCAAGACAGTCCACCAAGTGCAAGATGCCGTAACTGGCCCGCGCACCCCACGAAAATGCGATCGCGGCTGTAAGCCAGTTATCAAGACCCCTGAGAAGAATGCCCTTATCGAATTCCTCAGTGCCGACCCCCTCCACCGCAAGCTGCCATGGGCTGATTTGCGGTATTACATCCCTGGCTTCTCAAAAGATTTCCAGTCCAGGACGGACCTCGATCTCGTGACTTGAGTTAGCTCTACGGGGAGCATGCCATCACGACTGCGTTACGGTCCATCGGCTACACAAGGGCAATACGACCACGGCGAGTCTACCATACAGATTGCCACAAGGCTACCCGTCTTGCCTTCGCATACGAGCACTATCATTGCGTCCTCGTCCTGAAGATTGGGAACGAGTGCTCATTTCTGACGAAACGTGGGCAACTAACAACCCAATGTGGAAGCAATGGATTACCATCCACGATACGGAGGATCCAGAGACGTGGGCGCCAATAGGAACCAAGCCTCATGGCTGGATGATTTGGGGGCCTTTTGCAGGAAGGACCAAAGGTCCTTCCTTTTTCTGGGAGAAGGAGTATGGCGGTATTACTGCTGAGAAATATCAGCAGTTTATCGTCCCTTTGGTCCATAGATTTTGCGAGGAAAACGGGGGCTTTGTTTTCCAGCAAGATAACGCTGCCTCACACTCAGCACGTTCAACTAGGAGACTGCTTGCAGCGCTTGACTTGAGGTTATTGTATGGCCAGCTCGAAGCCCAGATTTAAGCCCCATTGAAAATGTATGGGCTTGGATGAAAAACTGGATTGAAGAACACTACGATATACAGGGCCTTTCGCGTGCGGGGCTTAAGCAGGTTATTCAGGAGGCTTGGGATGCTGTGCACCCTGATTCCCTTTACAGGCTTGCGCACTCAATGCCTAGACGGCTGCAAATGGTCATTGAGAACGAAGGGGGTCGTATCCCGTACTGATACTTCATTTGCAATAGAAAATTGCGTGGTTTCGACTGTACTGGCACTTGCGCAGATCTTTTGCTGTTTTGGCTTAGGGCAGGGGAAGTCACACGCTAGGATTATTTATCCTGAGGTGTACATAACCGCTTTCAACTCCACACCTTTGCTTTCCAAAGCCTGGGCCGCTGGCTTGGAGACATCGCGGGTAACTCATCATCTCCAGACCGCGCCAAGCCACTGAGGGCCCCACTTCGAAGCTCGTCGGAGCCCGGTGTTGTGCCGCGGATCGGTCTTCCACATCATGCTTAGATAAGGTAGGTACAGTAGCTTGGTCGCAGTTCACGATTCATCGGACACCTGAACCTAAAGAGCACCCCTCCACCGTATCCATCACGTCACGTCCCGGAGCCCGGGAGGCCGGCAAGCCTATGACTAATTCACTAGCTCAAAGAATCATTGCTGAGGTGGATGTCTCACACTGTCACTTAGCAGGGATGCAGAAGAGCAAAATTCACTTTGCTACAGTAGTTACACTCGATTACGAACAGTTCTCCCCCTCCACACTCGGCCTGCCGATCACATGGGTTTGCCGAATGCACTCTCTCAGCCATGTCTCCATGGTTGTAACGTTGGGATGCAGCTCGCGAATTTCGGGCAGGCTGGCCTTGTATCCGTCGTCCCTGAACAAGTCCACCATGATGCCCATTTCCGACACGTCGTGTTTCAATGCCTTTCCGAGCAGGCTGAACGTCGTTCCGGCCGGCTGTCCCGTGGCTTTCTCGAATGCCTGGCTCAGTTGAGCAAAGGAACTCGTCGCCAGCCAGACCCACTGCCTTTCTGTCTCAAGCGCTGGGGTGGTGAAAGCCTGGGCGGCGAAGAAACCGAGGTCTTTGGTGGCCACCCACTGCAACGGCTTGTCCTTCATGGTGTCGCGGAGCATGGTGAGGAGAATTTTGCGCGGGAATCCTGGAACGAGGTTGTCCATGAAGATGACTGGTCGCAGGATTGTCCAGCCCATGGTGCTCTTGCCGTTTGCAGTCGAGTTGCCGAGATGGTGTTCGATTTCTTGTTTCGTCTTGAAGTGCGGCACGGGGTCGGGTTGCACCAGGATCTCTCGTCACTGGCCCGCTCAACGCTGCTGTACACGAAGTGCTGGACCCCGGCCTTGATCGACTCGTCAATAGTTGCCTTGCCTTGTTTCACCTCCCCGTCTAGTGTGACGCCTTTACCCATAGACACCTTAACAGAGTAGACGCCCCAAAGTGGCAGGCTGCCGCCAACCTTCTGGGCGTATTGGAAGAGAGCCGGAACCGAGTCAAGGTCGCCCTCGACGAGCTTGACGCAAGGAGATTTGGCAGCCAGGCGCTTGGCGCTGGCAGCCTGTGCGTTGCGGGTGACGGCAAGGAGGAGAAAATCCAAAGACCGCCAGCGAGGAGAGCGTCGATAACAGCACCACCTTGTTTCCCGGTGGCACCGGTGATGAGAAGAGCCCAAGACATGGTGAAAAATGGTGCAAGTCGTGAAGACGTGAATTGACGAGTGGTGGACAAGAACTCGCCATGTGACTGCCTTCTCCAGATTAAAATACCTGTTACTGGCGATGGTTGAGAAACGCTTGGGCAGCGACCGGCGCTCCAAGGTTCATTGGGGTGTGAGGGCACGTCCCAGCTCGAAGTGTGAATTCCGGCAAACATCGGACACCGATGAAGTTGAAGCATCGCAGAAGCTTAGGTAACCTTTTCTCTCTATGTCTGTTCGCACGTGTCGTCGTCGCCCCAGGCTTAGTAAACGACCACCTTTGATTAGTGCGAACGGTCTCAGGATCCGAGTCTCATAGGCCACTGTATAAGTAGTCGCCTTAGATCGAGTGACAAGAATCAAGATTCATCGCCCCACTACCCCCTTCGCCTTTGTCTTCTTCTTCTCAGTGTTCTTCTTTTCATCAGTGTTCTTCTTTTCATCAGTGTTCTTCTTTTCATCAGTGTTCTTGCATAATACGCGCCCTCACCATTTGGTTGGCCGGTATCACCGGTAAATTCGGTCGTATTCTCTCCTTGAAGCTTCTCGAAAAACCAAACCTTGTCCTTGGAGGTTACGCTCGTGACCCGTCCAAGGTCCCCACAGCACTGGCCGGATCGCCTCGGCTGCAGCTCTTCAAAGGCGAGGCCTTTGACGACGCGACCATCAAGCCTTTTGTCAGTGGCTGTGATGTTGTTGTCTGTGCCTATCTCGGTGCCGACGACCTCATGGTAGACAGGCAGAAGAAACTGAGCGACGCCCGTGATGAAACTGGTGTGCCCCGATACGTTGCCAGTGACTGGGCTCTGGACTACACCAAACTCAAGTTCGGGGATCTCTTTCGCAAAGATCCAATGATTCACGTCAAGGCCCATCTCGAGACCAAGAGCACAGTCAAAGGCATCCACATCCTGATCGGCGGTTTTATGGACCCTGTCCTGAGTCCCTTCTTCCAGGTCTGGGATCCCAAGAACAGAACGTTGCGATATTGGGGCGAAGGCACCGAGCCGTGGGAAGGCACGTCGTATGCCAATGCCGCCGAGTTTACGGCAGTCATCATTGCCGACACCTCAGCAGTCGGCATCAAGAAGTGTAAGGATCGTACCCCACGCTCGCCGGATCACCAGCGCTGACCTACAAGACTTAGATTTGGGAGATCGGAAAACAATTCGGCAGATCGCTTCTACTTTTGACATGGTCTATGGCCTCATGCCAAAAATGGAGCGCCTGGGCTCCCTTGATAATCTCAAAGCTCGCATGCGCGCAAAGCAAGCCTAAAACCCATGTCTTCAGCTACTTGCCTCTGTAAGCCTCTGAGTCCCATTACTTGTCGACAGAGGAAGACGCCCGACAAGAATGACCTCACTGACCGGGAAACGAAGGTTCTTTATGTATTACTGGATCAGCAACCCCACCGAGAAGGGGGGTTGAGCCAGCAACGAGAGGGATCACCAAGGCGCTTGGAAAAGCTCAAAACAAGAGTCTACGGATAGTGGCAGGAG